GAAGTCGTGATCAACATAATACTCGGCTTCGGGCTTTGCGAAGCTAGACAAGTATTTTTGGGTATATCCCTCCTCGTAGGGCTTTGTTGCAACCTTGATCTTGGACGGGAAGCGTTGGTGGCCAAGGATGTAGTTCTTGTAGTCGTGGGTGCAGATGGCACGAACGTCGATCATTGTAAACAGCGCAATGAGAGCCTGGGAGTACATGCCTCGCAAGCCAGGGTGATCGTCAATGGAACCGAGTGTCATCAGTTCGATGAGGTTGTCGCTTGCGATGTAATCAAAGCGGAGACCCATGGTGATAACGATGGTGGCAGCACGGCTGGCGATCTTCCAGTGAGATACCCGAGCCAGGTTCACGAGCTCTTCGGCTAAGTCGGCTTTCTTCTTCTCGATAGCAGCGCGCTTGTTATTAATAACCACCCGCTTCTTCTCGATCTGGTCGCCGACGTCCCCAATGGGAGCAATCGCTTCCACGATTCCTTGGTCCAGGATAGCCATTCGCTCCATGGCACGACCATAGTCCATGACCTGGAATACAGCAGTGGAGCAAATCTTCTGCACGGAAGGCTTATCAACGGCGCTGGCGTCGATGAACGCCCTGATCAGTGTTGGTGCATATTTCCAATGCCGCCCAACAGTTTTGGCGACACTGCTCAGGAGCAACGAGAAGAGTGCACCCTTGATGCGGGCGTGATCATTCTCCTTGACACCCTTCTGCAGTGCCTTCAGTAAAGGTGGGATCACGAGCAGTCTACCGCCATAGACGGCCTTCAGTGCTGATTCACCGGCGTTTTGAGCATTGCGACGGGTCTCTGTGTACAGAGAGACGCAAGATTCGGCCAGATCAAGAAGAAGAATTTCATCCAGCTTAGACCGAGGACGCGGAGACGCGTTGTGTCGCAGACGTTGAAGGTGATACACGTTGGCTCTGCGGATAAGTAAGGGTCTAGGGTAGTCCTTGCGGATACCACTCATCTTATAGGGATGAATGTCTGCGGCCAAGAGTCGAGTTACGCGGTCGAGAACGTGGGCAGACCTCTCAATACCGACATCGACAAACCACGACCGGTAAGCAGAGTAAAGAGCGCCAAAGCAAGGAACATCATCCTCCTGCTTATCGCTCAAGAACCGATGTACCTCATGCAAAACCCAGCCAGTTCGCTCGCGAATTTCGTGAATGGTAGTGTATAAGGGGTCACCCTCTTTAAGGGAATACCCGGTCGGGTAAGCGAATGCCTGTCTGATTGTTGCGTCGTCAGAGTTGTCCAAAGTAGCATCGGCGTCTTCCTCTACACCGTTTGAAGCTGCATCTGCCATCTCAACATCCCCGGAGATGGCATTGGGGCCTTGTTGCGTTGTAGTGGACGCAGCTTTGGGATCGAAGAGGACAGAGATTCCAGACAAAACGAGTCGCAGAAGCACAAGATTACGAGTAACGTCATCCGACCAATCTTTACCACTTCCATCACGTTTGACACTTGATGTCTCATGTGTTAGGGAAGACAAGTGCTTTAGGGCAGACTCCGCCTGGCTCTTGAAGACGTCCACGGCAAACTCGATCTCCTCGTGCTTCGGCACGTGCCACTTGATGTTGAGGTTATGGATATCGGGCTTGTAGCTCCAGAGATTAGGCTCGATACCCTCCGCGCTAACTGTAGGCTCATAGAGGGAGAAATCGTTGGTGTAAGTCCCAGTCAAGTTGAGCAAGAGGTGGTGGATAAAGTTGGAGATGTGAACGGTGGGAATGCCGCGGCACTTTTGTTGCATGTAAACTGCAATATCGAACAGCTCTTGGCGGTGACCAATCACAGCGCTTCCGACGTGCACCACACACATGCTGAGCATACTGATATTCCAGACCAAAGCACGGTCACGAGGCAAGACATCTGTGCCTGTGGTTCGGGTCGATCCAGCGCCATTGTCCTCAATCTCAGTGCGGATTGCTTGAGTCAACACCGGGATGAATCGCTTGAGAGCCTTCTCAGGGTTGACCTTGCACAGAGCATTGCAAATGAAGGCCATTGCGTCACGAGCCTGGTGGATGACATGGTTCGAAATGAAATCGACAATCTTACCGAGAGCAGTATCGTAATACTCCGGAGACAAAGAGGCAAGCAAAGGCATGAAGGTGGCAGGGAGAGTGTTCACGATGTTTTCCTCAGGGGAACCGTTCCGTACCCTGGAGACATCGGGCAGATTCTCCAGTAGCGTGAAAACGCGACCCAAGAAAGAAATCGTGAAGTCGCCGAAACCGCATGTCGAAGATCGCAGAATCATTTCCTCGGTCTCGTCATCCAGCTCTGTGTCATAATCCAGTTTGACGTCTGCTCCTTGCTCTTCCATTCTCTCCATCTCACCGGAGATCCATTCCATGGCAAGCATGTTGCTGGTGACATCCTCTCGCCCTTTGGTCAAATCCACCATGGGGATATTGTAACAGGCCGATTGGATGAAGGACAAAGCATGAAGCGACTTCTCAAGATCATTGGCATCAATACCAGGGAGTGCAAGACCTAGTAAAGTTGTCATATGACAACGGTAGCCCTTAGTGCGGGTAATGATACGAGAGAGCACCTGCATCGCCCGAAGAGAGGACGTAGTTCGGTGGACCTCAACCAGACCTTGCAGCGCAGGGTAGATTCTCTGCAAAGCTCCAGGTAAGATTAGATGTGGTTCCAGGTAGGCCAGACCCTGCAGAGTCGAAAGGGAGAAGGTCATCGCAGTGCCACTCTTGGCATAAATACCCATAAAGATCACATCCCGGATGCAAAGCACGAAGCGCCGCTTGAGAGGCTCAGTCAGGCGGCGCTCTGCTGGAATGTCCATTTCCCCACTCTGTTCGCGATTCCAACGCATTACGAAGAAATCAGTCAAGTAATACACCAACTGCGACAGGGTCTTGGTCCAACCACCAGTGTTCGAAGGATGGAAGAAGGTCTCAACAGCTTGGATAAGGCCTTCCAGCTGTGAGAGGATTGAGTCTTCCGAATCCACACAAGCAGGGGAAAGCGACATCACAATCCATCGGGCAATGTGGTGGGCAACCGGGTGCTTCCGCGAATCTCTGTCTAGCATGATACCCAGGCCGGATGAAATATCCACCAGGGCACTGTATGGAGAAGTCGATTGACCGACAGGGATCTCCAGCAGTCTCAAAATTGCCGTGAAAATAAGAGAAGACTGCTCCTTTGTGAAGATACCATGCTCGGAGAATGGGATATTACCGGCCGGCAAACAATCTCGAGCCAATCGGGAAAGGTAATCCAAATAGGTTGTGTCGAACGTCTTCGAGCGACCAACCAGCGACCACAGATGGAAATGTGTAGGCAAATGTGTCTGCGGTAGGAGATCCGGTCGTGATTCGGGAGGCGGGGACGTCGGAAGCAGCAAATTAATGAGCCCTGCGACAACAAAGGCGCCTTCGGAGAACGACGTGGTGTAATGCGGCAAGAACTCATCAAGCATAGCGGGAAGCTCAGAAGGATCGATGAACAATTGGGCGAATGCGCATAGCTTGGTCAATGTCTTGACATTTCGCTTCAAATTGGTCGAGTGAACGAGGCCGGATTCGGTGGGCAGGACGAAGGCTTTGAGCTCTTTGTAAAGGGGCTTCCAATCTAACACCAGGTCTTTTACCGGTCTTAAATAGTGCTTGCGCCTAGATCAGATTCCAGATTAGCAGCCGCGTTAGTCCCGCACTAGCACATGGAGTTTAGCTTACTTGGTGAGGAACATGAACATGCTCGCGAATCGCTCGGCGACCGCAGGATCAATGCCAGGAGCCAGAGCGAGCTCATAGTACAATTTCACGAGGTTGATGCGCTCCTTGCGGGTTGGATCGAACTTCAGCGACAGCCAGCCGCGGAGCTCGCGTGTCCAGTGCACAGCTCCGGGGCTGAAGTCGCCAGCCTCGACGGCAATGTAAAGCTGATCCAAGATCTCTCGCAGATTTTGATCTCTTTCGGACTCATCTTCCAGCTCGTATGGGAGGTATTTGAAGTATGGGTAGGTTCGGGGTCGCACGCGGGCTATTGGTTCGCCTTCGCCTTTTACAGCTGCGGGCTCACCACCGGGTGAGGTAGCTCGTGAGAGATCTTGTGCATGATGAAAATTGTCGGATGTGAGAATCGCCTTGGGGTTGGAGGCGTCCATAGTCGGATGGGAGAGGTAGGGAAAGGAATGGTGGTCAAGGTTGAGGTGAGGAGTGGCCGTTGCCGTCGGGTGAGCTCTAGCAATACGTCAGCAACCCCGATGTTTCACGAAGGTCTCTCGGATCGCAGAACGACCTTTGAAAGATAGCGTACTTTAATGAAACTCAAGCGTCTCCTAAAAAGAAAGCGGACTCTGGAACCGGAAATTATGTTGCACTCGACTGCAGGTGAAGCGAAACCAGGGGGATGGATAGGCTCGGAATATCGTAGGGGATTTTAATCTGGCCGGTCCAGTTGGTGTTGTAAATGGAAGAATAGGGAAAGAGGAGTAGCATAGGAAGATCAAAAGCTCAGAGCTTCAAGGAGATGAGAAGTTGAGGTTGTGATGACATAATTCTACAGTAACTGTTGCTCAGAGCGGAAACACAGAATTGATATCTTCAATTCTTATAAAGACCTGAGATATTGTAGTCATTAGGTACTGTATTTGATTCCTTTATAACTTCGGACTGCGCCTACTCTTAGGCAGACAACGTACGCAAGCAGCCCAACCGGGATGTCTGCATTCCAAGGTTCTTGCCCTAGACCTTAACATATCCAACCCGAGTCTATCATCTATAACACGTGTGATAGCACAGCTTGTTTACAGAAGAAATAGCTGGTAATATGATACAGAACTCGATATTCAAATCACTCCACATTTCAATATGTCTTGGTTGAGGGTCTATCATCCCAATTTTTAGAGGCTCGGAGATATGACGCAGATAGGCTTATGGCACTCCTCTTTGACAAAAAAGGTTAGACTTCAAATTCAAATTGCCACTTTAGCTCATTACTCATAGCCACTCAAGCTGGCGGCAGGAAAGAACCGAATAGAACAGCTTGGATCATTGCATAAGCCACCATGCTGTACACGGCGATCACAACCGTGCGGCTTAGCTTGGGGGTACTCGAGGCCGTGTCCACAGCACTGGTAACCAGGAACCAATACCACAAAGGATATCCCGACGAGATCCGATTGATAATTTGAACATGATAGCTAGTGAACGCCATGACCGCCAATAGGCCCTGGGGAACCGCTAGCCGTGTAAGCATAGACCCCGGGCTAGTTGACGAGGAAGACGGACTCTGCAACGCCCACACAGCTGACCGGCATAGGACAGCCAGCATTGGTCCAGCGAGCAGGAAAAGGGGAGGTTGGAGATGGTCCAGTATCGCAGGAACCCGACATCCCTAGAAAGAAGTTAGCATGACAACATCAACGGCCACCAGGGAAGAAACCTTGCTTACCAATAGTGGTTCTGGACCCAGCCGTAGATACTAGGCACAGTCCACTCGCACCACGGCTGAAGATCAGTCTCGGACATGCAGTACATGCGATAAGCCAAGAACTGGGGAATGACCATCCCAGATGCGACGATACAGCCACCGAGGATAATAACCGCGAGCTGAATCGTGTTGTGCATCGTAGGGCCCTTGGTCAGGGTCTTCCAAGCCAGTACCACCGCATCATAGGCAAACAAGAACCCACTCAGAACTCCGTTGCTGCGGACCATGGTAGCTACCGCAAAGAGAACTGCAGAAGTCAGGACCCGAAAATCTCGCAGACCCGTTGCTCCATTGCGCTCAGCAATCAGGGACGCTGAGTAAAGGTAGAAGCCGGTCATGTTGAGGAAGGAGACTATCGACTCTCCATACGGCGCAGACAAAAACGCGCCTGCTGGCGAGATAATATGCAGAGCCGCGGACAAGAAGCAGATGAGATGCTGAGCGGCTGTTGCATGGCCGAAGATGTTTGCCGAGAGGCGGTAGAGTGACAACACAGACAGATAATGGGCGACATGGGAAAGAGCCACTCCCACCACTGCGATGGTATTTGGCCCAGTTATTCCACCAGAGAGTTGGATACCTGTTCAGCACGATCAGTTATGCCAATTACAATGCCTGGGATAAATAGGAGAGATGTACCGGATACCAAAAGGGATAGAAGCTTAGTGTAGCCCCAGCCAAAGGCCCATTCTTGCTCATAAATGTATCCCTTTTCGGCAATGTCAAGAAAGTAGATGGCGTCCCATCTGGCAAATTTCAGAGGACCTGAGAGCGGCTCCAAGTGGTCGCTCGTTGGATGAGCAGCATACGATATCAAGGAGGTGGAGGTGTCATAGCCCACCCCTGGACAGTAGGCCACGACAAAGTACAACACAGCCTTCCATAGCCAGAACGCGACTGTTAAGCTGCGAATGGGGTTGTCCAAGCGTAGTAGTTTGGCGTACAGGGACGATGGCCTTGTAGTCGGCTGAGCTGAAGCCATTCTGCCCCAGATTTTAGAAATAAGGACCGAGGGACTTCCCAATGCGGATAGGTGTACCGGGTGAAGAAGTTGACCTGGCATAAATACATAATTAATCAGCGGGTGTCAATGCCGGACATCCGATAACTGTGACGTATTTGGAATAGCCTCGGCCATGGTGTGAAACAGGTAAACTTCTTTGCTCAACCTTGGAAATCAGTTCAGCCTTAAGCTATATCATTGGGTCGCCACATGGAGCTATGGCGACCGCTAGATCGAAGCTAAAGGTGATCATGTACAATCAAGTTACTTCGGCTGTCGGAGTATGCATCTGGATACTATGGCTACACGTGACCAAGATCGCTATATATCTCCCTTTGTGAAGTCTCAATTCTTACTTTGAAACATGCCCTAGCAGGCGCGGGAATCGGGAATCCGCTTTTACCTCGGACTAAAGCAGCGGATCTTGGTTCTTTGTTTAACCAAGGAACCATGATACGAAGATCGGGAGATTAGTAAACACTATGTCCGTCGGTCGAGACCGTACGGCCGCAAACCGAGATGGGAGGTGGACACGGAGCCTATTTGTCCGAAGGTGAAGGTTTAGCATAATCTACCTCGGGGGGAAAAGTCTGCTATGAGCGTGACAATCCCCACTTCATATAACGTTGACTCGCACAAATAAGAAACCAAGAAAGGATTTGCGGCAATAATATACCTACGGGTCTTGCCAAGGAGCCAGGCAATAATCCTTGTAACCATGACGTCCCGGGGTTTTCGGAGGCTTGGAAAATGATCACCGCGGAATCCGGATGAGTCGGAGACCGTACAAGGCCGATCCCGTAGGCACAAATTGCATTATTCAACGATCCGATCCACCTGGCTGGTGCATTTTTCTCGTTTTTCTATAAGGCTGACCGCCCATTGTACAGCCTCTACGACTCCCTCTTTTGCAAAACATCCCACCCCCTTGCATTAGCCAGCCTCACATCTCTGTGCAGGTGTCACTTTTATCGTACATTTCCTTTCTTTTAACGTTATTCCTTTTGCTGCTGTCACCTTTAGACTTGGACTTCTTTCCACACGCCAGGGCTGAACTTTCCCCGCAGCTGACGCGTTGAAATCCGGTCTATGTTGTGAATACCTGGCCAGCTAAACAACTAAACAACTTGGCACTCTACACCAATGTGGCTCCGCTAGGGCTCAAGAATGCTGTTGAATCTTGGCCTCACAGCGGATGCCGCAGCTGCCCACACAAATGATTCGAATCCACCAGTCAACTCTCCAGTGTTTTCCTTGTCAGCCCTGCCATTGCTGAACACTTTCTACAAGCCCAAACAATCCGATGGTTCTGAGGGGTGTCCTGGGCTAATCTCGGGACTTGCATCCGCCATGACCATGAGTCCGGTCGAGTCCGCAGAGAGCGAAGGGGAATCATCACAAACACAGCAGCCTCCTAGGCCTCGTACCAGCCGTGCAATTCCTGGTCGGAAGTCCACGCGGCTCAAAACCTCCTACCAGTTCGCCCATCCTGCCTCGCACGCTCGTCACAAACGGCTACGACTTCGCCCTAAACTGCTTTTACAGCTGCAACAGGTGTCGCAGACCCCTCGCCCGCTGCCAGTCGTCGATGTCCTCCCGTCGACTTCATACCTGCCCCTCTTAGCTCGCAAGTTCCCTGCCATATATCGCACCAGAAACGGACTGGGCCCGTATGATTTGATTGTAGTAATTAGCGAACAATACGAGCGGACAGTGACAAGCATCCCCGAGAAACATGTGAGCTCGGAGGACGAGGCCGAAGATCATCGCGAGGTAGTGGCAACCATCTGTCAAAAGACGCAAGAAGATGCTCGGTTGAAAGGGAAGGCGGAAATCTGTTTGAACTTTGGACCCGTTTGGGAGGCAACTCCCCTCTTGAGTGGCTCATACGAGTTTGTTGCGCAGACCGAGAATGGTGCACAGGTTGTGCGATGGGCTTTGCGCGGTGGGAGGAACCGTCGGATGACTGCGCCTGCGGGAATGAACTCCCGCGAAGAAGGCAAACGATTCACCTTTAGCGTTATCGACCCGACCACCCGCCGACACCCTGTCATTGCATCCATGACTCGCAATCAGTTGGAAGTCCACGATGAGTACTCGATGACTGCCCGGACCGGTACTGGCCCTACAACTCCGACTTCCGCTATGTCCGTGGTGAGCGATGCCTCGGATGATACCCCACTCGATGCGAATATTGTTACGCTTGATGATGGGTTGCGAACGTTGATCATCACCACCGGCATCTGGGTCGCCTTTCGCGAGGGATGGTCCCATAACTTCAGCTATGGGGACCCCGTTTCTTCCGGCGTAAAACCAGTCACGTCCCCGTCAGCCTCAAGAAATACTTCTCCGACTGTAGCCAGGAATGATCACGATGCTTTCCCTGAAAATGACGAAGCCAGCCCCACAAAAGGATCCGCTAGCGGCATGCGCTGCATGTCAATTTCAAGTGTTCGACGTTCCAATACAACAGCTGCGGCAGATGACAAGCAATTTGGGAGCCTGTCGAAGCGCTCAAATTCGACTGGCGCTGCATTCATGGACCGAGCTAAACGACGAACGGCCTCGGGGTTGGGCACTCGACTGAACCGACACAGCATGTTCACCGCGGGCGAGCATGGCCGCGATATCGTCGTCTCACGCTCTCGCCCTGCATCTATACGTCAAAACTCCTCCGAACCAGAAGAACCGTCCCGTCCTGTGCCTCCCCGGGCGAAAACCCCTAACTCCAAGCCGGAGAAGGAAACCACAAAACCTACTACGGGACCAGACAAAGACCTCCCAGCTTCAGCCCCCCGCCAAAAACGGAAAAGCCCTCGAAAAGAAAAGCCTGAAGCCCCAAACCCAGCATCAGTCGATTCAAACCCAAAACTCAAACGTCGCCACCGTCTCAGTACCTTCTTCAATATGTTCAGCCGAAAACACGATAACCATTGACCTCTCCATTCCTTTTTCATACTGGGGCCATACTGTGGCTAGTCCACACGTCTCAAAACTACTATCCAGTCAGATTCCATCTAGCATCCCAGGGCGTTCGCATACAGTCAACACTGCGATCCGTCTGGCACGGATCCTTGTTGATTTCTTTTCAATTCCTTTCCCTATTCTATTCCCCTTTTGTCAACTCACCTCTCTTCTCATTCCAACTAGCATCATGCATCTTTTGCATCTGCGCATATCCGTTCCAGTTTTCTATTATTCTCCTTACCCTGTACCATGTGTTCATGGCTCATGTCTTATTATCACTCGATATGTGTATCCTTGGATCTTGTTTCATGTACATCGCTAGCCATCTATCCATCATGATGAACATGAATAGAATACCCCATTATCGATGAACATTTGACTTCTTGTCAGTTTTCACTTATGAACTCAGCTACCGTAAAACCACTTGAATGCTTTCACTAGATAAGTTAAGAGATGAAGTAGTCTCGTCAGATGCAGCATTGCTTTACTGCCCACTCACGAAAAGTCCCTCCAAACCATGAGGCGATAGACCTGATGTGCATCCCCCCTTATTTGTATCAAGGAACTTCTACAACGAACGTAATAGCAACATACCAGACAACAAATCTCAATTTACAAATATCCAAATTGCAACCAACAGAAACAAACCCCCTCCACCCACCCAAAAACCCCAAAATCTACCTCTCAAGAGCAGAAACAGTCTTAGGAACATAAGGCTCCTCAAGATACAAAATCTCCTCCTCCGTCAACTTAACCCTAATACTGTCAATAGCCTCATCAATCCGCTTAACACTAGAAAGCCCAACAATAGGATTCTCTCCCTCATGAGACAACGACCAAGCAAGCGCAATCTGAGCCATACTCAACCCCTTTTTCTTAGCAAGTTCCTCAACCCGCCCAATAATAACCTCATCAGCCTCCGACTCCCGGTTCCGCACAAACATCTTCAATGCACCATCCGTGTTCTCGCGTACCGTGCCGCGAGAGTTGTAGGGACGGGCTAGGGCGCCTCGAGCGATGGGCGACCACGGGATGATGCCCACCCCGGCGTATTGGCAGTATGGGATCATTTCGCGCTCTTCTTCGCGCGCTAGGAGGTTGTGGTAGTTTTGCATGCTAATGAATTTGTGGTAGCCTTTGTTGATGGCTATGTTTTGGAGGGATTGGAATTCCCAGGCGGCCATCTAGTGAAGCGTGATTTGTTAGATGATGTATCCCATGTATCCATATATACGTGGAGGGGGCCCTTACTGAACTAGCACCAATATATCTCACTTTCCCACTCTCAACAACATCATTGAGAGCCTTCATAATCTCCTCCCGCGGCGTCTCCCGATCCAACCGATGGATCTGCAGTACATCAATGTACGTGCCCAGTCTGGCAACGCTGGCGTCTACAGCGTCGAAAATATGCTTGCGCGACAAGCCGACTCGGTTGACGAAGTCGTTGTCGTTGCGTCCGCTTGCGGAGATCGGTGGGTATTTGCCTTCATCGTCGACGCCGAAGAAACACTTTGTCATGATTACCACGCGGTTGCGGGGGATGTTGTATTTCTTGAGGGCTTTGCCGACTACTTCTTCTGATTTGCCATGGGAGTAGACGTCAGCCTATTGGGTTGTTAGCTTATGTATGTTAGATATTTGGAAGGGAACATGCCGTATCCCAGGTGTTGATGCCTCGCTTGTAGGCGTGTTCGATTAGTGGCAAGGAGTCTTCTTCGTCGAGGACCCAGTCTTGCCAGTCTTTGCTACCGTAGCCCATTGTTCCCAGGATGATCTTTGAGATCTTTAATCCTGAGTCTCCAAGGCTGGGATTGGGTTTTGTTAGTATTTTTCTTTTTAAATTTCATTGATGTTGGCAGGATAAGGGGTTTGTACCGGACATATTCCATCTTGGTTTCAGCCATTATAGATGACTTGTTCAGATCACTGTTTCTGTATGAAAGTCAGTTCAATTGTGCTTCATGGATATTATAGTGCATTTCGGATATGACGTCAAGGCCTGATGAGGGGAAGTATAGCGTGGGAAACTTACAAATGCGCACAAGCAGGTAGTTGAGAACGGTCGGATAGTAGGAGTAGAAGAAAGATAAATCGTCAACTTAAGTGAGAATCGCGACGTGAGTCAACTCAATATCCACTTTTCGGTCAGGAGTCGAATTGCCGAAATCAACAGGCGGGCGTCTCTTAACCGATGAGTTCCCGGTGGGCTTTCCGCCCGCCCATTCACAGTGTCGATCGGCCTAGAAGATCGGATGTTGAAATCTGGGGTGCAACCGGGACTCTACCAACTCAATACCCCTAAGCAATATGCTCGGATGACTTTGGTCTATAGAGAGTCCTGCAAGATAGTGTAGGACCGACCATTTCATAGATTGGCTTAAATGTCCTTCATATTTCATTCATATCTCATTAATTAAGTGGAGGCGTTCACCCACCGGCCTTTCAGATCGAACTCTCCGGTGGCTTGACTCGGACTCACCGTCTGTTGTGCAGGGTGTTCGTGGGGTTTGATAAGCCAATGTACGTACGGCCTCCGTTCTTTCTGCAGGCCTCTTTATTGAGCGTATAGGGCTGAGACAGCACACGAAGGTTTCCATCATAGCAAACGCGCCATCTATATTCCGCAGTAGTGAGTAGATACCTAGCACCATCCATGTCTAGAACAGGCAGAAGGCTGAAGAAAGGATCAAGAATCATGACCTGATAGCTAAAGCTAATGAATTTTGTCAGAGAGAAACAGAGAGAGCGAGAAAGAGATTCATGAAAGCGAACCAGGTACTATCAACTTGAATTATCAACCTTAACAAGCATAAATAGGTTTTGTCTCCTCTATGTTATGTTTACCAGTTGTATTGAATCCAATTCCCCTAAATTGTAGCACGCGGGCCCTTTCGTAGCCAATCATAAAGCAGTAGTAGTAAGAAGCAAATGCGCGCAGGCCGTTTGCTGTAGGCGAGCAAACGTATACAAACGCAACGGTATGAAACCCACGATAATTCCACGCCCCTCGTCCATATCACGATACTGCCACGCACTACAAACCAGACTTCAACTTCCATATCATTGCCCTTGGCTCTGATTTGCCCATTATGCTGATCCCTGAGCCAGGGATGCGTAAGATAATTTCCCTTATATTGATGAGTTACAGAAGCTTACCGATTTAGACGTCCATGGGCGCCAGCAATCCACCTGGAACCCAATCCATTTCGTACCCAGCCGCCTACGCACCGAGATTCTAAACGAGCCATTTGAGGCACTTCGCGTCTACTATATTACTGCGGAAGATCTATTCGGGCCTAATGACTGGGCCCTCTTCCTCTCGACCTCCGAAGAACATAGAACCGCCGTGCAGCTCGACTGCTGTGTCAGCACCCATCCCGATGTCCTACGTCCCATTCTCGCCGGTGGGCGCAAGGCCAATGTACTCTTCAGTGTTAAAGAGTACCTGGTTCCCTTGGACATAGAGTTGAGCCGGAAAATTGACGTTGTCTCGGGTATGACAATTCGGGATGTCTACGAGAAAGTGGTTGAAGCTGGACTTCACAAGTTCGAATTCACCAGGAATGGCTTCGGCCACCGGCACTGGATCCGGTCATTCATTGACCACCTTTCGGACAGCGGCTTCTTTGTTGACCAGGCCCAGGTTGCAGAGGCTAAGGAGAGCCTCCGGATGATTTGGCCCGGTGGATTTGACCTTCCCATTGACGAGGGATTGTTCTATTAGTGGGGGATGGTGGACTCAGCATTAGTGCATGATCACTGTTTTGAGACATGGTTGCTTTACTTTTTGTTCTCCTAGTTTTACATCTCAACTCAGATCCCCTTGGATCCTAGTCCTAGTAGGCCTGATCTCATTAATCTCCGAGCCGATAGCCTTATTTCAACCTTAGCCGCCGGACATTTGTCGGTTGGTACGTAAACAGTAGTGACCTCCCGCCATAAAGATGGTTCTAAAGTGTGGTGTGGAGGGGTTCATCTTAGTATCCCCCCAGCTGCATCATAGTTCACAGTTGTAATACACGCCTCCCCCTTCGTGAATGCATGATTTTATAGGCATACATAGCAAATCAAAGAACTGAGTCTCAGCCATCAATGAAACCGTGTATCTGATTAGACACCTTCCTCATTATCGCCAAGAAAATGATGATATCGCGACTACCTTTTATAGCTTCGTTATAACGGAGGCGAAATACTCTACCGTGATATCATAGATAGTCGAGTTGCGTAAGGTGAACAGTTAGTTAACTAATTGATTTTGAACCCCGATCTTTGTTGTCATTACTACCAAAAAGGTGGACATTGTTTAGTCGTATATGGAAATAGTAAGTGTGGTGCATTAGGAGTTGCCCGCAATTACCACGAACAGCCCTAAATGTTTTCCTAGAAAATCCGCAGATACCTATAGAGCAACAAAGCAAGATACTTTCAGACCACGGATTCCTATTAATCTTCAATCTTAAACCACCAGCCTAGGGTGATTCTGTGTTAAACGTACTAACGAACATATATACCTTCATACCGTGGAAGGATCTTTAGAGATATTGCACATAGTGGGAACTTCAAGCTCTAAGTTATACCACTGATTGTCAAGCATTGATTAATTGGAATACATACCAAATATCAGTGCCATGGTAGAACTTTCTACTTTTAGTCCGAAACAGAAGGTCGTGTAGGCAGACATATAAGAGGGAAAGTCCCCCTTTAAGCTAAAAAAAAAACCCCCGACATAGTGTGTTGTGGATCATACCAGAGTTTCCAAGCTTTTATATCTTCACTTCACAGAGCCCTTGTCCCGTACTTGTCCTTTTATGTTTCACGTTTCTCCTAGTCTCATCCACTCCGCGGGTATAGCCCTCGGTCACGTGCTACATATTTTTTTGCGTGGATTATGTCACATGCCCAACCTTCTCATCCCAAAACGGCAAAAAGGAACCCGAGTACGACACCTCTCTATGGAGGCTCGCTCCATGAAGGAAAACACGCAGTCCGTGATCCGATCGCGGAAATCTCATCACAAGTCCCGTGCTGGATGTGGCAACTGCAAGAGGAGACGTATAAAAGTAAGCCGTCCCTCGGTCTTGTCATCAACATCCCTACCACCTCGAGTCCCGTTGCTACAGAACGAACCAGATGGAGATGAAAAGGAGCAAGAGGTCCAGGCTACTGAGACTTCTCCGCTCGCTACTCTGTTTGGGTCCTCCGCACACGCGGGCAATAGACAGCGAAAGCCTTCAAGAGACACTTTCTAACAGTCCACAGTGTGATGAAACAAAGCCGTCATGCTCAAAATGCATCCACCATGCCATCGAGTGCGACTTTCAGCAAACAGCAGCTGCACTCTCAGCCTCGCCATCCTCAGCACCATCTCCGCCTGCCTCATCCAAAGGTTCAACAGGGCGGTTCAGGTTCAAGCCGTCTAAATATCAACCAAAAGAACCCACATCGAATGAGACAAACCAGCCTTCTCCCCGGGTCATCTCCACAGAGGTCCAACCAAATGACCAAACCCCTCAAAATACCCTCTCCTTCACCGACCTCCGCCTCTTCCACCACTTCGTCACAGAAACATACCGCACCCTGGCCGACGAAGCAGTAGACCACAACCGCCTCTGGCAATCCCACCTCCCACAATGGGGTTTCTCAAACCCATCAATCTTCCACCTAATCCTTACACTGGCAGCCCTGCACTTAGGCCATCTCCAACCAGAAAAGAAAGACCAATACGTCATGCAAGCAGACAACCACTTTACCTTCGGCATCCGATCTGTAACAGCCATCCTATCCAGTCTGAACGAAGAAAACTGTCAATTGATCTACATGTCCGCGGTGATGATCTGTTTCGTTTATTTCGGACATGGACCTCGATCCGGTGAATACCTTGTCTTCAGTGAGACTGGAAAGGCTGAATGGCTCGTTCTCATGCGAGGTGTGCGATCGATCCTGATGTCGAGTCGTGATAAGATATTCAGCGGCGTCTTGGCTATTCAAACGGATCCGAGCGTTGCTGGTATTAGTCCGGAATTTCAGGATGAGCTTCGGACACATCGATCTCATATTGAAGACGCTCAACGATTTATTGAGACGCAAGTTGGTGGGACCCCGGCTTATGAAATGTATATTGGGGCTCTTGGAAATTTAATTGAGATGTTTGATGAGGCTTATTGTATTCGAAGTTCTGGCAAGGATGGTGTGAGTCTGATGCATGTTGTTGTTGGGTGGATTTATCGGCGGCCTGAGGAGTTTATTGGTTTGCTTGAGAGCAAGGATCCGTTTGCGTTGATTATCCTTTCCTACTGGTGTATTCTGTTGAAGTTTATGGGTTCTTCGTGGCTTATGATCGGCTGGGATCGACATGTCATTGCCGGAATTCAGTGGTCTCTGGGGGCTGATTTCCATCGTCATATTGAGTGGCCTGTTAGTGTTATTTGCAGTTGATTCAGTGGTCACTAGAGGCTCAGTTCAATCATCGTATTAAGTGCACAATCCAGAAATCCAGAAACCCAGAAGCTTATGGACAAGAAGCAGGCGGTAGGGACCAAAGCTAGAGAGTTTCAGTGGAAGGTGGGAGCAATCAAGAATGCAGAAACTAATTTTAACCATCTACAGCGTCAAGTTGCAAGCAAAAAAGCTCAGCTGAATGAAACCGAGTTTATGATCGACCTCCAAAAGCAGCCCATCGAAGAGAGCGCTAACCCCACTGACAAGACTGGCATCTTGAAGTAGGAGCGTCGCCAACCGGCGAAAGGACCACTGTCTCCGGACAGCAAGATTGCTTTGCTTGACGCCGCCTGGGGAGCCAGGTGTTCGGACATCGCGGACTACCGGAAGAAGAGCCTCGGACTTGCAACCCAGCGAGTGGAGCCGTTGGAGGTGGCTTGTTAGTGTTATTTGGTTGACCGAGAGGCACCGAAAGAATGGAAATAATTGTAGTTGTCTAATTCGCACCAAATTGTATGTAAAACAAGCAAGGTATTAACATGGACTCATATGAAAACCACCACCACTCTCATCTAGCCCCAAACATCCTCCTGCCACTTGTTCTTCTTCTTGATAGCCTTACTCCAGTTATTAACCTCATCATCATTCCACCCCTTAACATCCTTCATAGTCAACCCAACAGCCTTCTCAACCTCCCTCGCCATGCCAGCCCGACCACAAACATAAAAGTTACCACCCTCATCAAGAAGCTTAACAATATCCTCCCCAAACTCAGCAACGCGGTCCTGCACATACTGCCTCGGCGACCCCTCAAGCCTCGAGAACGCAGTAACAATCTGCAACCGCTCACCTAACGCCTGCTGCATCTCCTCTAGCTCTTCCCGGTAGATATAATCCTCGTTCGGGTTCCGACATCCGAAGAAGAGAATCATCGGTCCGACCTCTTTACCAATCTTCAGCACTTGACACCGCTCAGAGAGGAATGCGCGGAATGGCGCGAGACCTGTGCCTGCGGCGACCATTACCAAAGGCGTCTTGCCCGTTACCGGTAATTTGAACTTGCTGCGGCGGATATGGGCGAAGACCTTCCCGCCCTCGAGGGCATCGCCGGGGCCATTGAGATGGTATGTGATGCCGCCGGGGTGGGGTTGGGAACGTGCTTGTTGGGAGATGGCGAGGAGGTAGTTGGATGTGACGCCGTGGATGAGTTCGTTGGGGTTATCCGGTAGAGGGGATGTGGAGACGATGGCTGTGATGGATGGCTTACGCGGTGAGACGACGCTGCTGGAGGAGATGGAGTAAAAGCGTGGTTTGATGTGCGGGAGGGTTTCGACGAGGTAGGAGAGTGGGAGGTTCGACCAGGGTTTGTCCGGGCATGCTAGTTGGAGTAGGCGGCCGAGGTTGATGTGTGTGCGGTTAATGAAGCTGGCGTAGGTTTCTTTGTCTTGACCGAGGTTGAGGAGGTAGGCTTTTGCCTCTGGGGTGGGTGCGAATTGGGCTAGGTCGCGGACGTTGTCGCGGTTGACTGGGGCGCAGATCTCGAGGTAGTAGCGGAAGAGGGCGATAGAGCTGGTTGGTGTTGGAACTGTGATTTTTTCTGCTGGGTCGAGGGCTTTGATCCCCAGGGGGATGTCGCGACGGGATGAGATGCCGAGGACGTCGAGGAGGCGTTCGACTTCGATGTCTGGGTTGCCTGGCCAGATGGCGAGATGGTCTCCCGTCTTGTAGCTCAATTCGGGTTGGCTGCTGAGGTCGACGTCCATGTGAAGACAATGTCTGTCGGACGCAGTGAAGAGCTCTCTGGACTCGGAGATGCTCAGTGTGCGAACGGCCGAGGACTGAGCAGCAGCCTTGGGGGCCTCGATACGGCTGTTGGGCTCGCCATGGTGCAGGTCGATCGGCTCAAGAGATTCATCTTCCTCGACTTTTAGGCTCGGGATGTATTTAGCCTCGGCCTCTTCAAAGCCCAGCTTGTCTTTGAAGATCTTGAACAGCTCCTCCTTCCAAGACATGAAGTCTTCCTCGGTGGCACCTTCTGCATCATTTGCCTTGCCAACTGGCATGAGAGCTTGGGCGCCAAACTTCTCTAGGCCCTCAACAACAACATCGACAACACGGTTATAGAACTTATAGTTGGTATTACCCAAGCCAAAAGCAGCATATCGAAGATTCGACAAAGACACATCAGTAGCCTTCGAGATCCAGCTCCAAAACTCTGCAGTGTTGTCACTGGGATCACCCTCACCATATGTCGAGACAACAAAGATCGCCAGCTTAGCATTGGGGATCTCACTGATGGTGACAGGGTCATAGTCGGACAGATCAGCCGTCATAGCTTCCTGACCCCAACGAATGGAGATCTCGCGCGCAAGACGGTGAGCAAAGCCCTCTGCTGTGCCGGACTGCGACCCCCAGAAGACAACGACATTCTTCCCTGCCTCTTCCAGCTTCTGTGCGATGTTTCTGGTTTCCTTGCTTGCGGAGCCGAGTTGCCCGCCATTCTTTAGCTGTGGTCTTTCGAACCAGAGATGGTGGTATGGGTCTGGCTTATCCCATAGCAGGCCGCGAGATAGATATGTTGCGCCGACTCCGCCTAGAACTGCGAGGGCGGCATAGTCGGCTAAGCCGGTCGGGGTGGTGTATTTTGATAGCTCCTGCAGGAGCTCCGGGGGGATGTTGAAGTGTGGGAAAGTTGACATTGTGTTGGGCAGAGGTATATGGGGGGTATCAATTTATTAAGAGAAAAGAAAAGGTCGAGTCTTAAGAAGTAGACATGGAGAGGAGACTGGATTTATGAGAGAAGAATCCTATATGCAACAAGTAGAAAAGATTCAACGAAATCCGGGGAGACCACGGCCATAAAATAGACTCATTGTCCACGCAGTTGACCATTAGGGAAGAAAACCCGCACACTGCTCAAATTGTAGAATAGTGGCGAACGCAGCCTCCAAGTTAGGAAATCTAGATCTGCCATGGTAAAAGGCGGGCAATACTACCACAAAGATACAGTAGATTTCTATGCCGACTGATGGTAGAGATGAACTCACAAATGAATCGGGAGATATTCGCCGCAACAGATCAGCAGGGACACTGTGGAGATATGGGCTAAGAAGCCACCAGGATGCCAAGTATGACGAGACTATGGAACCCCAGACTCCAGCAATTGCCACGTTGAGACGAGATATGCACGAGATATGCAGCAGAGACGCCATTGCGAGCGATGGCGGTCCAAGTTAAAAACTACAAATTGCGGGGGAAACATCCACTTTCCAAGTTTGTCAATTTTCGCCGATGGAAGGGGGAAAGTCGCCCGCGTAAGTGAGGTTGGTCCTGCGGGGTAACTGCCCCGGACTTTTGGCTTCGGGAGCGTTTCCCTACGCGGGGAATTTCTCACTTTTTGGCAGACTTATGCTTCAGCTTCTGCATGTATCGGGATCTAAGATTAGGTTGCAGGAGGGATTTACATGAGATTCGGACAGGGCCCGTGTGTGAAACCTGTTGACCCCAGGTTCACGGACCACAGGGATGAAGCTTTGGGATTCTAGGAGGCTCTCGACATCTCGACGAACGTCTACCGAGCCTTGTAAATCACTTGTAAATCACTGCCTGTTGTGTAAATATTATAGCAAAGGACGACTCGGCTATCTTACAGAATTGAAGAAATCGAAACCAGAAGAGTAAAGAGAGAATAAAAAGTATGGAGAGTAAATTATAATCATCAAGTTCTCATTGTAAAAGGGAATCATCAAAAGTCGTCTAAATATGAAGATAAAAAGGCAAAACACCTTCAAGTAGAATCTCTAGGCTTCAGTAGTCCCCATATTCCGGCGCCAAATTTTCACAGGCATATCACCCAGAATCAAGTTCATAGTCTCCTCTCTCTTCAATTCCCAACCAGGGTAAGGCAACGCAAAGTCATAACGATGCACAATCGAAGCAATAGCCTTCGTCTGCTCCAGGTACGAGATATTGCGACCAATGCAGGAACGTGCGCCGGCAGAGAATGCAACCAAGTAGGGCTGCAGTGCCTTGCCCTCTTCACCCAACCACCGCTCGGGAATGTACTGGCCCGCATTGGGGAACACACCCTCATCGCGGTGTGCCACTAGGGCAGACATGCTAACAGAGGTATTACCGGCAACCCACTCCCCGAGGATGTTGGTTCCCTCGGGAGGTGTCTCGCGAGGAAGACCATGCGAGGTAGGCGGAAAGATGCGGAGGGATTCGTCGAGACAAGCGCGCAGGTAGGGCAGGTGCTTTACCTTATCATAGTCCGCGACAATCTCGTCTTCATCCAGAATAGCATCGAGTTCCTCGCGGAGCTTGGCTAGTGTCTCGGGGTTGCGAAGCAGCTGGTACAGCACGTTGGCAATGGCGATGGCGGTAGTCACACTACCGGCATTCATCATGATGTTGCACTCGGCGACAACTTCACCCCATTCGAGGTTGTTGGGGTTTCCATTCTTGTCTTCCATCAGAGCCTGGAAGAAATCCTCTAGTTTCTCGCCGGCTTCGTAGCGTCGCAGTCTCTCGCTGCCTCGGCGCCACATGATGTTTTCCCAGTTGTCTGCAGATGTCTGCATGCGTCCGAAAAATGGGATGACATTGACTAGCTTGTTGAGGACTGGGTACCATGCGTAGTCCCACACGATGTAGGATTGCTTGCGAGCAGTGGGGTAGAGGGCGTCGCGTAGGCTGGTCTCGTAGGTGGAGCCGTCTTTGCGTTCCGCGATACACATGTCAGAGCCATTGTCTAGGAAGCCCAGCTTCTCTGATAGACCGATGTCGGCGATGGCGTCGAGAGTGAAGAAGTTGCTCCAGGCTCGGAAGTCGAGTGTGAGATCTTCCTTGGCTGGTGCGACTTTGCCAGATGCGACGTCCTCGGACGCAGGTGCCGTGCAGACTTTATCGAAGTGCTTGAACATCCGTTCAACCTTGTCTGTGACTTTGTATTCCCATGTCTCGAGGTTCTTCAGGGCATATGCCGAGGAAAGGACCTTGCGCTTGCGAGCGTGGTCTGGCTTGTCGACGACATCTGCCAGGTTGTAATGGGTTCCGGCTGTGACGACATAGGAGGAATCCTTGGTGCATTTTGTGTTGTGGCCATAGATATCCTTGATGGCACGAACATCACCGTACGATAGTTGATTGGGCCCTGTTCGGATGACGGGGTTCTTCTTGTGCAACTCGATCAATTCCATTGATCGGAAACCTCGAGAAGCGAGTATCATGAATGGAATTGCTGAGAATCCAGAGAAGGGAGAGAGATTAGGGTATTTTCTTAGACCTATGTTGAAGTTAGTAAGGGTCTTCATTGTGCCTTGAGAAGGGATATCGAACACATACCCTTGGGGTCTCGAAGGTATTCGACATAAGGAAGCACAAGAAAGTATACAAAAAGGAAGAAAACAAGCCCAGCTGCATAGGGCGCAGCGGCAAAAACAAACCACATCTTGGGAGCTATATGTAGAGCTGCTCAGAACAAGAAGGTGAACGAGTTTGAGACCGTATAAACAAGTCCTGTTCTGGGCTCGCTCGTCCCAAACAAAATTTTGAAGTGAAGAGAAATGCTTGGATCTGATCTTTGAGGGCACATGGGAATGGTTTAAATATCATTGTCTCATGTAGCGCATCAAGTACCCTCCATCTTGTTTGGGAGTAAATTTGCCCGAAGGCAAGGAATCCCACCATCCACTCGTCAGGCGCTTGTTTCTCTCCATTTTGATTTTCCCAAGGTTCCGATGGTTCAGTTAATCATCCAATAATAATCCCCGTAATTTTCCCCAGGCTATGTCAGTCGCCAACGTGGGGTCCCAATAGGGACGGGGAATATTCCCCTTGTGAGACAGGGAAACAATCCCCGAGATATGCGGGGGTTGGAGCTTCCAAGTCGATCATCTGTACAGGCTTTGTTTAGACATCACATATTGCGTTTCTTATTTGCTCTCGAAATATAGTGATCGGTTATCGCCCTGGGCCAGCCACTGCTGGAACTTGTACAATGCTTGATATCGGTGCGAGAGTGCATTCTAGCCGGTGTTAGCATCACTATGCGCGAGAAGCGACATTAAGTCATCTTACTTTCTTGTCATGCTCCATTTCAGCTAAAGTCTCTCCCTCGTGTTCGAAAATCGGCTCCCAACCTGTTTCTCTGTGAATAATAACTCGGTTGGAATGCCACTACCTCGAAAATACTCACCGAATCTGGGTGGACCACGAGCAGGTACAATTTTACCCTGTCTGATGGTAAGCGGAATTCACAATCCGATCTTGGGACCTTATTCACCTTCAGTTTCCCCTGAAAAACCAGCGGCTCCATTGTTGGCCCGGAGGAAAAAGCAAACGTGCATACAGCTTGGGCGCTTTTGTCCTCGTAGGCAAACAAGAGCTTATTGAGACCGTCATTTCCCAATGACTCGAGAAAATATTTTCTTCAAGAACGGTGTTAGTAGGGGAATGCTATCATCCCTGTTGAGCCATCTGAGATCACTTACACATAAGGACCTGCCAACCCTTTCATCGCGTTGAACTCCAAGGCCGAGTCTTCTACCAACACCGGCCCATTGATCTACCTCGTCAACTTCAATCCAGAGACACCTCTAAAGTGAACCAATGCCCTCTTACAATCTCAGCGGCGCGTCGACATTTCTCGGTTGCGATTTCTTCCAACGTTCCTTGAATCTCGGGAATGTCTAAGGCAAGGGATTGAACTGGGACCGCCTCACCAAGGATAGCGTTGACCTCGATCACCTTGTTGGCATTACCAGTCACGAACATGCATGGCTTCATGTCGGGCTTGACCTTGACGAACCACTCTTCGAGATGGGCGTTGGCCCTCCTGTCGCAGCAGGATACACCATACCTCTTTAGGCCTAGTGCCTAATGTCCCTAGAACATCTCGTGGGGTTCGCGTGGACAAAGAGCCAACTATTCACAAGTTTAACAGCTGAGGACTACGGAAAAATTGGTAACATTCTTGAAGTGCGCCATTTTCTCACCATCGGTATACGAAAGATGAAAGTTAGGAGTAAAAAGCACAGGCGATAGACCGGCCCTCGGGCCATCTCCGCCGACCCAAACGACGATCCAAAGCTATGTCTCAGAGCCATTGATTCTGATACTAAACATGGACCGAAGATCTCATGATGCAAAGTTCGGGTCAATATAGTCCGTCAATAGCCGACCTCGGTCCTCACTGAGTAGATCAAGGTCTGGACCGCATGCACGCTATACTCGACAGGAACGGGGTAATGACCACATATTAGACGGAATAATTGGTCAATCCTCATTCTGCATGGAAAATTTAACCAACTCCTGAAACTAGTGGCTGAAGTGTGGGGTTCCCCGGATTGTTTCCTGAGGAGAATGAATTGCACTATAACTGTCTATACTTAAGAGATTTGTTCTGTCTCGGTCAATCGGGGCAAGATTGGCCAGCTTTGCAACTTACTTCGGAATCAAAATTGGGTATCTAAAGGTAATGGCTGCCTTTCTTTCTATCTCAATGTCGCTTTTGGGCCTTGCGGTTTCGGCTTCGGGTTTGAGCTTCAATGTGCCAACATTCCCGCCCTCGAACTCCAGTGGGCAGATCTCTGCTGCACCTGTCGGTGTCTCGTGAGTACTTATGTCCATTTGAAAGGTGAACTTACTTATCTGGTAGTCTGGAATTTTTCGCATTCCCCAAGTACTTCCAAGAAGTCGATGCAACAACGACATGTCTGCAGAATATGAAAGATCTGACAGGCACATGGCCACCTCTGAGGATTGGAGGAACTACTCAGTATGTATAGCTGCTCCTTCACGATAACGACTTACTAATATCCCGCAGAGATCGTGCTACATATGATGCATCCTCGACCGAGGCAGTCACCTACACAGTAGCCAGTTCAGCCGATGCGCCTCAAACACTGACTTACGGTCCATCCTTTATATCCTTGGCTGCTACCTATGCTGGCAAAGTTATCATTGGATTGAACCGCCGGCTGGATAACATCTCCAACACTATCTCGGCTGCGCTCCTTGTTCAGAGCAAGATGGATAATCTCTATTCGATTGAGCTTGGAAATGAGCCAAACTGTGAGTTCTAACCCGTGCAATGCATGCTACTTGCGTCAAAATGAAAGCTATACTAATTGACTATTTGCAGTCTTCACTTCCAGTGACCCCATTGCAAATGGCGCATCCTGGACAGCCATAGCAGACGAAGTCTCCCAAGTGAGCTGGCAAGATGATGTATGCGGGAATCTCTCTGCGTCCGACATCATTTCAGCAGGTGTCTACTTCGGTACTTCTCCTATGAGTCTTGTAGGGCTTACCGCCAAGGAGGGCGATGCAAATGATTATGTCAAGGACTATTGCTCTCACAACTATCCTCAGTCTTCTGGTAGCTATGATCTTGCTAAGCTCATGGGCCACAGCGCTATTGCGTCTCAGATCGAGCCATATGCTGCTGAGGTTTCTGCTGCGGCTGCCAAAGGCAAACCGCATATCTTTGGCGAGACTAACTCCGGTATGTTCTTAACTTATGAGATTCCTGGATATTATACTGACAGTTAATATAGCTACACAAGGTGGAGGTGGTATTAGCCCGACCTTTGGAGCTGCCCTCTGGATCCTGGACTATGTTATGCAAACCGTTCTCATGGGTACAGATGCACTTTACTTCCACCAGGGTACCGTTGGAAACTGTAAGTATTCGTACGATTCCTTATAGAGATATGCATTTTCTAACTCCTTAGGTCAATACTGCTGGTGGGGCCGTTACGATATGGGCTCACCTTACTACGGTGCTTATTTCGCCACCATGGCATTGGCGAACGCCGACCAGATTGCGCCTCTGGATAGCCAAGATACGGCATATGCCGCCTACGCCATCTACAAATCCGGGGCTCCTGTCAGAGCTCTTCTCTACAACTCCGATTACTTTACTAGCGGCACCCGTTCCTCGCAGACATATACGCTGTCCGGTCTTTCTTCTTCCAGCGTCACTGCGAAACGGTTGACCGCCCCTTATGCTACATCTCGGGTTGACCAAGGCTCGAACCCGACCGTTGCTGGTCGGACGTTTGCCAATGGAACTTGTGTTATCCAGGGCACTGAGAATGTGGAGACTGTTACTGTGTCTGGTGGAAAGGCCACCTTTACTGTCGCTGCCTCAGAAGCCCTGTTGGTATATCTTTGATTATTCGGCTTCATCTTCCTAAAAGAAAGTGCTTGTCCGGGAACACCGAGGATTGTGGATGTGTGATTGGGTCTGTGTGTGGAGGGCCGAATCCCCGCAGGCGCCGCCGGAGATTATCTTGTTAAGGCTTAGCAATGCTTAGTGCTAGAGGTCCTTGCATTCGTTTTAACAATGAACATTTCAATCAATTCTTCTTTTTGCATGACTGGTTATTTCTTAAAGAAGGGAACGTAATAAAAGCTTCCAGTAAAGCATGTCGTCGCGCATGGTAGCCATTTGGTATGGTCATGTCTCACAGAATGGGTACTTTGTGTTTGAACCTTGTCTCATTGACTATCTCAGGTCTTGGTATCTCACTACTGACAATCAAACAAATAGTGGATAACTTCGGTGTAATCTATAGCGAAGCAATTGCCGCGCTTTGTCTGGCGTCCACTAGTACGTTCCTTCACAAGCCAGACCAGCTACTGTTGCTGAAATACACCAATGTAAGCCTTTCATAGAGTTAATCGGCAACTGAACCGTTCCACGGGCTCAGCCTTGAAATTAATCCTTTGGCGAGTTTAGTTTCGCTCCAAGTCATTTGCGAAGCCGAATACGAGGCCCCGGACTATCTCCCCGCATTTTCATCCCTTGTCGTTTGTAGAACTGAAGCCCAGTAGTTTTAATAAGCCAGCCATTGCTAGTATGATAATGTTGGTCAAAGCTTGGGAAGTATAAAGATTACTATCATTCTCATTTTTACGTGTCGTTTTCAAATCGCTCCAACCCTTTGGACAGATATACCGTACTCCCATGTCCACGATGGATATCTCAAAGGAAAACGCCGAGAATATCGAAGATGTTTCTCCGAATCAGAGAGATGAGATGCCAGCCAAAAATATGGGGCCCATCATGCGGTCTCGCGAAGACGATCTTGGTGTTTGGCAGTGTGTGCTGCGATTCAAAACTGTGTCGCTGATTGCCATGACTGCCGCATTCAGTGCATCCCTGGACGGTTATCGTAAGCCCTTTGTATCTATGATCTGTTGACTTGGCACGAAAGCTAACATCTTCTGCTAAGAAATCAACTTAAATGGCGGTATTGTCTCCAACAAAGGGTTCATCCGACAAATGGCATCTCCAGGAACATCGATCATCGCCGGTAAATACATTTCCGCATGGGGAGGAATTCAATCAGCTGGTCAAACTGTAGGCCAAATCGTAAGTATTTCTTTCGATATAAAATGTCCGGCTTTTTATCTGACTTCACTCAAGCTCCTCCAATATGCCACCGAGAGATTCGGTCGCAAAGTCGCGTTCTATATCATTTGGATCGACATTGTAATTAGTGTCTTTATTGAGTCTTTTGCGACAAGGTGGGATCACTGGCTTGCAGCAAAGCTCTTTTCCGGCATGGGTGTCGGAATGCTCCAATCTACCTTGCCTCTGTACTTGTCTGAGATTGCACCGACTCAACTGCGTGGATTTTATATCAACGCATACAGCTTGTAAGTTGGCTCTCTAATAAGTGGGATATAACCTGACTTTTTCTAGTTGGTTTGTAGTTGGCCAAATATTTGCCTCGGTTGCCCTGAAAGAGCTCAGTGCTCATGATCCTTACGACTTCCGCGTTCCTATCTATACTCAGGTTCGTTGAACTCTAGCTGTTGGAAACACTTTACCTTTTCTATTAATTTACTAATTGTCCCAATCAGTGGGCTATGGTAGGAATCATTGCTATCATCTTTGTCCTTATGCCAGAATCACCCTGGTGGCTCGTGAGCAAAGGCAAGATTGATCAGGCGGCCAAGGTGTTGAACAGGTGCAATGGCACGGTCGATGGATACAGTGTCGATGAGCAGATTGTATGTAGGCCTTTCTCAGCTTTGGACACTTCATAAACAAATTGCTAACCACTGTACTTAGGAAATCATGAACGCTACAGTGGCAGAAGAGCGAATCCTTGCAGAGCGCAACTCAGAAGAAGGCATGTGGGCTGTCTTCCAAGGCCGCAACCGTATTCGTTTCCTCATTGCAGCCTGGCCAAAGATTGCTCAGCAGTTTGTCGGCTTATCTGTGTTTAACACCTACGCTACCTATTTCTGTAAGAAAGCGCCGCTCGAGACTATTACGCTTACAGCCCTAACAATGCTGCAGTCCAATACGCCGGCAACAAGGATCCATTCATGGTCACTGTCATCCTATCCTGTGTCCAGCTTCTATCCATGATAATGACTGCTGTGACCACCGACAGCTTCGGTCGTCGTCCTTTGACTATCTATCCATACGCGGTCACATCGGTTTCAGTTTTGTGCCTTGGAATCATTGGCTGCTTTGACTATACCAAACCGTCAACAAGCTCCCTGCTGGTAAGTACTTTGAAACACTAGTCAAGAGATTTGTTGGAAATTCGACTGACAAGTAACCTAGATCTTCTTTGCTTGTCTGGCCACTCTTTCAACAACCGGTGCATCCGCTATCGGATATGCCTACGCCGCTGAAGTTCCGCAGCAGCGTTTGCGTGCTCAGACAGCTGGATGGGCTCTTGCCTCTTCGAATGTCGTCGCTATCATGTTCAGCTTCTGCACTCCGCTGATGATCAACAATGCGCCTGTGTCTAGCTGGGGTGTTAAGACTGGATTTTTGTAGGTTCCCAGGGCTTTATACATGCTTTTCCGGGAAATTTTCCTAATTTCATTTCTCACAAATAGCTTCGCTGGTACCGGTACACTTTCCGTGATTATCGCTTGGTTCATTCTTCCTGAGGTGACACGCCGCACACCTGCTGAGATTGATGAGATGTAAGTCAAATATTCCTATATCCTCTTTATTTACCCTTTGATTTCAACCTGGACTAACATTTTTGGCTTGAAGGTTTGAGAAAAAGGTCAACCTTCGCAAATTTAAAGGATATGTCACTGAGGTGGAGATGCGTTCGAATGAACTGAGAGAGGAACATGAGATGGTTGTCGCTGCCTAATCTTAGCATGAATTAAATGGTCACTTTGGCTCGAACACATGCAGCTAAGCAAATCCGCCACTAGTTATCAATGCGCGTCGAGATTATGTCAAGGTGCGTTGATTATCGATTAGAATTTAACATACTAAAAATAATTTAGTGGTTTTCTACCCCGGATTTCCTATTTGGGCCGACGTGGCAATTTACTGATCTTTTCCATCTTTTGGCAGGGGGAAAATTGGCGTCTTGTTGGTTTACGTTTTTATCTTACTCATCGCCTTTTTGCAAACAATATAGAGCATACTTGAAGCAGTCTTGATTCCTTTAGTTCCGAAGGGACCGTCTGAAAGAAATGCTGAAATTAAGACATCTTAACACTTACATGACAATCTAATATAATCCACAATACCATGCTCCTCGATCTTGCCCCCGGTAATTGACTGACAACCTCAACAGCCTTCTCGAGCTTGAGTTCTACTGTTTTCTTACCGCCAGATCCAGACTTCCATGAGATCATAGCAAGATTATCCTTCCCCAGTGCCACCTTGGCTTCCAGAGCGTCGGTCAATAGAACTCGAGGCTTGAAAGATATCTTCGAAGACCCCGAAGCAATGGGCTGCACACCTGCCAACTCAGTGCAATACTCATAAATCGGCACACTCCCCCAGGCATGGCAGTCAGAGCGTTGCCTAACATCATCCTCTTCCCAAGTTGAAAGATTATTTGCCAACATCCCACGCCAGGGAACCAGCATCCGCTCCCAAAACGAGTCATAAACATCATCACCAGCCAAAGCAAGCGCCCGGAATGCATAGAAGCGCATCATATACGAGCACTTCGAGAAGCGATCGTTGGTGAACGATTCGGTCAAGATTCGCCCTCGGTCCTCAGGCTTCATTGCTCCACAGATCACTGCAAAGACCTGGCAGTGCTGCGAATATGAATGCTCATCGGCCACATCAACTGTAGAGTCTGTGAAAAATGATCCATCATAGCAATTCTTCCGGATAGCAAGTAAAAGCGATGCAGCACGCTCCTCGTACTCAGCCGCATGTCCTGGTCGCCCGACATCACGTACGAGTCTTGCAACTTTCTGGAGAACCCACGCATACAACATGCTGAAGTATGTATGTCGGTTTGTCTTTCGACCCGAAGTGGGAACACCCTTGTCGGGATGCTCGTCTGTCGCACCCCAGGTTGTCACCCAGTCTACGTATTGCCACACCACCTCAGGTAGTCCGCTGACGAGGCCCAGCTCATCGATGTGGGTATCGAAGAAGTCGAGGATTCCATCAATGCGAGGGATAAATCCTCGAGCGTAGCGTGTATCGCCAAAGAAGAGATGGTGGTCGCAGACTTGCAAGATCCAGTAGAGAGAGAAGCCTGCAATAACTTGGGGTACGTGTGATGGAAATCGGGACTGTGTGAGTCCTAGTGGTGTCACCGAGGCAGCGAAGTTTGTGATGGCCTGTCGCATTAGACGATCGTCGCCGGATAGGAGGTAGTGGAATAGGCCGACTGAGCGGGTGTCTCCTGAGTATCTATCGAGATATGTTAATCGGAGCTCATCATAGGCTTGGGGCGGAACCTACTGCAGTTGTTCGTAGAATGGACAATCGGAATATCCATCGAACATGCAGTTGCGCATGGTTCGAATCGACACATCCCAGATATTCTCGCTCTGTGTATCGCCAGGCTGCTTCCAACTTGCCTTGACTGCCATGGGATAGTTGACCTGAGTCGCATCGAATGATACTAACTTAATCGGCTCAGGTCCGACAGTGATCTCAATTCGCATCAGACGGAAAGTGCGGAACCAGAAGGGTTCGTAGATGACGCTCTGGGTGTCGGGAAGGTCGAGCGTTACCTCGTCATATGGGCCTATAATATGACCAACTGTTGCATCCAGCCGGTCAGATTTGGATCGGAAGAAGGGGTACGAGCGAGGCTCGAGTTCATATCCTTCTGAGTATGTCACTCGCAGTTGGATTTGAGATGGCCTTTCGACTGCCTTGAAGGCCCACCGCAGAAATGCGGTTGAGTGGACATCAGCCTGAACCTCGAGAGTATGATTCGAGTTTGCAGAAAGAGTAAGCTGGCTTTGTTTTGAAAGGAATGCCGCCCAGTACTCTGTGTTGATGGTGCTCTTGCATGATCTTACTGTGTTGGCAATAATTGCTGTTGACTCGGGCATCGGTATAGAACGTGGACGCAGATGCCAGGGCGGTATGTCGCCATTCAATGCCTTCATGTTGTATGCAAGTGGCTTCACTGGAGGGCTGACCTTTTTTGGCTTGACTCGCTCGCTGATCTGTAGATACCAGGTCAGCATAGGACCAAACCTTCGATCCGGGACTAGCTCTTACATGGAGGAACACATCGTCGGGCAGGCCCATTGGAAATTGGATGTTCTCATCCACATACGCCATCCATTGGTTAGTAGACTTTATATCAATGACTTCTGAGTCTGTTTCGATATTTCCGATGATTGTCAAGCCCGGAAGAGCAGTCCGCTCAAAGGGCATCGCACTCCTCGACGCCGCGAAATACCGGACCACTACGAACCGGATTTCATTTTGGCCCTCTGTCAGGTAGGTCGCAATATCCAATGAATCATAGTACCAAATCAACGGGCTGCTTCTAGTCGGTCCAACCGCAACATGTTGGCCATTGACATAGAGCTTGTATCGCGTGTCGGCCGAAAAATGAAGCAATGAGCGCGTCGGTCGCGAAAGCAAATTGACCGAGCGAGTGAAATGAACAATCTTGCCAGCAGTGTTCTGGTCTGAAGAATCAAGCCAGTTTGGAACCCAGATCCAGTTCGCCTGGAGCTCATTGATGGTCTATTTCGAGCATGACATGTCAACACTTGATTTTGGATATAATGGTAGCACGTACTTTTTGTTCCTCTGCTGACACCATTTTGCACATTGGAAAGCTATGCTTCTGTTATCTGCAGATCTTGGGTGTTCTGATAGTCTTGTAGATAATCCGGGTGGGGGACAGGCGGGGTCTCGGATGATCTTTCGCCGAGAAGGAAAAGCTGTCGGCGATTGAAATAAAGTTGCGAACAAGCGTTCAGGTAGTTCGGTAACCGTTATGGCTTGATTCATTAAGGGTGACTTGTTGTAAGCAATGCTTATCAATACCTACCCCGGTTTTCTAAGCCTTGTTCTTCCCCTTCCTCTCCCAGGTATACCTCACTCCGAGCTATACATTCTTAATATTCACCCAAAGACCTGCTTGTTATTAATTGTTAGTCCTTTGACGGCACGTAATGGGAAACCTAAAGGACTATACTAATAGATCTTCCCAACAGTGGACGAAGAGAAGGCCATTATTATGGCCAGGCATGCTGCTTGATACAGCTAGCCCTGTAGATGCTTTCATGCAGTCCTCCTATGACTGTGCTCTATACTCATTCATCTTGCTCTTTGAGGCCTCGGTTTGCTTATAGTTCTATCATTTGTGGTCCTATCATTTGCTGGGGTTTTACTGTGTACCACTTCCATCTTCCTCTTTCTCGAGGTCTTTTAACCTGTTCTACGTTGTCCATTTCTTTTAAATATTATGAGAGAAATGGAGGCAGATCAAGCAGTCGTTTCTCCAATTTGGCCTTCGTTATTTCGTAGGAGCACAGCATTATCCATTGGTCATTCATCTTTTGAATCAATTAGTTCTTTCTCTGCCCTATACTACATTATGACTTTCATCTATAGTATTAGAGAAAGAGAGGCAAGGTAGCCATATGCCTCTCCTGTTTGATTCTCATTGTTTGTGGGAGGACAGAATTTCCTCATCATCCATTGGCCATTTCGTCCTTCAATCATGCTTGGTGTTAGACGTTGTGAGAGGAAGAGGGACAAGGCAATTAGATATCCCTTCCGGCTAGTTCTCATTGCTAACAAGATACCACGATCTCGTCCCACTCTATTAGCCATCCATCCTTTATTTATGTTTGGCCGTAGGGGCCACAAGGGAGAGAGAGACAAGGCAGCCAGCCATCCCTCTCGGCTGAATTTTGTTGTTTCGTAGGAGGACATGGATTCGTCATAAGACAATATAGGCTTCTGGGATGTTCTTGGACGAGGCGAATTGCTGATGGCGCTGTGGGTGGCCGGAACCTCAATAGTGTTGTCGGCCTCCGAAGGCTTTCCCCCTTAGATGCCGGTAACACCGTTGGAATCCCCTCCACCCACTGTGCCATCGGTGATATCGCCTTTTTATGCACATTCCAAGCCTGTATTATCTTGTCAGGTAGCGACATAATGGGTTCTTAAGTGTGTTATCTCCGTCATTGATTGTACGGCGTATAGACCCTATATATCCCTGTTAGTTCCCTTTTTCTCACTTACTACTTTGTTTTTCAAATCGTTCTACTTCTGTTTTTTCTGTTATATGGCATGAGAATGAAGGATGATGTAGTCATGCTGTATAGTGGCGAGGAGAAAGACAGTTGAGAAGTTATTGTAAAGCCCCTTTATAGATGTTGTAAACTTAGATTGTGTATGGATAAGCCGGTATTACCAGTAGGGCTATAGGTAGCGGGATTCTCGATATTGTTACCGGCGTCTGAAGAAATGACCAGGTCAGAGTATGTCGAGATCTCCGCTACCTGCAGCGTTATTAATGATACTTTCTAGGTTTGCAACATCTATAAGGAAGCGGTACAATGGGTTTTGGGCTTTCTTACCCCTCATAATTTCTACGGTGTATTAGAACCTAAACGAACACCAAATTGGATGCTTTTCGCACTCAGATCTTTCCTCTTTCCAGATACTGCCGCTAGCTGTCTCCAAGGTAATCACTCAGAATGAGACAATCCTTCAATCCTTCGAACATCATCCTAGTAGGTAATGAAAATATTCCTTAACCAACTAATTTAAATCTATGGTCCGTTCATAGTATCATTCAGATATGAAAGAGCTCACAGACTTACTAAATCCTTCTTCCTCACTCGCATGTATATTCAATAGACGCAATCAAGGTGGCCATAACGTTCATTGAAACCCGTGTATGTCTGAAATACACGCACTTGGCGAGCACAGCCTGTTAGGCCGATCTCAATATCGCTTCGGCCAAAGTACAAGTACGCTCGCACCCCAAAATCCAATCAATAGATCTTCATTGTGTCAGGGGTTCCACTGTGCCCAGCCATACCCATGCATGTATGTATGGTGCAAGACCAAATATCATGGCTAGCAAACCTTGGGGCCGGAAAATCGTTCCAGACCTTTTGACCTGTGCTTCCAAGCTCCACCATGTGGCCTAGAGACGATAGTCGCGATAAGTAACAATTAATGACACATTTAAACAGATTATATTGAATTGATTAGACAAATATATCTAACATCATCGCCAGTCGTTCAAGTTTCAATTCATGGTAAACGTGGAGAAAAGCACCCTGGACCACCTGGGCGGGATGCGAGAACAAATGCCACCCAACTATGTACGGATCTAATCTCTATCTCTATCTATATTCTACTACCCTAGCTCTGATCCACTGTAGGGTAATCGATGTAGTGGAAAGCATTATCCTCGAATGGACCATAGAAGCGAGTTCGGTCATAAGGAGTCAAGGGCAACTTCTCCTTCAGGCGGCGGACAAAGTCCGGGTTGCTGATGTAGTACCGGCCATAGACCATACCATCATACTTGCCGGACTCGACCACTCCCCAGGAATTCTCTTCATTCCACCCACCACCGGAGAAGAAGGGGGTGGAGCCGAAGATCTGACGGAAGCGATCGAGGGTCACGTCTGCTAGACCCCAGCTCTCAAGGAACTTGTCCTTAGTTTCAACATCGAAGATTTGCTCATAGCGCTGACTCAGTTAGCAGGGGGAATCAGGCAGAAGTAAAAAGACAAGACAACATACCGGCTCAATAAAGCTAACATAAGACAGCGCCGGCAAGGACTTCTTCAAGCCCTCACAGAGATACGACCAAGTCTCCAACCGCTGCTCCCCACGCGCCTGATTAAACAAACCAAACGGCGACAAGCGAATCGACAAATTCTCCTCGCCAACCGTCGCAGCAACAGCACTCATAAGCTCAAAGACAAACTGGCACCTCTTCTCGGGGGTACCACCATAGCCATCCTCCCGCTTATTGATGTTGGAACTTAAAAACTGCTCAGGCAAGTAACCATTACCAGCATGGATTTCAACACCATCGAACCCAATTTCAATGGCGGTCTTGGCAGCAGCACAATAATCAGCGATAGTTTTCTGGATGTGTTCCACTGTCATTTCGACCGGTGGATGTTTCGCGTACAACACGGGCGAAGTGGAGCCCTCGGGCGGGTGCGAATAACACTCCGTTGGGGAATCCCACACGCTTGCCGAGGGACAGACAGCGGGCGATCCGGTCATCTGTGGGATTGTCGCTCGGCCTGCGTGCCACAGCTGGCAGAAAATAAATCCTCCCTTTGCATGCACGGCGTCAACGACGCGTTTCCAGCCGCGGGCCTGTTCGGGGATGAAGAGGCCCGGAACTCCGGGCATTCCATTGCTCTGAAGAAAAAAAATAGTGTTAAAGTTTGAGACGGAGACGCGGACAGTGCGGAAATGAGAAATAGGTTGATTTTGACTGTCATCTGTTTTGACTGTTTTGGCTTGTTTTGGCTTGTTTTGGGGCTGATTTAGGGCTGATTGCTATACACACTTACCTCCAGTGATGGTGGGATGCCCTCGGATATCATCAAGCCACCTTCAGTTGCCCGTTGGGAGTAATACTCCACCATGAGGTCCCCAGGAACCCAGATTCGATTGGGATTCTCTGGGGTGGAAGCCTTCAATGGCTCGCCACGGTTGCGGGTCAACGGCGCGTGAACCACACGGTGTTGAAGGGTGATTTTGCCATTGGAGATAGTCAGGGGTCGGAATAGACCGGAGTCTTTGCCGCTGAGTTGATGGATGGTCATTTTATCGTCTATAATATTATGAACGGAGTACGGAGTACATGTAACAGGGAGAATTGAAATGACTATGGCGCACAGAGTGGACAATACATATGAAAGTGTCAAAGGTGTCAGCTCGGCTACAGGAACATAGGGTTCGACTATTCCCAAGTTGTCTAATGGTCAAACGACGGACTCGTGGCGATCCCTTGCACATTTTTGGGTCGGCAAATAACAGGCAACACTTGCTCGGACCTCTAATGCATTGGTGGAGACTCGATTACCTCGGCTAGGAATCGCCCAGAACTACTCGATTGGAGCGGACTCGGCTCGTACTTCTATTCCGTGGTGGAACTATTCCAACTCCCCGATCAATCACGTCTGCCCATGGCGTAACGCCACGGATCGATAGCCTTCCAGTCTCCACTGGGGATCGCCGTCGGCGCTTCAGTTGCCCTTTTCATCAGATATTTTTGTCGGATCGTTTTGAGTCGCATGAACTGGTTCCATTGTCCTTCTTTATCCCATCAGCTCCCCGGGGGTGATGTGATCCTTTGTCTTTCAGCCCATCATGTCTGACCACCTAACGGATGTCCTCAACACAATCAATCTCGTCACACAATGTCTCTGTATTCCGATCGTTACTCTCTTTGTCGCCTTGCGCTTTTACACCCGGATACGATTCAAGCAAACCCTGGGGGTTGAAGATTGTATGTTTCTTCCTGTTCACTATTCAGCTCCTTCTAACCTCTTCTAGATAGCTGTATCGTAGCTTGGGTACGTTCAAGTAACCTCGGATTCCTCGACAAAGACTAACACCAACTAGCTATTGTTCATGGGATACTGCGCAATCAGTATCGTCAGTAAGTACCTCATATATCTATCCCAATCTAACTAAACCACCTCTAACAATCCCCCAGTCGGCAAACATGGCGGCGGCTACCACTTCGACGAACTAGACGGCGCAACCCAAATCGAATTCAAAAAGTTCTGCTACATCGCAACAATCCTTTACTGTCCAATGGCCCTCTTCGTCAAAATCGCCCTTCTCTCAATCTTAACCCGCATCTTCGCTCCTTACCGCGGCAAAGTCTGGTTCATCTACATCTTCCTCGGCTGTCTCTGCTGCTACTACACCGTCGCTCTCATCATCAAGATCCGCATGTGTTCCCCGATCCCAATGTACTGGCTTGGTCCAGTGGAGGGCGGCTCCTGTCTCGACCAAGCCGCCGCTCTGATCGCCGACTCGGTTATCAGTGTTGTCAGCGATATCATCATCCTCATCCTGCCCCTGCCGCTCACTTGGTCCCTGCAAATGTCGCGGAACCGAAAGCTGCGCGTGATGGGTCTTCTCGGTGCTGGTGGTTTGGCTACTGGGTTCAGTCTGTACCGTCTAGTCCTCGTGTTGAAGGATGGTAATTCGACCGACATGAGTCTGATGTTTGTTCGAGTCATCTTGTCCGGGTACGTTATATTCACCCCGTTCCCTTTGCATTCCATTCCATTCCCATCCCCGTTCCATTCCTTAATCTAACAAACAACAGAAATGCCGAAGGAGGCGTCGGTCTTATCTGCGCCTGTCTTCCGATCCTTAACGTCCTCCTGGCCCACTACAAAAAGACAGTCTCGGACAAATACTACCAACACAGCTCGAACATGGCCTTAAGCGAACGCGAACGCAGGTCCGCCCCGTCCAAGGTTGCCTCCGAATGGGATAAGGCCACTGCATTCGGTGATCAGAGCCATCTGATTTCGTTCGCTGGTGCGCCCGAGGCGAGCGATTCTTATAACTCTGAAGACGGGATTCGGAAAACGGTCGCTGTGTCTCAGACTGTTGAGGCTTCATGACCATGACGTACATGTATATTGTACACGAGTTTTTTTGGCTCTCCCTAGCCTTTGCACCTTTTTTTGGTGCTTTTCTTTTGGTTGTGTATACCCTTTCGTACATCTATAATGAATTCTCTAGAAAATATATTGGATATTATTTGATATTGGGCAGTTGATTTGGTTGAATGTATACGTCATGTGTGAGTGTGATTCGATGTTTCTTCCAAGGTTGGGCTTCGGGGTTTGTCTAGATTGATAATTGGGTTTATACTTTAAACGGCCGTGCAGAGAAGAATGGTGGAAGCTTCCATGTTTTTTTGATCCTGCAGGAATAAGCTTAACGATCCTCGTAAAATGACCGGCCAATGGCGGGATGTGATGGCTCTTTGATGTGTAGGCGTATATTAGCCAATCAGAAGTCCATATGATGCTCTAAAAAACCAATGCCTTTCAATTAGGTACATGTGTTTTTCAGTTGCGACTTCACTTCATATGTCAATATCTTCTCCCTATCTCACTTAGTATCTTCCACTTAAACCATTACTAAAACCTAACCAGAAATAACAACTACCCAAAATCACACTCATCGAATTGAAGGATTCGGATCAAAAAGCCCGGAATTATACCAAAGCCCATCCAACCCCGCATCAAATCCCGTAGACCAAGAAGCATCAATAAAAGGCCATTGAAACATATCAGTTTCAAAATCATGATGGCCACCAAGTGAAGCACTATCCAAATTAGAATCACCTTGCAGACCGGGCGACGGAGATGTCCTCCCATGAGCAGCATGTGAGCTATGAGTATCGCCCGACTCGGTGGTCGCCGCTCGAGTCCCGTGTGCATCTCTATTCGGTCGTGATCGGATATCGCCGTATTCGTCCAGTGTCCCTGCCAGTGCGAAGCGTCGCGGACTGTGCATTCCTGAGTCTGTATGTGTCTGATTACTTTTTACGGTTTCGTAGAAGCGGTTTGCTTCTTGAACCGTTCGCCACTGTTTTTATTGTTAGTTAGGATGGATGGTTTATGGTTGATGGTCATGGTGGAAGGGAAGGGAAGTCTTACCCAGCTGCGACCAACCGGCCAAAGTTTACTTAGTCTTTCGAGGTAGACGAGGTTTCTGCTCTTCTCTTCTTCCGCTCTTTCCGGTCCCCCGGGATATCGTTGTGGGGCGATTGTTCCGTACATGTTGATATGGGCAGCGACGAAGACACTGAAGCCTGAGTATGGTGATATAACCGGTGCGCCTGAGGCGTCGAGGGCCGAGAGGATACCTCCGATCTGTTGAGCTGCTTCGAAGAGTTGTTTGATTGTATCGGGCTCGCCTTGGATTTCATCATTTGTGTCGTGAAATACGTCGGCATGGGGTTTGAGATTTGATAAGAAACGGTCGCGGTGAAGGAATAGTATGCTTCGGAAAGATCAGTATCGAAATCACAACTTCATCATGGATGGCATGCATACCTCATGCAATACACCAAATTGATATATGCGAAGAGCTCTCCATACCCAAGAGCCACGTGGGATTGAACACTAGTATCGGGATATCGAACGGTATTATCCTGGAGAAACCTCCATTCATCCAGTTCCTCTTTTAATCCCTGCCACGTCAAAAGCAACGGCGATGTCGTGGAATCATCCGAAGACATAGAAGCCAGCGCGCGTCGATGTTCGTTCGCAAATCTCAAAATTCGAACGAAAATGTCGAATCCTCGAGTTACAATTGTGAGGCCGTGCTCAATTGTCAGGCCTCTGGCCAATGCACACCCCTTGTTCATATCAGCGGGCATTAACCTTCTAGCGGGCATATGATTGAAAGTAAAGTCCCGATCGCTGATTGGGAGGGGTACAGAGATTTGAGAGAATGAAAGTGCAAAATGTTGCCGTGCTCCGGAACTCAGTTCGCAGTCTTGCGCGAAACAGCACCAGTAGGTCCGGACGAGTTGCTCGTATTGTGTTTGCGATGCGTGGAATTCTTGCGGGTTGTGTTCCATGCTGTCATCTGCCATTTTGAGAAGTGATTGGATCATGTAGGTAGCCATTCCTGCTGCTTGTCAGCGAACAGTCTATATTTGTATCCACGAAATTCAGACATACCACTGTACATCCAGGCTTGATATGGTCGTCCAGTGCCCCATTCATAGAATGAGATCATCACAAGCGACTGGGCAAGATAGAGCGACGGAGCTTCAAGAACGCGCTGGGCCAGATTTTTGCGCGCATAGTCGGCATAGAAATCCTCTTCTTTGAGTTCATCACTGCTCATGAACCGGACGCACAATGAAAGAACCGAGGCAACGAAAACGGAATCGACCGAGTGGACGTTGGCGGATATGTCGGAAATCAAAGAAGGGTAGTGCAGAAAGTTGGTAATGGGGAACTTCTTTCTGTAGGTTTCTACTGCGCTGATTACGATCGCTGGTGACAATGCTGCGATGGGGTTATCCGCATCTGGAGCCGCTGTGGCACTGGCATTCTGAGGGGTCACTCGATCTGTATTCCTGAGGACTGGCGATAAGGCCAATGAGGCCTTTCGCTTTCTTGGACTTCTTGATGAGACGGTGGTCTTTCTTGAGCTCTTTCTTGCGACACGTGGATCTGATAGGCTGCATTCTTGGTTTTTGGTCTTTTGGCAGCGTTGACACGGTGGTTGTCCCTCATGGACGCATTTGACTTTTGCTTGGCTGAGCGATTGATCAGTTCAGGTCATGTAGTAAGACTTCCTGATAATACTCACCGACAAGCATCACATGATATTGATAGCCGCATCGAGTCTATACTCGAGTGGGTGGACCTGGGGTAGATGAAGAAGTGACGGCCATGTATCGGGTATATCAGGAAGCCAAGCGTGTCGGATCAACGTAGGAGCGCAATTGGACCATTATGTTTACTTTCATTTATTTTTGACGAACAAAGAAGCAGACAGATGCGCAAGGAAGCGTGAATTGAGCTTCGGGACATATCGCAACGTCCGAATGTGGCTAGGGCGATCAGGTGATCGGTCTACGCTATGAACTTTGAACATCGACATGATCTTGACTTCGTGTTATATTATATATTAATGCGTCTATTTTAATGGTCATTCCATCAATAGCAGGAAAGTGGTAATTCACTTGGCTGCCACAGTCCACTGCTGCACCCACGCATTGAACTTATCTATCTGCAGCTCATCCGTCGCCCAAGAGGTCACGAAACGAACCACCGCATTCCCATCGTCAAGCTGCTCCCAAGTATAAAAACGGAATCTGTCCTGCAGTCTCCGAACTAATTCCTGGGGAAGGATAACAAACACCTGATTTGTCTCCGTATCCGCAGCAAGCTTATATCCAAGCTTCTCAAGATTAATGGAAATCTTCTGAGCCATCTGGTTGGCATGCGTAGCCAATGTGAAGAATAAATCTGACTTGAACAGCTCCATGAACTGAACTCCCAAAATGCGTCCCTTGGCCAACAAGGCACCATGCTGTTTGAGGTGGAAGACGAAGCCCTCGGCCAGGTGCTGCTTGACGACGATTGCCTCCCCCATCAGCGCACCAGCTTTGGTTCCACCAATCCAAAAAATATCTGTCATCTCGAAGATATCGCGGAGCGTGAGATCATTCTTAACAGAGCAAAGCGCAGTTCCGATTCGAGCTCCGTCCATGAAAAGCAGGAGGTTTGACTGCTTGCAAATCGCCGACAAATTGCTAAGCTCGCGTTTCGTGTAAACAGTTCCAGTCTCCGAGGCATTAGAGATATAAAGAAGGCGAGGCTTGGCCATATGAGGGAAGAATTGATTCTGCTGAATGGCTTTCTGGAGATTCAAGGGTGTCATCTTCCCATCGACGGCAGGAACAAGGATAAGCTTGTGTCCGGTTGCCTCAATTGCACCGGCTTCTTTACACGCAATATGTCCTGACTCGAGAGTAATAACAGCCTCGTATGGTCTTAAGCAGCTGGCGATTGAAATGAGGTTCGCGGATGTGCCACTGGGAACAAAAAAGATATCGGCTTCGTCCTCGGCGCAGCCGATCTTGTTTCGGATCAATTGTCTCGCATTGTCGCTGTATTCATCTGTTCCGTAGGTGGCTTGTTGTGTGGAATTTGTTCGTAGGAGAGCTTCTAGGATTTGGGGGTGAGCTCCTTCGCTGTAGTCGTCCATCAGGCTGTATGGAAGGCATGCCTCCTCTTGGCATAAGCTGGTTGAGGGCATGGTGGGTATTAATTGGGTGGTCAAAATGTATGAAAACAACAATTGATAATTGGAATAGAGCTTTAAAGAGAGGAAACAAAGAAACCGCCACTGAGTCACGGTGACTAAATATAAAGAATCTTCGGGAATAATTTTCTCGGGAATATTGCCACATTTATTCCCGAAACCCGGGAATCCCCTTGCTGAATTCTTATCAAGTAACAGCTGTGGGCCAGAATCGAGGGGACGCACCTTTTTTGGGGTAAAACGCCGTCGAGTCTCGTCGTGCGGGGTGTTTTACGAGTCTGTCAAACATTCGGAGATATTCCAGATCTGATTGTGGGCCAGTAGCACGCCGGAGGTTCTGGAACTGCAAAAATAGACACCGGGCAATTAAATTCCACTTGGCAAGCTAGTCATGGCTATTTTGTGTCTCTCGCGTCTCTTCATTCGCCTTGTGTCACCATTGATCCGGGACAGCCCGGGTTGCCATAGTTGCTTGAAGCATACAAGCTTGTGGAGTTCGCGAATTTAGCATCAGCCAACCCTTGCTAGTGCGGGGAGCCTCATAGGTTGATCTTTCCCGAGATTTTATCCCACACAGCACAAACATCAAATACACTCGAGGTAGATCTAATATGATCCAAATATTTTGGAATTACCAAGATACCTGAGATAGGTCGTCAATGAAGCCAGTTCCCAGTACTATATACACATTGGGCTGCGTTCCACATTCCCCAGAACGATATAATATACAAAACTCCCGCAAATAATGCAAACATGTCATCTTTTTGACACATTAATCCTCATGATGTGTAGATCGCAGGTGCGCCTGCTCCTCAGGGAATCCATCCTCCATCTTAAGGCGCTGATACAGCCGGACCCGCCAGCCACGAATGACCAGATAGCTTGCCACAACACCACAGAACAGGCAAAGAAGCAAAATGAAAGCGAATAGACCGCCAATGTTGCGGATAGCCTCGTAAGAGTGGTTGAGGACTTGGATGGTCTTTTGGGTTTGGGTGTCCATTGCATCGGATGAGGTACGGCCAGCCTCGTCCATGACATTGTCTCCGCCGGTCTTGTCGCTCGCTTGGTAGATGATCGAGGGATCGTTAGGGCGGGGTTGGCTTGGCTGTCCTTTGTACCCAACGGAGTTCCAGTTGGGGTACTTGGTGCGATGCACCTCGGACTTGCCAAGGACGGTGCCGTTGACATCCACGGCCTCGACTGATACCCAGTCGAGGTAACCAGCGCTAACAAACATGGTTTCGAAGTCGAACTTAGGAGTCGATCCAATGAGCACGGGGAAGTGGAATTCAGAGGCTTGGGCGTAGAAGTTCCATGTCGCGACCTCGGTGGCTCCGTTCCAGCTGACCCAGAACGAGGTAACCATGTTGGTCTCATCGGTGCCAGACACCGAGGCCACCACATCGGGCGGGGTGTTGGGGCGGCCAGTAAATTCAAATTTGTATCCCCGGTAGCTCGAGTAGCGGGGAGAAGTGAAGTTGGCTGTGAACAAGAGCTCTCCATCGGCACCATGCTCAGAGATATAGCCTCCTTTGCTCCAGCACGTGAACACATTGTCGTTCGGGAGCCGCTGGGTGTTTCCACGGAGTCTCGAGAGTTCGCTGTCAGGGCGGTTGTAGCGTCGGATAACACGCGCGGTCATTGGGTTTGCGCCAGTATCCAATTCCACAAACATAGACGACGACATATTCTCCTCGTTAAATTCCTCGTCAGATGCGTTGTTCAAGAAAGAAATGATATGGTGTGTTCCATTCGATTCCACGAATTTCGCGTCGTGCTGCTTGGAGAAGGTAAAGTCTTGCTGGAAATTAGTATAAGCTCCGCCCAGTCGCCACATGATGTCTCCATTAATGCCAGAGATCATATAAATAGTATTGGTGAATCGCGCCGAGATCAAGTAGTCGCCGGCTTCATTCTTGTCAACAGAGTTGATGTGCACATAGTCCCAACCTGGGTGTCCTTCCGCTGCCGAGCCCGGGCCATAATGGACACTCTCGTAAAGAGGAATCCGATTGAATGAATCCCACCATTGGATCACCTCGGCCGTGTTCATGTCGATCTCCGCAAATCCACCAGACTCGAGCCAGGTAGGCTCACCAGGGCGGCCAAATTCCTCGAGGGTAATTTCATGGGAGAGGTAGATGGTAAGCAGCGCGGACTTGCCATCGGGGCGTATGTTAAACTCGTGAATGTCGAAAATTCCCAGGTCGCGTCGCAGAGGAAGTTTTCGGTCCTGTTCATAATCATTCCTCAAGACAATTCCGAAGCCAGAGTCCTCTCCTCCATCCCACGAGTGTTGCAACACCATGGAGAGGTGCGGGTCGGAGCCAAGACTGTTGGTAACCTTGAAATCGAAGACATTGCGGTTATCGAACTGTTGCGAGCCGGTCCAGACGAGGCGCTATAATGCGAGAAACGCAGTTAGTTGGTGGGATTGCCTCACGGAATAGTGGGAAACGCACCCCTTCGTCATCGTAGATGTGCGGACCGATCTGGTATTGTTCGTAAAGACTGCTCGGTGGGTCGGGGTCGATGTGTAGGTATGGCGAGACAAACCAGTACCCGGGGCTAACGCGCTCGCGATTGTGGTACTCGATGTTGAATTTCACTGCCCTTACGTCGGGGAGCTGCAATTTTAACACGGCGTCAGCGGAGAGTTAAATGGCGGGAATTCGCGACCACGGACCGTAACGAAGGAGAAGAGGTCATCACTGGAGTACTGTGCCAGCACAGTCTGGCATAGCCATACCAGTAAGACGCTGAAAAGCAACATGGTTCTAATGAGTGACAAAGTATAACATCAGGGAAGAAGGGAGACAGGAGGTGAAGCGCCCAGACGGGCAAGAGGTCTGCGGATCTGATCATTCAGGACCCTGCCACCCGAGGGGCCAATAACGGCCGCCGTACAGTCAAGCGCCAGTTATAATTGGGCCCAAGTGACGCAGGGAAGGGGTTGAAACGGAGGCCTTTCTCAGGCTTCGTCTTAATTTCCCGGTGGACCCTTCTGCCAGAGGCTTCGTCAGCGCGAGACGATCGCTGTGGGATTTATTTCAAAAGGTTCTAGCGTCTGGTAGACCCTTCCAACAGCCTTACCTAGTATACTACTGTACGTCTAAGTCTCCGCAGTATTTTAAATAAGTCCACTTAAAACGTCTCTTTTCTACAGTGTGATTTGGCGTAAACAAACACATTGGAGTGTGTTCCTGCAGGCTATTACATCACGTGACTATGGTCTAGGTTGATATGCAGTCTATCTATAAACTCAAGAGACTCGTGTAAACGAACGAGTATCACAGCCTCAGAGCAGTAACAGCTTCTAACCCCCAGGCCTACAGCTCACAACCTAGAGAATACGCCAGACAACCCAAACAGATCCCAATTACCTAACTCTAATGCTTTAATCCGTGATGATATAGAAACAAAATACCCAACTCTCAAAATGCAACACCAAGCCCTAATCCCACAAGAGCCAACCAACTCCCAACAGGCCTCGCCGCAGCAGCTCCCTTCGACGGCGCCGCCTTCTCCTCACCCCAAGACTTAGTCGGCTCACTAGTGCTCGTAGCTGAAGCAGTCGTAGTAGCATCTGTAGGCGTAGCCTCAATGGCATTAGGACTGGGAGTTGTATATACATCATTAACGGTGGATCGTCCCTTGTCGTATGCGTTGGCGGTGCGGCAGTCGTGTTCGCTAAGGAGTTCGGCGGATACGCGGTCTTCGCCGACGCAGTCTGCATAGCAGCTTTTTGGATGTGTTAGTTTTTTATCTGGGTAGGTGGAATGGAAGTATGCTGTTGGTGGTTGGTGTACTTACCCGAAAATGTTGGCTGCGCCTGAACACTTGCAGTCCCAGTCACTTGAGGCGCATTTGTCGAGGCCCTTTTGCATTATTGAGACGCAACTTTGGACGAGTCTTTTGCGTGTTAGAGTCGCTTGTATTTGGAAACTTGGATTATTGGGGACTTACGGCACAGAAGAGCATTGCTCGTTACCGCTTGGTGCTGTGATGGTTACGCTTTGAGCGGCGACAAGGGCAGTTGATGCCAGCACCAAAGACAGACTGGTGGTGAGGAAGCGCATTCTCAGGACGAATGTAGTCGACTAAAATTTGACAAATTTTGGAGGAATTGAGTCTCAATAAGTAGAATAGATCAAATGTAGAAGATTAGAGTCCAACAGAGGAATTGTCTTGATATTATATGATAGCTGAGCACCAAACCAGCGCTCAACCGTTACATTGCCTTTCAGAAAGGATGGATCCTTGGAAATCCTTTCCAAGATTCTAACTTATCTGTGTCTATTCACGGTACATGTACATGTAGCACTTTGACAGGTGGGTCTTGGACAGATCCCACATGGAGAAGTAGACCGGGGTCCACCAGAACAGGGGAAATCTAGAGTTCAGGTACGATCTATGATCCAGATGATTATCTGCGTACATTTCAACAGGTTCGTATAATGGCTCCATTTATTTAAAAGGGGAGTAAATCAATTCAGATCTACAAAAAGAACCCATACTTTTTCCAGGGTGAACATATCCCCTAGATAGGAGCTCCTCCAAAAAGCAAGAACTGACCAAGACGACCAAATGCAACCAATAGAACCATTTTCCGATCGAAAGTTACCTACAAGTGGCAACGGGAGTAGATAGCAAAGGGCAGCTTCGACATCATGACTCTTGCAAGGTCGCATTCCAGCCAGTACAGTTACATTCCTCGGTCAACAGAGCTGCTTCCGTCAGCCAATAGCAAAAGACTCAGAACCGTCTTGGGAATATTATGGGTCTCTCCTACGCTGTTTATCTTGATTTTTCCTTTTGTTCTAGATCCAGTGACAGTTTGAGTTTGGTACCTGCATGGGTGCTGAGGCTAGTTTCGCCGTCCCTGGATTTTGAATAGATTGCACCACGGTTTTCACTAGGAATTGATGAACTAGATTGAGACAATGCTATTTCTTTTCTATGTTCCTCTGTCAATAGTATTGTAGTTTGCGGCGGGAGCAAGCTCTGTGGCGTGGTTTTGGTGGCTTGGAGCCCTGGTTCGTCGTACAATATCCAGTTTTTGTCTTACCTTGAATTTATCTATGCAATTTATTTAGGGCTTTTGTATTCCTGATGTTCATATAAGGCCAATGATATTAGTACAATAGATTTTTGTGCCACTTTGCTCACATTTGGAAACTGGACTACTCGATATATATAGGGCCATTGCGCGCCCGCAATATGGGTCATCAAGTTTCGCCTACCAGCAATTCATCACCAACAAAGTGTGAAGCACTGAAAATATGATAGAGCAACAGTCATGGCATTCGTGTCTTTATATACAGCGGGTCTAACAACCCCAACCCTATTATCGTACAGAACACAGCAGAGAGAAAGCCAATCCATCACAAATCTAAGAAGAGACCCACAGCCAGCAGTGAACCATGCCAAAAAACAACCCCAAACCGCCAATTACTCAATCAAATACTTCCTCACTCCTCCTCATCCTCATAGTTCCACAACTTCTTCCGCTCAGTAACCCACCAAAGCCCAACCTTCTCCGCCTTCAACGCCCAATCCACAGCCTCAGGCCCAAACTTCGAATAAACATCCGCAGCAAGACCCCCATAGACCAAGCCGTAGCAGGGCTGAGCTCAAACGGATCCCTTTCTAGATCCGTAAACCGATACTCGAAGTCATTATTCAATGGCAGATTCAACCGCCACGGCACAGCTGCCGATCCAACACTGAGCATCGTCCCGCCAGCATTGATGACGCCCATGTTCCATGCTTCGCGGCCGTTGTGCGAGTCGCGGTACGGTCGGATTAGGGATTGGCCTTCGTATTCGTTCATTAGGTCCTGGGCGATGATTGAGTCGGCTTCGTTCAGGGAGGATGTTGTTACTAGTAGGTCGAGGATTGTGGGCAGAATGGAGATTGCGCTCCCGTTTACGTTTAGGTGTAGGCGCGGTAGGAGTGGGTGGTGGAACAGGAGTGGTACGCGGAAGTTGCTTATGTGTGGGTTTTGGTAGGTTCCTGTTACTGGGCAGTCTTCTCGGAAGGCTTGGCCGCTGGGGTTGGGGTTAGATTTTGGTCTTTGTATTTGTTGGGAGGGGATTGGGTTGGTTTGTTGGACTTACTGGTCTCCCACGAAGACTGTTAGGGTTTCGTTGGCGATGTCCGCTTCCTGAAGCATTTCCATTAGTTCTTCTAGCCAGGAGTCGACGAAGCTGTTTGCGTTGAGGAAGTCGTCCATTGCTTCGTGCTGTGATCGGTGTTTGTGTCCGAAGTACTTTTGGCGGTGGTAGTCTTCGGGTGTACCCCAGGGATGGTGGGTGGTACTAGTGAAATGGGAGAGGAAGAGCCTCTTATTCTGAGACAGAGTTTCGTTGATCATGTCTTTGATATAAGGGCCTACCTCGGTCTCGGCGTAGCTGAATGGCCTTAGCATAGACAAACGAGCGGGACCACGGGTGTAACAACATACCCGAAATAATTGATCTTCTCCATATCATCATGGTAGTACTTCGCATTGGTAATATCAATATCCTCAGAGTACAAAGACTGATTGAAACCAAGCAAGTTCATAAGCTCAGTTTGTTCCTGGAACCCTCCAGTAACAGACTGCGCATAGAGAGTTTGCCATTCCCGCTCGCGGGGATCATTAGTGGAATCCTCAGAGCGGGATAAGGCGCTCTTGCGCTTGTTGAATAGATCCATGATGTGCATCAGACACGGCTGGTATGGAATGATATCATTCTCATGCATGAAGTCCACTGGCAGTGGACCAAGACCGCAGTAGTTGACAAGACGCGATTTGGCGCTGAGGCTGCTCCCAGACAATATCCCGTCGAAACTGATACCTCCAAATTCGGAGTTTACATGTCCAGATTGACCAAAGCCAGATTCTTCTCCAGTGAGCATTTCTGCGAATGGCGTGATCGTAGAGAGCTTGTCATGCAAGTCCTCTACATCTTCGTCCGAGTAGATGTCGTATGTCTCACGGATCTGATCATAAAGACGAGAGTCGGTCTTGAGAGGGAAGAGGTCCTTCCGGCCACTTTCCAAAAACACGAAGACGATGTGGTTGATCGGGATAGCGTGATCTTTCAATGCCTCCTGCAGAGGCCAAAGTGGATCTAAATCGAGGTTGGTGATGCGCAGGGGGTCCTGACTAGGGTTATAAAAGTATTGTCGTGGCCCAGTCGTCTTATTCCGGTGACCAAGATCACCCTTATCGTCTCTCTCGGATAATTCAGTTCGAGATGTATTCGTAATCCCGGTCATGTTAGCTTCGGGATGCACAATCCACCTCTCGAACGCCAGAGGCAAAGGACCCTGTGCCCAAGCAGGCTTATCATTGCCATAGCCACGGTTACCAGCGTCGTCCATTGTCGGCGCCCATCCTTTATAATGACCCTTGGCAGGTTCATAGAATTCCGCAGCCAGCAATGAAGGTAGAGGAAACGAGTCGACAGGAATCCGACGGGTGCGAGAGTGTTCACCGAGCATGACGAACGGAAGAGCTCCGGTCATATGATTATAGGGTATGGCCGGTCGAATGAGCCACATTCCGAGAGTCATACCACTCCCAACAAGCGTCCAAAAGCGCGATCTATTGTAGTATAGACTCCTCAAACCCGAAGGGCCAGACTGCTGCGAATGTGATGTCTTCGTATCTCCTTTGATATTCAAGAAGGCGCATAGCCAACGGCTCATCAGATTCCAGATTCCCTGAGCCGAAAGCCACGACGCAACCCCGATGGCAGTTGTGGCGGCGAGCATGGTCGCCATCCCGCTCAAGATCAACTTCATTCCCTGGCGACTGGCACCCACGGAACGGGCATCATCCCATCGAATCTCGCTTCCGGTTGAAGAATAAAAACTGATTTGCGATGCCGTTGCTACTAGGTCAATCAATCTGGAGGTGGATTAATGTTAGTGGGATTGCGCATGGTACTTGGACTGAAAGAGGAAACGGTAAACGAACGCGAGAAGGGCCGAAATAACAACTGCAGCCACCGACCACCGACCGGAGGTTGTATATAATAGAAGCCATACTATCCCAAAAAGAAGGACTTCTTCAATAAAGAATGTAGGGAAATATAAAGCGAGCAGATATAGGGGTAGAGAGCGGTGTTGGTATATGTGCAATAATTTGGAACAGAGACCCGACAGTACCAACACAGCCAGTATTAAGCGCTGGGGATGGTGGAAACGAGTGGAAATCATACTGGTCTGCCTGTGACCAACATGGGGGACTGTTCGCAACCCGCTAAGAAAGAAAATGAGAGGAGAGAAAAGGAGAAAAATTCAGGAGCGTGAGACTGAGAATTTGACTGCTCGCGTGCTCCACAGGCAATCGGAGTTGTAACAGGGCCATATCCATATAATTATTCTGAAATGGCATCGGAGGACCGGGGCAGACAAGGCCAATCCGAGAGCATTGGTGCTTCGCTACACAAGTCCATTGCAGCCTTGATCGGATGGGATGATGATCACGATCGGCACAGCCTTATGAGCACAAGTTCTGGTTGACATGCATCTTTCAGGGGCCGTCTGTAAATTTGCGGCGGAGTGGATCCGCGGAGCCTCTCGGATACTTGGACGGAACCCCTGTCGCAGTTCTGGTCCAATGCAATTGGAGTTGGGAGCCCATGGATGGCCTGTTGCGGGCTGTAATGTGTTGATATGATTGGCCTAGTCGATCTACCTAGATTGTTGTCGCGACTGGCTTCAATTGACGGTCTTGGCTGGCGCTTTCGTACTCAAGTAGCGGAGGTACGAGACATGAAAACTTGCATATACATAATGTAATTCACTACCGAGCCGCCACCCTCTCTCCATGTAAATAATTAAAATGCAATTATTTCAACCAAAACGCCATTAAATTCAATAGACTAGAAAGGAGGTCTATTTGGACATGCATTTCTTTTATGACCTTCATTTCTACACGCTCCACACTTCGGTAAGGCCCTCGTACGCGGATATAAAGGCGCGGTAGCCGGTCTTACCTTACGGGAGACCTATGCTAAAACTGCTTACTCCGGCTGCGCTATTAATAAAGAGGCCTCTAAAACTAAGAGACCTTCTACGAAAGGTATTTGCCTTATAGACCGAGTCATTTTTCGCTTCTTGCTCTCGTTTTTAGCGCTTAAAAAGCCTACCGAGCCCGCTTAACTCCGCGATAAATTAGGTTTTAAAGGCCTACTAAATTACGATATAATCGGTAGCTTTGCTTGAGAAAGAAGTAAGCGAATTACGCGTTTAAAACGAGACGAAGAAGCGAAAAAGGACTTGATCTAAAAGGCAAATAGCTTCCGAAGAAGGCCTTTTAGTTTTAGAGGCCTCTACCTTAGCAGCGCAGCTAGTGTAAGCAGTTTTAGCATAAATACCCCGTGAGGCAGAATCCGCTCCGACACATTTGTAGCCACGTACGAGAGCCTTACCGAAGTACAGTATATATAGAATGCAGGGTCATAAATTGACTACATGTCCTAATAGAACACGTTTTTAGCTTATTGAATTTAATGGCGTTTTGGTTGAGATAAATGCATTTAAAATCGATAGGCTTCGTGGGGTGCGCCGCTCGCTTGTGTGCGCCGCTCGCATGTGAAATACGTTACCGATGGTTACATATAGTAGATTTAAAACCAACATGTTAGCTATCACTAGTCTTCTAGACCTATTCGGGTCTATTATCCTACCAACATTCACCTTACTCCCGTGTTTCTGGTTATCATTATGACGAGCTTACCTAGTCAATCCATCTCTGTTTACGGCGTGCCAAACTTCATCCGCCCCCACTATATAGGTGCTCACTTTACTTGATGATAAAGGAGTTTAGGGCACCTAGTAAGACCAACCAATTGATAGACAATTTGACATTATGGTAGCGGGAAGTAGTAAAAGTTAAAAATCATCCAACATAACTTTTGAAGAAAATAGAAGCAGACTTGTCCAACCATTAATCTCATTCTTAGGGATATGGAAAGGCCATATGACCCGGCCTTTCTGATTGGATCTGGCTTCGGCTTTGGAAACGCGTGAACGTTTAGATATCGCACTTTGGCAAAGGACCTGGTTCACCGGCTATTATTTCAATTAGTTAGATAAGGACAGGATTTGAGTAGCATGACTAGAAAATTGGAAAGCCATAAATTCTGCAAAGAGCGTAAGAGAAAAACTTACGCTTACAAGCGCCGTTCAGATTGCGGAGCCATTCTCTATTTTCTGTCTTAAACCATGTCCTATTGCCATGTTAATAAAGCATTGGTTTGAAGACTTATCAGTTGAAAGCTTGATATAATGCAAACAATAACAACATAGATAGGGATCACTCACGTGAGACCAATAGGAAACGAGCATATGATAGAGAACTTTTCGCCAGGGCCTCTTGTAAATTGTGAAGCGCCCGGACAGGGAACCTGCCTAATCTGTTTAAATGTAGTAAGCTCGCATCTTCTACCCTGACCCTGACCCAGTTCCTGTTCCTTTTTGATGAAACCAAGATCTGGCGATTCGGGCGTGGCCGCTGTCATTGCCAGTGGTAGAATGGTAGCGAGGACGATAAAGGCAGACTTCATTTTCAAACAGGCTCTAGGACGTAGATTTTGTGTTATTAGTGCCTTGTATTTCGATAAGCACAGGCTGAGATTTGGACCATCATTTGGTATTGTGCAAGTAGTGTTTATATAGTAGAAATTTACAAAAGGCAAAATGAAATAGACACTAGTCATCCTTGTTACCATGAACTCATTAAGAGTCTATCGAGTCTAGATTCAAATTTTTGTATAGAATGACCTCAAATACCCATGTAGGTCTGTCATCATTATGACTCTAAATGCAGTATACTAAAAACTTCCGCAATGGCAATCCATGCCAAAAGATTTTGTATTTTAAGCTTCAACCTCATGCGGCTGGATTTTGGTTTCATTGTCAAATTGGTTGAAGACATCCTGTGGCCCGTATCCTGAACCGTTGATCTAATTCGAACCGCCCTAGAGTTCGAAAATATTGTTTCGCGGAAAGTTTAACCGTAGATTTGGATACATGGTAATAAGCTTGAGTTGAATGCCACATGGTACTGTCACAACCTCATAGTTCCGAATCTAGACTCAGTCAATTATAGCCTTACCACTAATATGAAAGCGTCCATTCGGTCTAGGCAAGCTAGGGATAGTATACCATTATCCTGCCCAAATCTGCTTTAAGCCAGGTTTGTCTAATTGGCATTGGGATGTCTATTTGGTTGAAAGAAGTTCTCATAGACGGGATCTACAATGAGGCATGATAGGTTTTAGCAACACCCCAGCCCCCCACCCCCTCCTATTATATAATACATTCTGCCGGTCACAAAACCTTATGAACTAATTTAAACAGGAGTATACCATTCCTAGCTCTCAATGATAATCGCCTCCCCACGATGCGGCTTGATCTCTGAGAACTACTGTATTTATCTCATAGGTTAGTAATTGCTATTGCATCTAGAATTGTCGAGCGAACCACGCAGTCGGCGCAGGAATAGGTTATCAAAATGATCTCACGGCCCAAGGGTTTAGGAGCCGCTGAACGGTTTGCTCAAACTAAGTCTGAGATTCCAGCCCAATTTCTCGGGAAATGCTTGGCATACTTAGACTTCCGCATGACCCAGCTTAACCCGGACCCAACCCCGGACCCAGCCAGGGTTGGGTTTTGGGTCGAAGTCCCCGACCCAGCCTGGGTCCGGGGTCCAACTTGGGTCATAAACAGTGCAAACATCCTAATTATGGTTATTATTTTGATTATACAGCAGCTATATGGATGCCAAGACCTGGATTTATGCAAAAGCTGGGTCGAGCTGGGCCCAGAGGGCCAGAGAGACCCGAGTGATATCTTTTCAGTTGCCTGCAAATACAACTATAAGAAGAGCACACATCAACTTTTTAATTCAGAAAAATTGTGCTTAATCAATTGGTCCATGGAAGCCTATATCAATTTAAAACCCTACTTTATTATCACGGGCTTGTTACGCGCACTAGCTTTGCTGGCCCCACCTTGATGTTTCGGCAAGCCCACCGCCACGGTTGGACCCAGTCTAATTATGGACTATGCGACCTGAAAATCTAGAATTGGCTATGTGACGTATATGGTCGATCATCTGAACCTTGTCCCGATTCTGTCTTTGTGAACCGTTCTTAATATAGAGGTTTGATAGTCTTTATATATGCCTGCGTTACGCATGATTCTCCACAGTAAAAAAGGGTTCTGACTTAATGGCACCAATTTACTCACGATTGAACTAGAATACGTGTAAAGTAATCGATGTATTTTTTACTTGGTTTTTCTTTGAATGGGTGCTGTGGCCATTGAGCCACAACACGAAGACTGTATTTGAACAAACCGTATATATCGGACACTTCAGCTTGCCCGACGTTCTGTTAAAAAAGGCCTGCAAGTGTATGAGCAATCATGTGTTTGAAGGCGTGGACGACCATTTAAACCCTTAAAATTTACGCTAAGTATTGTTATAAGATTTTGGCTTCTACCTATTCAGACCATTTTCAGCACCAAACTTTTTAATTACAAGTATTGCTTATACTCGCTAGTTGCACATCAAGTAGTTATGGAACGACACCCTTAGCCCCTTATATATGGCCCGGTAGCGATCTATTATGCTTGTAAGATATCAATACCCATTCTGGGGGGACCGGGGGGGGGGGGACACAGAGTCTAGAATTTAGACAACGATACATAGAGGCCATAAACGCTTCCTTATTTGTTCTTTGACTAAAGTCTCATATTTCTCTCAATTTGGTAGCAAATTTAACTGAGGGGCTATATGTATTTCCAATATCATACTGATTTGTCCATTTCACGTACTACTTGTTTGGAGCCAAGCCTTTACCCTGGTACTACCTCGGTATGGGCTTAGGTCTTTTAGTATCCGGTAGCATAGTAGAAATTGCATTTAATTTCTTGTGCGATCTGAGCTGTGGTGAGTGACAAGCATTCTATTTTGTCAAGGATGAGACGTAATGACGAACTAACGGAGTAGTGAATTTCGATTAGACTTATTCATCGCTCTTCCATTCCTCCCTATGTTTTGTATGGTGATTTGAGTATACTTGGAAGGATGGCGCCATAATGCGCCATAGCAGACAGCAGGGGTTCGACAGATACACGCACAGGTCAACTCCCAATCAACCCGATATTCTCAGGACTAGCTTGTACGCAGATTCCACTGGCTGACACTAGTGTACCTTGGTTCATTTCGGTGACTGCCTGGTACCATACAAGAGATAATTTCATCGAAAAATTGTTCCTAGGGCTAGCTAGGAAAGACCACAATTTCACTAGCATCAAAGGTATGGTAATATAGAAGACGCCACAATAATAAGCCACTTTTAGTACCCGATCACTAGGGGATGAAATCCCACCGTTGACTTTCTTCAAAAACTTGAGAGTTAGGTAACAAACTTTAGAAAATATATTAGAAAAACAATCTTCCCCTAAATTTCATAACACAATTGAAAACTTAACTTACCCTAAATGCCCAAAACCTTGGAAGCCTGTGCCTTGCACTGAACCATGTTCCAGTTCTTGCGCCAGTCAGGCTTAGCCTGTGCACTGGCATTGAACCTCGTCCCAGTGCTTGCACCCGTGAGGCTTGGGGCACTTTTTGTTGCACTTGCACTGATGCTTGTCCCATTCCCAGTCCTTGCACCAGTCAGGCTTGTGGCAACACTTGCACTGATGCTTGTCCCATTCCCAGTGCTTGCACCAGTCAGGCTTGTGGCAACACTTGCACTGTTTCTTGTTCCATTCCCAGTCCTTGCACCAGTGAGGCTTGTGGCACTTTATGTTGCACTTGCACTGATGCTTGTCCCATTCCCAGTCCTTGCACCAGTCAGGCTTGTGGCAACACTTGCACTGATGCTTGTCCCATTCCCAGTCCTCGCACCAGTCAGGCTTGTGGCAACACTTGCAGTTAACCTTGTCCCATTCCCAGTCCTCGCACCAGTGAGGCTTGGGGCACGTCGGGGCGACGCAACAGCAGAGTTTCCAGTCCCAGTCCGAATCCTTGCAATTCGGATAAGCAAGGCGGTTCGGGCACACCGGGCCCTTTGTGCACGTACAATTTTCCTTGTCCCAGATGTCCTTGCAGCATTGCTCTTTACTACAGTCACCACTCGTGCACGTGCATGTATCCCAGTCCCATTTCTTACAAGTAGGATCGTAGTGATCGCACTTCCTCTCACCGTCGCATTGGCATGTATGTTTGTTCCACACGAGGCAGTTGGGATTATCCGGTTTTTGGCATTTTTTCTTACCGCCTGTCCACGTGCGGTAGCTCAGGTCATTGTTGTATGGATTTGGGGAGTTGTCTCTAGGCTCGCTCTCAGAGACGTAGTTGTTGGTGTCCTTGCATTCGCAACTGAAGAAATCCCAGGTTTTGCAATCTGGGTCTATCCAGTCACATTCTCCATTTTTATAAACTAAAAGGGTATTAGCATAGGCCTTATTGAGAAAGACTCTCCTAACATATACCTTCAAGATTTTCATGTCCATCAACTTCCACCTTAGTCGATGCTGTGACAAGGTCGAGGAAGATCACAGTCAAAGTTGCATATTTGGCTTTCATACTGACAGTAAATATATTCTTCGACTATATACTAGAGGTCGAAGATATAAGTAGGAGAATTAAGGTAGTAGTGCGTAGTGCAGTGAGTTAAGGAAGGCCGTAGTGCATTATAGAGGATGGATTTACGTTCTTTATATACACCCCAATCCACCTGACACGGATCAGGATATCACATCATGATGATCCTACGATAAAGTCTACAAAGTCTAGACATACGTCTTTCCGTATTTGATACGTACTCAAAATATAGTCTCTTGATACAACATGGTTTGATTTTGATTTTGATTCGTCTACGGTATATTGGAAAAGATAATTCTAGACCCGAACGATTATCCTAATTTGAGTTCATCATATCCAAGAGAGTAGGCTGTCACTGAGAAAAGTAATGTAACAGAAAGCTACCAATAGTTTTGCCACACATAATACCACGATTAACTAAGATTTTATGCGTCAGTAGGGTCTGTCTTCCGGCCTGTTATACCAAGTTACAATACACGAGAAACGATTTCCTTTGGGTTTCAGGCTGTTGACTACCACGAAAGAGGTATATTCAATCACCGGGACGCTTTGCGCGCGGCGCAATCGTGTTTCATGTCTTTGATCTGTGTCTTTGTACTCTGATATTGCGTTAGGGAAAGACTTGGTCTAGAGTTCAGAAGCCATCACAATTTCTATTATCAAGAGACCGCAGATTCAAACTTAACCACAATGTATTAGTATAGAAATTGAATGCACATTCATCACTTTGTCATCATAGGATTTATAGACCACGCCACATGACCATACGATTTATTATGCAGTTTAGGCTACGAGACTGAAGCGTCTCATGCCCGGACCCTTGGTTAGTCGTAAACTATGCGACCTTTTTTTAGCCATCTAGATTGCCTACAGGCAACCGTACGTGGTTTTACCAATCATGAGGTTCCTTTGGCATCCCTCGGCCGCCAAGACCAAATTTCTGGCGTACGCCACACTTTATCTGTGGAGGCTTGGCAATGTACAGCCTTGGCGCCAACGTAATGCCAAGGCTGTACCGTTTTGGTGCAGTTTGTTATGGCCAAGGTCACCTATCTATCGTCGCAATGTGACAACACGGTTTTCGTGTCATCGAATCATATGGTGTAATATTGCCTCCTGTCTTTCAGGATAGGAATAACTCAGTCAAAACGACACATTTGCCTGGCCAAGCTGAAATATTAAAAAAAAAACACAACGACAGCACCACTCGTTTCCAAACTGGAGAATCCCTATTGCACTTAATGCTAGGAGATTCCATCTATACCCTGACTGAGCAAGACCACGGGTGGAACTCAGAGTGACGACCTTACTTATTAAGTATGTAAATTCAAATCATAAGATTTATATATGACTAGACCTCTTCAACTCCCATGAGTCCCATGTAGTCCCATGGGACTTGCCAAGAGTGGGGTGGATCCGTTGACAGTCCATGGGACTGTAAACCATGCAGACATTTAGAACCCCGTGACTTGCATTGTTCGTGCAGGTTTGACTCTGTATTTTTTGTTATGCTATTTACCAGCATTAAAAGGAATTCGTAGGAACGTATAAAGGACATAAAAAATACAGGATATAATTTAACCTGGTAGTAGTAAACGTTCTAATTCTTTTTATATACATTACTTTGAATAGTAATTTATACGCTATAAAATGATCATTATCTCTCCGGCGCTTCCGATCTAGACAACAAGCTGCACTTCCTTGTGCTTGGCTGCTTATGAGAAATGGACCAATCATGTTGAATTCACTCCTGATGCTCCAAGTGTCTATTGTGAGGTCTTTTTTCCAGCCTTAGCCGATGCCCAATGACTGGAAAGCAATCCAGAGCCGCCCATCAACGAATAGTCTGCACCTATCCACTGACAACAATTCAAACACTGCTGAATATAATATATTGTGACCCATAATTATGGTCAAGATCATTGATAAACCAAATCCATGGATTAGACTTAGGAGAGAAAACTGGAAATTTGCACTAGAAAATGGATACCGGATATTAAACCCGACCAGCGAACTACGGCGTCTCAATCTGCCTTTATACCACGGACTGGGATAGGTGTCGAGGTGCACCGTATTACTGTTAACTAAATAGATGTCATGGAATGTTACAGTATAGAATTAAGGTTAACATTTAGAAACCTCTTTATTACCCTTCCGTTGCTGTACACGGTTGCTGGCAAACTCTATTTTAAAGCTGGTGGATGAGCTCACCGGGAGCGCGTCCAAGGTTTAAGCTAGAGTTCCGTACGGTGGATGATAAAAAAAAAAAAAAAAAAAAAGGTCTACTAACTTCCGGCACTGCCTATTCGAGCCGGCCTTACATCAAAGTAACAACAAGTATGTACTAGGAAGAGGCCATGGCTATAGAATTCAACGATCGCTATCAGAATGATCGTATCGGCATTATGCAAAGTGAAGGGGCGTAGAAACCGGAGCCATCACACCCCCGCGCTACGGCAGTCTCCAGCCGCCAGTGCGCCACATGTAAATTTCAGAAAATAAGTATTTTATAAAATTGAATAAAACCAATTTCGTACGAACTGCAATTCAACCTACCCTATCCCAAGGGGGAGGGGAGAGTGTCGGTGACTCGGATTAGGGTCTGGCAGTTAAGTATGGAAGAAAAGAGGTAGGACCACGGCCACTCGATTTAATTTTCACACGGACCACTCGAATTAGTAGTTGGCGTCGGATGAGGTTTAGATTTTCAGAAGTTACATTCCCAAACGTCAAGTTTACGTGGTTAAGCAATTCGCGATTCAAAATGGCACTGTTTTAGTGAGGGCCCAGGTTAGGTTTTGCGACCGCAGTCAACCACCCACAACATGAACATTTTGGAAAACAATTTGATCAGTCTAAGGCTTAATTAGACGGATACGGGTCTAGAATTAGATTCAGGGGTTCGTAAGGTCCCTAGTCATCGTCTAGTTTAGTTTTAGAAAAATCCCACCATATTGTCCACCCTATCATCCCGCGAGGGTAGGAGCCTTGAGCCTGATGGCTCATAGGGTTTTGCTCTATCCCACCGGAGGATATCCCATATCATGGTGATTTGTATTAGGGGTTTCTGCTTAACTATGGTGCGAAAGAACTGCGTCCACGGCCATATGGATTGGACGAACCCACGGCGACACTTTGGGTTGGGGGGGGTTTCAATAGACTTCTCCAAGTTGTGTATCAGGTTTTGGACCCAATACCCAATAATTCAAAATGTATCACACCAACTTTTTACATAAAAATGCTTATATATATCGATGAAGAGAAGGTGGGAAACGTGAACCAGACAGCGTATCGCGGGCTAGGACGGTCGAGGCCGTGCTGGACTTCGCTAAGGCATCACAGTGGGTTCGAAGCCGCGCGCCATAGGGGCAGCCTAACAATACAAATGGCAATTAGGCCGCGGCAGGCCTTAACGAGGCTCTAAGTTCGTTTTTAGGAAGTGGGACACTTTACATGTACGTATATGGATATATATAGTCGCTGTAGCCTGCATATCGTTCGCGAAGTTGGCTTACCAACTAGACCAACATACGAATCCGTACCCAGTCTAGTGGATAGTGGTTTATAATCAACTCGCGAGGGGTCAGAGTAAATGAATCTACTACTACTACTACTACTTCCTGTATACATAGGAGTATGTCTCTTGCGTACTAAGTAGCTAGATAGATTTGGATTTGATAAACTATAATATAATCTTCAATACATAGTCCGTTATTATAATACAGATGCTAGTCGTATGTTCTTACTCACTGCCCCACTACAATTTGACCAGGCAACCAACCCACCTTTTTATTTTTCTTCCTACACTTCACCTGTTGCTCCGAGAGCAATGAAAATTGATGCAAAAAATAGCAAAACGGCGCAGCTTGCTGCTATACGAAGGTCAGCTATTGTATCTGCTTATGAGGGTGGTATTTCGTAAGTGAAATTAGCTAATGATTTCGGCTGTTCTCGTAAGACAATCTACAATACGCTTAAGCGCTATCACGAAGATAGCACCCTCGAGAATCATGAAAAAGACCGGCCGTCCTTCGAAGCTAGACTCTCAAGCTAAATAGCTTAGTGCTGCGACACCTAGTTATCCGTCTCGGTCTACCATAGAGCGGATTTTGAAGTAATTCGGACTCGGAAAACGGCGTTCGAAAAGGAAGATACTAATTAAGCACTCTCTTGTAAGGAAACAGCTTAGATTTACGCGAAAATAGCAGCGTGAAAGCTTCTAATCGTGGAGCTTCTCGGACGAGTGTTCAATGTAGCGAACCTCGAACTTTAGACCACAATAGTGCTTCCGTACGGACTCGAAGGGTCTTCACCGCGATCTTATGAATGCGAAGTACACGTTAAAGATATTTCGTAAATGGTTTAGGCTAGAATCTAGCTAAGTGGTCGGATAGAATTAATTATTATAGAACGGGACGAAGACTCGCTTTCGGGATTCGAAAAAGGTCTAATGCTAATCTAACCACCTTTTAGTATTTTAGTAAAATAACGCAAAGATTGATCTAGCGGTGGCGACGTAAGAATGGTTTAAAAGCACGGAGTTTACATCCAGGATTGGCCCGCGCACTCACCTGATTTAAACCTAATTGAACCGGTCTAGCGTTAGTTGAAATTGAAGCTTTACAATGTTTTTAGAGCTTATTAGCTAAGGAAGAAGGGAGATAGACTAGCTTTATTTTAAAAATGCCTAGTGGAAGCTTAGAAGGCATTATATCAAGCAAAGATAGATACGCTGATATTGAGCATAGGAAGACGTTTGACGGCAGTGCGGAAGGCTAAGGGGTATTATACAAAATATCAAGCGAATTTTCGAAAGTGGTATTATTAAGCAGGCCTAAAATCGTGGTGCTATATACTGTGAAAATGATAGATATATTTTGAGAGGTGACCCGAAAAAGTAGACTGGGTAAGAACATCTGAACGGGTATGGGTAAAAAGAGACAAAGTAAATATCAGTTGAGGTCAAAGCTTGACCAGTTCAGATAAAACGCGTACGTCTTTCACTAAACGAATTAAATTTGAATTTGAGGGCTAAGGACACGTTATTGAAACGCTGACATCATAATCCAAACAGAATCCGGCCCTGGGGCATCTAAATTACTGTACTCACTAGAATACATGACGGCATACAAAGTCATATGCATCCTTGACAGCAGGCCATCCAGTTTCCCGAGGATCTTCGTCAGGCCAGAGATCAAACGCATGTCCTGCCTCGTGTGGGGCTGCGAACCCAGCCTCAACGCCCTGTGAAATAAGGGCCTGGACAGTATCGCGGCTTTGCTGCCAGGGAATCAGGTCATCGCAATCCCCGTGCACGAGGAAGGTTGGCGTGCGGTATCGGCCACGCACGATTTGCGCATACGGGCTGACGGCCCGAATTTCCTCGAGTGGGGGCATTGAGAGCGCCTCCCAGTAGTCCGAGTTCTTCGCACCCATGCTGTTGGTGGCAGCTTGGGCCTTACTCGGCAGGCCACGAACAAGTACAGGCACTATTTGGGCTTTCCAGTTGTAGTGAATTACGATGCGCCACCGCGGATCTGTGAGAGTCATCCGCACACCACTTCCAGGACTAGGCTTATATCCTGCAGTCTGCACGAACATGTCAGCTGGTGTTCAGTAATTTCCTAATTCACTTCGAAACAACTCACCGGGCTATCATAGACACCTTCTAGGAGGTTGTATTCTGTATCTGGCGGCTCCTGAACGGATTTTGGATAAATAGGACTCTTCCAACCTATTTGTTGCAGTTAGCTTGGCCGTATAGAAAAGATTCATAGTAATAGAAAGGGCAGGGGCGTATGACGATACAGTCGGCTTCGAAGTTTGATGGACAATAAAATGCCAATACGGCATCTGGGGCTTGTAATCCCCTCGCAGGCGCTGTATATGCCAAAGTCATGGCCAGCTGACCACCGGAAGACCATCCAATAGCAGCCACTCGGTCGGCGTCTAGTTGTACGTCGGAACGTGCACGGTCCAGATGAGGCAATTGAGATCTTGCCCACACAAGGGCATCGCACGCGTCCGTCATTGGGCCCTGGGAAAGATTTATTTCCGGGCAAAGTCGGTAGTCGATGCTAATGGGGAGGAAGCCCCGGTCGAGTAGCGTTTTGATGTGCTTTATATGTACATCTTTTCGTGTGAGCAAAACATGTCCGCCGCCGTGAAACAGCAAAGCTAGTCAGATGAATCAATCATTAGCTGTCCTGGAGTTCAAATCTTTGACTTAGTTCCACCGACCTACTGGCCGCTTGCTGCGGACCGTGTCTTCCGCCTCTGACGAAGGGTAGTATATGTCGGCACATAGCTCGAGACCATCGACATGTTTCCAAGTGACCGTTTCTAGAGCTACACCGGCCCTCTTTGACAGATGACTATCCTTCTCGCTTTTGACAGCTGAATTGAAGCCACATATTAGCCTTAACATGCGAGACTCGGCCGTGTCGCCGCCAGTCCACTTGACATGTTTGTAGCCGGCAGCAACCAGGCTACGGTTCCAGAAGGAAGTATCAGCGAGTGCATGGCGACGGCCGTCATCAAAGAGCCACCATCCATCAAGGAGGCCGTAGACCAAATCAAACCAGTACAAACCGTTCGTAAACTCGACCAAAGCCATCACCCCATCGACAAGCAACATTTTGCGCAGATTTGCCAACGACACCGTCGCGTTGCGCGTTGCGTGGATGCAGTTAGTTGAGATAATAGCGTGATACCTGTTTATGAACCCTGGGGGAGGGTCCATTTCGACATCGAGTGTTGCGTAGCGCATGCAGTCGTATCCTGCCAGGCCCTTTTTAACAGAGTCCACAAGGGCTGACGAGATATCGGTGAAGGTGTAGGTAAAATTTACTCCACAGCGAGTTAGATGGTCGACGAGAAACCTAGTTGTTCCCCCTAGACATGGCAATTTAATCAATGTCCGTGGAAATCAAACCTAGCTACGGCCACCAGGTGTGGATACGGGAGATACGGAATAGCTTACCGGTACCACCTCCAACTTCGAGAAAATGGAAGACTTCGCCCTTGTTGCTTGCTGGAAATGCGTTCGCCATAAACTTTGCCACGAGCCGTGTGGTTGCTCGGCACATGGGAGCTAGATCGTAGACGTCTGCTACTATTCTTCGATTTTTTTTGTTGGCAAACAGTAGTGCCAGAGGGTCTACCTTTCCCGTGAGGCATTCCGCGAGCTGGGATCCGGTGACATCCAGCAGCCGATGCTCTGAAGCATGGAGAGGGAAGTCAGAAAGAATCCCCTTCAGTAGTGCCTGCGGAATACCTAGCACAAAAGGCTTGGACGTGCGTATGTAGACCAGATTTTTCTGCTGGTCGATGTATCCACCATCAGCCAGGATTTTATGCATGCGCTCAAGTAGGGGCTTGTGCTTCTCGAGTATTGACATCTCGGGCACTGCTTGCCCAACTGAAATGCACGCCAGATCAGCGCCAAGCTTTCTAAAAGCATTCGCGGTGTAGGCGAGAACAAGACGATTTTGATCTGGATACACATCGTGCCAAAAATTGGCGAAGCCTTCCTGTTTTGCAAGTTCGTCAAAGTCGCAGCGAACCTGGTCAAAACTCTCACGCACGTCAACGACACCGGAATGTTGTGGTGGATCTTCATGGCGTCGTCTGCTATCTGGATAATCGTTTGCCATCTCAGAGCTACCTGCAGATATCTGAAGACGAGTTTGGCCTAACCCGGCCAGGCGCGCGAGATCTTGGAATGTGGCTATCTTGTCAAGCTTGTGCAGGTCGATGGAGACGGAGAACAGTTTCTCAATTTCGTTACCTAGCTCAATGGCCTGCAAAGAATCCAAGCCTATATCTGCAAGATTGGTGTCTGCGCTCGGTGCCGATGGCATGTCTAGGATCTCCTGCACTACGCTTGCAAGTTGCTCAATCTGCTGGGAATCATGACGATCTGAGGGTGATGAAAACCCACTGTTAGATGTAGTATCTGGAGCATTGATGAATGACCTGCTGGGCTGCAACATGGCCGTCGTTGCTGTGTCCGAGGATGGGTCTGATATTCTCTGTGCACCACATCCTTTGTTCAGCAGATAGCTCACAAGGGAATCGAGACCGGTCAAATGTTCCATGTCTTCGATAGGTAGCTCAATAGCGAAGTGGCTGGAAAGTTCGCTAATTACTTCCATCATCATAAGAGAGTCAATGCCAAGGTGGTCCATAGATGTGTTGCCCTTTATATCAAGACGTGGAATTTCAGCCACCCTTTCCAGACAGGCACACACGTTGTTGAAAACATAGTCACGGCCAACATGAGGACCAGATCTGGAGACATTGGGCTCTGATGCGGCGAGAATGGGAGTCTGAGAGACCCCGGCAGTGGAGAATGCAGTATTGACCTTTGCTTGTGGGCTGTGATTTGGTGTTTGGTAGACATCCCGTGTTCCCCCGTTTAATCTAGATAGAACTTTCTGCAACGTGCTCAAGCGGACATTATTGAACTGAGCTCCCAAAATTAGCACCACGAGGCGCTTTGAATTTGCATCGAAAACAAAAATGTCGTTCGAAAGCTCTTTGGGTCCGCTAGGTACCAGGTTCGAAAAAATCATCCATGAAGGCGAAGATGTTGATGATGGTTTAGTGAACTCGGGGCCAAACTGCATACGTTCAAGCTTGGTGAACACGTAAACTTCATCTTCAGGACACGGTCTAATGCCATTGGCGTGAATTCCAGCAACCTGCATCCAGCTATCGACGGTCGCAGGTTGAGCAAGAACGGTATCACTGATGAATTCGGGCAACGAAGCGACCGTCCCGGCAATGTGGCCCATCTTGGCCGCAACGCTTTTAAGCCCCCGATACGGGCCGCTGTACTGGACAACACGCGAAAATATCTGATAAAGCATAGAACCTCGCACAGACTCGCTCCCGACATCTTCGTACAGTTTCTCCACTGTCTCTATGCCAATGAGTCTTTCGTATCGCGAGAATTCTCGCTCGACTGCTTCGGCATCCGTTTGCAACTCGATAATGCCCGACGTATGAGACACCGTTGTGGATCGTTCAGTATCTCTCGTACAGCTCATGACATTGAACTCCCAGCTCCCTTTACGTCGCGCACGAAGTATCATGGTAATATCCCGATCGGCCGCCATTCCAAGTGGAGAGTCAATCTGCAATTTAGAAAATTCAATTAAGGGTGCCGGATCCCATGAGACAAGCATCTTGCATGCCCTCGCAACGATTTCCATGTAAACAGTCGCGGGGCACAGAGGGCTTCCTGCAATGACATGACCAGAGACGAAGCGTTGGTACTCATCGCATAGCGGATCGATCGTGAAGATTTCATTTTCGTTGCGCTGCTCGATATGTCTCACAAGGCGTGGCGTCTCAGGCCCAGGAACAGGTGGGGCTAGAGAGTGACCTGCTGCGGGTGGTGATGATGGTGGCAGCAGCTCAAGCCAGTGCTTATTATTTTCCCACTGATATGACGGAACGCGCATGGGGTGGTATTCATCTCTCTGCACGCGATGAAATGCCCAAAATTGCGGGGTGTGGCCTATCTTCCACAGTTGGATAGTGGTATCGACAATCGCATCAAGAGCCGATGGTTTGTTGAGGCTCATGGGCAGGAAGGTATGCTCCTTGGTTTTAGAAGAGCCCAAAGCGCGGCGCGCCATATTGGTGGCGCCAGATTCAGAGCCTGCCTCTAACCATGTACATTTGCCCCGGGTACTGGCGAGTCGCTGAACAGCCTGTCCGAAGAAAACGGGTTTCCGGGTATGTTCTGCAAGGCAGCTTGCGGTTGGGTCCAGCCAGCTCGACCCATCGGAACATGTCTCAATGGATATTGTGGGCTTGTGGAAGCGAAGAGTTGATGCGAGTTTCCGAAGTGGCGTGATAAGAGGTTCCGTGAATTTAGAATGAAAGCCGTTAGACACCTGCAATATCTTGGATCTTAACTGCTTCCGTGAGACGATGTCTTCAAACTCATTGATCGCTGCTTTGTCTCCGACCAGAACATGTGAGGAGGGCCCGTTGTAGCAAGCTACCTCGAGGGAATGTCGCATGCTGGAAAGCGTCTCCAGGTCCGCTTCGACCAAAATCATGGAGCCGGTCTCCGGCCCCCAATGGGCTTTGATTAGTGAGGCGCGGCCAGCAACAAACTTAAGGCCATCTTCTAGTGATAGTATGCCGGACACGCTAAGCGCGGTAAGTTGCCCAAGGCTGTGGCCAATAACAGCGTCAATGGCGAGACCGCAGTCTATCCATGCTTTTGCAGATGCATATTGCAGGGAAAAGAGCGTCGAATGCAGAATCACGATGTCTGCAATCGGCTCAGACTGAAAGATGGCTGGATAAATCCCCGGATAACCCATGGAGTGCAGAATCTCATCACAAACGTCGAGATGCACGCGAAGCAGAGCGAATTGTTCCCAAAGCTGTTGGCTCAGACCAACGTACCTGCGGACTTGGCCCCCGCAGACGAGAATCATGCTCGGGCGAGATGGACGTTGCTCTATCGATGATAGAGACCCCGACAGCTGCCGTGTTAACTGTGCCTCCAGTGTTTCTGTATTGGATACTGCTGTCGTGTAGATATATGGCAGACTACGGTTGTGTCGTCTAGCTAAATGGAAGGCGATGCTGCTAATCAGGGATCCCTTATCAGACTTATGCTGCAGGCTTTCTCTCAGGGCTCTGCAGTATTTCTCCACGCTCGCTTTGGAGTTTGCGGCAATCAATATGGGATACTTGGAGAGCGATGCAAGCTCCATAGCACGCTCTGGAATGCGGGGTGGCTGCGCAATAATCAGGGTACAATTGCTCCCGGCTGCCCCATAATTGTTCACGCAGGCGGTAAGTAAGCCATCCGGTAGGCGAAGGTTCGACGTCGGTACAGTAATGTGATCAGGACCGAGCGGAGGGATTTTGGGGTTGAGGGATTGGAAGGAGGCTTGCTTAACGGCAGTACGATGTTCAAGTTGTAGAATGGCCTTAATCAGGCCAGCTACACCAGATGCTCCCTCCAGATGTCCAATATTTCCCTTGACTGACGACACTACCAAGTCACTTCGTCTGTGCGGCCCTCCAAAAGCATGGCGGATGCTCTCCATCTCGATCGGGTCTCCCACTGGCGTCCCAGTGCCATGGCTTTCCACAAAGGACACTTGATGAGGTGGAATTCCCGCCTGCTGTGCGGCCTTTCTGTACAACGTCTCTTGTGAAGAGGCATCGGGCACAGTTATTGGGACACAGCTGTCATTCTGGTTCACGGCCGAGCCTCCGATGACGGCGAGGATATTATCTCCATCGGCCACTGCAGCGGACAGCTTCTTTAGGACGACCAAGCCAAAGCCTTCACCGCGGCAATATCCATCGGCCATTGCGTCGAACGGTTTGCTAGCTCCAGTGGGGCTGAGAAAATGGGAAGCAGAGAGGTTCTCATAGAGGTATGGGCTGGTGAACAAGGACGCCCCGCCGGCGAGTGCTTGCGTGCATTCGTCGGCCTGCAGTGCCCGACATGCCGTATGGATAGCTACTGCTGATGACGAACATGCCGTGTCAAACGTGAGAGATGGCCCTGTCCAACCAAAGAAGTGTGATATCTTGCCGCTTAGGAAGGCACGCAGGGTACCGAGGGTGGAGAAAGCGTTGGGGGAGTGGGAGCCGACATTGGCGTCATATTCAACGGCGCATAAACCAAGATAGCAGCCTATGGCCTGACTCCGACTGGTAGGCGAATGGAAAAAGTAGCCCGCGGACTCCATGGCTTCATAAGCGCCCTGCAACAGCAGACGCTGCTGTGGATCCATAGACGCCGCCTCTCGCGATGACTTGTTAAAAAATTGGTGGTCAAAAAAGTCAACATCTCGCATAAAATTTCCCCAGAACCCCTCCTTTGTTCTCTTTCCACGGTTTGAAATCGTCTCAGGCCATCTCTCTAGCGGAACATGCTCCACCATCGATTTCCCCTTCAATAGAAGCTGCCAGAATTCATCGGGCGAGTCGGCCCCTGGGAGCTTGCAAGACATGCCAGTGACTGCAATTGAGTGTGCGGGATAATCTCGCAAGTCATCTGCTCGTTCGGAGGCTGCTCTGGCCTTACGTATGCTTGATACTCCGGCGATCTTGGCATTTCTTGGAATAGACGACAGAGCAGTATCTGTTCCAATTGCCAGCACAAATGGCACTCCGCTCATGTCAGACAGCCGCGACGCAGACTCTGAGAGGGCCAAATGCCAGTTTGAGCACTCCAGAAGTATTTCGCGAGACGCGGCCATTAATCCGACGTGTTGGGAAAGTATCTGGCCATCACTGTCCGACCGGACATCAAGCTGTTTCCCAAAGTCAACTCTCGCATGCTGCGTGCAGCTCTGAATGACCCTCTCCGGAACGCCTTGGTGATCATGTGTATGATATCGTCCAGTGAGACCCGTATCGAGCACGTAGATTCCCTCGTTTTGGAGATGCCTAGACACGTCGGGGATGCTAGATGAAGGAACTGTGATGGTTGCTTCATTTGCACTCCTGATGACCGATACGTATGCCTGTATAGGAAATGTTGTCAGCTTTGAATATGGCTCAGTGAGGAAATTCGTGCGGGTATCAAAGGCCATCCAAAAGACCAAAGCCGAGACGCATCACGCCAATGGATTCATCGAAGGTCATCAGTCCACCGGCTGTACAATTGATAATAACGAGAGAACTTTTAATATAATACACCAAAACGGTAGCGGCATCCCACAACGGAGAGTAATGATGGTTGTTCCACACTGCTAATGGACACTAACGACTTTGCTTACCGGGTCATATATTTTTAGAACATTTTGAAGATCGACAATACTATTCGGAGACTTCCACCTGACTGCCAGGCAGCCCGTCGATCCGTGCATTAAACTGTCAAGATCCACATAAGCGCCTATGGAAAACGCTACCCGCACAGACAAAGCCCCGTGTACCCCAACACTTTCTTCGTCAATGGAGGTAGCGATAGCGAGAGCACTGAGAAGCCCAGCACAGAATCCATGAACACCAGCAGCATTGGCAATGTGGTCGAGAAGTATAGAGTGTGAGGAGCCGGTCTCCCTGATATATTTCAGATAATCGCATAAATGGGAAGCTATCGTTAATGGAAGGCTGAAAATGTTGTTCCAGGTGGCATTGCTGCTGATGGCCTCCCCGGTCGAAACCCACGTCGCCAGACACTCCGCAGCAGCGAGGCCGTCGAGCGGTTCTAAAGCCTCATCGTTCGCGAGCAGCGTCTTCCAGAGCTCAGGCAACTCACTGATAGCTTCTTTAATATGAAGGAGGTGCTCATATTCCAGCAAGGAATCTCTCAGCTCCCCGAGCTCCCCGACCGAGGGCCATGTGCTGAGGGGGCCAAACGCAATCAACGAAGGAAAATTCGACATGAGGCGCGTATTGATTCCAAATTTCTTGAGCTTCGCACTTGATACGTGATTCACGGGATCTAGTGCTCAGTCCCACTGACGATATTTGTTACATTTGGTACTTGATTAAAGCTAAGTTCCCCCGTTACTTATAGTTTACTTATTGAGAACCTGTAGGTATGCCAAGCCTTTTCAAGGGAGATCGAAGTGAAGGGCTAAAATGTGGTCCTCGGATGGACACGGATACTAAAAGACCCGAGCCCCACATCAAGGAGGGTATTATGAGGGCTTGGTTTCACACGAAATACGTAAAATTGGACAAATGACGATGATATTGGAAATACTCTTAGCACTATTGGTCTTGATCAGCATGCAATGTTTCGACTTCTTTTCACTCAAATACAAACAATCATAACGACAAAGAGCTATAATATAGTCCATAGCACTTCATCTTACAGTAGTTCGATACTTGAGTTAGGGTAACCTAGGCTAGCATACTTCTGGTGTAAGTTCCGGACCCAAGGGTCTACTTTACACGGTACTGCGTGTTTTAGAGCAAAATACATAGAGCCCCCAGTCAGATTCGCTACCCCGATCTGAGAGAAAAAGAAGCGTTCATGGCCGCTATGTATGGTCGTCCAAATCCTAGACTCCGTTTGCCACCTCCACAGAATAGCATTGACATATTACTAGCGTACTTGTCTGGCCAATGCGATCATTCTATTTCTACTCATTCTATTTCTACTTGATGTGCAAATAACGGGCACAAGAAATATCCCTAGTTAATAAATTTCGGTGTCGAAAATGGTCAGAGGAGCTAGAAGCCCAAATTTTATAACATTACCTAGTCAAATCTAAATCGTCTAAAAGTACGTCCACATCGTTTAACGCATTAATTGCCTATACACCCGCACATTGACTTCGTATTTCTTAAACCTTATTGTTGATAAATTGGGGCTTGGAAGTGTGGAACAATTTAAAACCTGACTCCGTAGTCTATATTATCACGGGCCTGTGCTAACTCCACTTTGGTTTCGACAAGCTCACAGCCGCGACCTTGAAGATATAGAGTTCGCTATGTGACATATGGCCGATCATCCGAAACCTTATCCCGATGCTAACTTTTTGTACCAAGGTTGTTGATTCAGAGTTCTGATAAATATAGGTCGCTTATTACGTCCTAACTTTAAGATAGCTTGGCAGTACCTTAGAACCTAAGTCTCGTCCGACCTATCGTAATATTTTTTAGATTTTCTACTTATCTATGCTAGGATAGTAAATCTAAATATCTATATGGCGTAGTCGAGATATCATATATCAATAGAATAATCAACGTATACCTGCTCTTAGTACCGACATATTGCGGATTCACTCCAAATCCCCAATGCTAACCAACAAGTGAGATTATTAGTCTAGATTTTTATCACATGTATTCTGCATGTCTAACAATACGAGAAATATCCAATTTCAGTATAATTGCATTCTTTTGAATATTGCCAACATAAGACGGACTAGCTATGATGGGCCTAGAACATATAAAATATGATGTAAAGCAAGTGAAAACTTAATTGATTCTGTTTTGACTGTTTAATATTGCGCTTGCGGTAAGGAGTGACAAATAAACTTTATCGTTACGACTTGCCAATGGTTTAGCGGGATAGCCTTGTAAAATGTGGGGAGTATAAGCCGTGAATAGCTAAAAAGGAGCTTAAAGAGAGCACTGACGTCAGTTCTTCAGTTCAAACGAGAGCTGGCTGAGGAATACTCTATAAGCTCTCCGAGAGGAAAGCTGAACCAAGGCCGGAAATTTGGTTTAAGTCAAATATAGACCTGTTCTTAGTTCTTTACTAAATGAAACTGTCTTGGAGTCTTAGCAGTACCCCGTAAAATACTGTTACTGGTAACGTCGGGTAACGCTTGGCCTATATTGATCATCTATTTCGTCAAAGATAAAGTCTCTATTACAATAAGGAAAGGAAGAAATTATAGAGTTTTTAAGGGACCAATCACACCTATTCAGGCTTTCTGGTCTAGTGCTGGCTATGTTGGCCATAAGAGTAAGTATGAAATCGATCATAAACTTCTCATTCCTGTTTCCCATGACAACCAGCTCAATATTGATATCTCTGCGCTCTTGCCAGCACCCAAAGAGTCCACAGGAGAAGGCATCGCTAGGTCTGCATTAGAAAGTTTCACCTATCTGCTACCCACGGAAGGAAAAAATAGAAGCCGATGGTCTCTTAGGAGCCGGGTTTTGATATATGCAAGATATTGACGGGGCCGCACAGCCTTTACTGCTGGAATCAACGGATCGGGCTTTGAATTTGCGCAAAATTAAAAGACTTTTCCAAAGCAACAATACGTTTATTTCAGGAAGGAATCATGTCCGGAGAAGTCAACGATCGGTATCAGAGTGACCACATCGGCATCGTGCAGACTGAAGAGATGCATAGACCAGAGCCACCACACACCCGCACTAGCACACCAAAGATTGAGGCATTGTCCGCGGAGTCCCTTTCCACCACAGATTTACGCACCCCGCCGAATACGCCTTTCTCGTCCACTCCCGAGGGTAGTACCGACACAAATACCAGCAGAGATGACAATGGCATGTTGGTCGCGATTGAGGATCTCGACCTGTGTTTTGACGGCTCCAGTTGATACGTCCCAAGAGAAGCCAGTCCGGGCTTCCCAAAGTTGCAGTTCTTGTAACACTTTGGTTTTGGCGAAGTTATAGCCTCAAAATTGGTTCCAACTAGCCCAAGAATTTTATCGATGGTGCAGTATGTGTCAAGTGAATCCGGCGCACAAGTGGTGATATATGCCCTCGCTCTTTCTGACTCGTTAAGGCGAGCAGTTAAACCTATGTTGCAGAAGGTGAAGCAAAGACCAAACACGCTTCTGAAAATTTTCAGGGTCCATCGTGGCAAATGAAGATTACTTTGTTCCAGCTATGATGCCTAGGTGCGCTGCGGGGAGAAAGAATCGTCACCATCGCCCTCATGACATTGATCCTCTGTCACTTGGAACTCGGCGGGCCCTGCCGTGCTAGCGTGATTGCATTGAATGGATAGTAAGTGTTCTTGGAAAGCCGGAAACAATCCGTTTTGTTTTGACAGCACGGTCCCATTTCGGGCGTAATTTTGGTTGTTTTTTCCCCAGCATATTGCCGGCCGAAACATGGCCTCGCCTCTTCAATTAGCCAAAATTCTAGATGATCGTCCAGACCGTATAAAAGGTTGGTACCAGAGTTTTCTGTAAAAGTACTGGTGGTTTCTTGTTTCGGACGGTCTGTCAGTATTGGCCAGGCAGTTGTGGTCAAGTTCATTTGAATTGTGACATTCTGAATGGCATTCACAATGAGGACGTGTCCCGATCCAATATGGGTTAGCACAGTGACGATATGTCCCAGGTCATCCATCGACAATCGAGCGCGATCGGCAAAATTTCCCGCGCAGTTGTGGTTTATTTGAGCTGGGCGACGAGTTCATGTGCCAGTAACGCTCTTCGGGTTCATTTAATTGGTCACAAGACGTCTTCAGTGTCACAACATGCACGCGGATATCGAGGGGCAGACACCCGAAAATGATGTGGTATGCGACGTGCTGGGACCATTCATGATAGCGTTCGAACGCTTGGAGCTCTGCCTTTAGAAACGCTTTGGTGGCCCGTTGCTTCAGCGCCCCGACCGGCTGGTGTCCGTCGTAATTGGTACGGCGTAACTAACACAACTAGCAGTCAGGACGTCGAAGGTCGCGCAACACCACACCTGACACAGGTCTTGCTTTGAGATAAGAGGCAGTTGCACGCTTCCAGGCCGCACACTTCCACTCAAGGGTTCTATTGTCAAGCACAAGTGCAGATATACTATTTGTTTTTTTGCGGTTTCAATGAACACAAAACCAACGATTTTGTGATTTGAGACGAGGTCCGAGAGAATTTTGCTTCCGAACTTATACATGCCATGATAACCAATCCAAATCGAACGAGGCTGTGCTACAACTAGAGTCATTTTCCATATACTTCCAAGCCTTTTGATCGTTTAAATAGATCTATTTGTTGATTCTTAACTCCATTCAGGGAAACCAACTCCCACCTGCCCATCCGGTATCTTGAAACCACACAGCCCAGTTCCCGTCAAAGGCAACGAATCCAATTGTAGGCACCTAGTCAAAAAGTCTGTCACACTTCCACGGCGATGGTACATCGCTGCTCTCGTTGACTCCCCTCAATATTCCACTTCCCTTGCTTAAGATTTCATATGTAGTGGCTTCAGGAAGCCTCTCATGGGAATAGATGAAGGTGCTAGCTTATAAGAGCGAGGAAAGCCGAACAGCGAATGACATCACAGTGCTTAGCACTGGCTAGGGAAAGCACGGCTTGTCACCGGGTTGGGGAAGACCCCAGCGGCGAGCTGTTGCTGCATGTCCCACTCGGGCGCACCTTCAGTCTTCCAAGTCCAGTAGAGCCACCCGGCGCCATTCTCATATGCATTCAACTGACCCTCAATGAAGCGGCGAGCTTTGCTACGATCACCCTCAGAAAGGCTATCCACGCTGCCCTCAGATTTGTCTGTGCAGCTACCGAGCGCCTGGCTGTTCTGGAAGGTACCGTCGTAACGAGCACCAAGCCCCTTGCCGTTGAGGTACTTGGCGCAGTCGGTCATAGCGCCAGTCCATTCACCGACGATGGTCAACTTATCAGAAGTCATGACGTGCTGGTTGACAAAGTTGCAGGTAGACCTGATGTGGGAGTCGATATCCATGGCAAGAAGGCCGCTGTCAAACACCTCATATCGGTGGGTATCCATTATAACATTCCTGCCACCCGCGACATCGCTCATAAAACCGTTCCACGACTCGGTTGGCAAAAATCCATCGTGAAGGACAACGCTAGCATCCTGGCTTGCCTTTCGCGCCAAGCCCCATGAGTCATAGTAGTACTGCTTCAAGTCATCCCTGTTCACCCCGACAGGGATATTAGGCTCATTTAAGGCTTCAATTGCAGTCACAACGTCACTGTCGGCAGAGTAACGATGAATAATAGTTTCAAAAGCAGACTTCGTGCCATTAATGGTGTTACCCTGCTCCCATTGAATGACGCCACGCTTTCCGCTATTGTCAAACCCATTCTGGGAGCCAGGGGCGCCATGCAAGTCCACGATGACCTTCAGGCCTGCTGAGCGAGCCCATACAATGGCTTTATCGAGGTACTTCAGCTGGCCATTGATATATGGGTCACCATTCCGGTGCTGCAGAGCCCAGTAGCCCACAGGGACTCTAACATGATTCATTCCAGCTCCGGCTATCTGGTTGAACTCGTGAGCGGTGATGAAAGTGCTCCAGTGCTGCTCCAAGACTGTGCGGCACTGTTCGGAGCCGAGGGTAGCGCAAAGAGTCCACTCATCAACGGCACCATCGCCAGCTGAATCAAAGAGAGAGGGAGTAATCCAGGGCTCCAATACAAGCCATCCTCCGAGGTTGACACCGCGAACCTTGTCGACTCCATATTGAAAGTTAGAGTTAACACTTAGTGTAGCCTGCACCAGGGCTGCCAATAACCACAGCTCAGTGAGCGAAATCTTTTGTAAGAAATTAGAAGGCATGATGAACCTTAGTCGATCCCAATATTTACTGAGGTTGGGATTCGAAAATGAGGAAGTTCAATCTGAGTGGTCTATAGATGGAAGACTTTATTTAAGCCGTCCCACCGCGGAGCAATATTAAGACTTCCATATCTATGTTGATCCTTACGCCTTGAGCATAATCATTACCGCCTAATGGTTTTAAACCCTATTCCAAAGCCCAAGGTCGAGTTTCATCTTTCAAAGCAGTCCCGTGCTACAACGTGTATAGCGCTAGGTGAGTAAGTTAACAAATAATAGCGTATGCTACCTGTAAGACCGATCTACGATAGCTGCAATATTCGATATAAAATGACTATGTAATGCATATGAATCGCAGGTATTCACATGGTTTCGAAATTAAGGTTGAACCAGTTTCATCTGCATTTGCATCTCCTTAGGATGATCATAGAAAGAGACACTAAACGCCTTGCGGAAGAAGACGGATCTTCAATCAATTACAACATCATGAGCACACTAGCTCGTATCAAAAGTTAGAAAGCTTCATAAAAGTATCGTGCGGGTATGATCATACGATGACGGTTAGTTGAACCGACATGGGGTTTATTCGGTCCAAACCTTCGGCAGATGATCATCTGCAATCCGTGAAAATCCGGAAGACATCAGCATTGACTGAATATTTACATTACACCTCCAAAAAAGTGGGATCTTCCTTCAGAGAGTCCAAACGCAGCAAAGTTGGGTACCGAATTATGTCAAGGTTGGATCGAACAAGAAGCACATTGTGACTTCTAGATATGTATGGCGAAAACTTAGCTTCGATTAGTCCCACATGAACGCTAAGACTGGTATTACATCTACCCTAACGCATGATGATTGTATGAATGTTGGGGCACCTGAACAACCCTCCACCTCATACTTTTGTTTCATTTTCCCATGCCGTATGATAGCTATGTTCCGCCGAACTCCCCTTCAATCGCCCTAGGCAATATCTTAAAATAACAAGTGATTTGTGAGACAAACGCTTCTGTTATCTTGCTCTCAGTGGAATTTAAATCTTTATCCTCCAAACATATCAGGCTTTCTTCCTCCTAATGTGCTGATGTGCTCCTAAGAAGGCAACTCTTACCGACTCCAGTGTACCCTCGAAGAGCAGCGCTCCTCATAATTGCAGTGCATGTGCTAAGTCCTATCTCTTCCCCGCGCGACTCCTGGATTTATCCCAAAGTGAGAGACAGGTAAACAAAGAAAACCACGCTCGAATCTCTATCATGAGTACTTACAGTACAAAGGAACCTTGTGAGAAGAAATCAGCACCTAGAGGCAATTTACTAGCGGTTCTCTAATTAGTACTTCAAACAGATAACTACATTCATATTATTCTCTTTTCACAAATGTAGTCTCCTGGCTCTAAGATAATGGTAATCTGGCATAGCATTCTGCACCCAATCTTCCATCTGGTTCCCTATATCTTTGCCAAACTCCTTTCTCCATTTCTCCGCCTCTGAAGCTATATCAATAACGACTGGGGTCTTTCCTTTTAGCAAAGTCGATGAATGGTTCAATGTATCCATCATGACTTCTTCTGGAGTTTTCTGAGCAGCTCGATCTGGCAGATGAGAATTCTTTTCTGGGACTTCACGACTCCATTCAAATTTCAACTTTGTTGGATCCATCCCTATCAGCTCACAGTATTTTATCACCACCTCCGGTTGATTGATCACATCTTGTGCATCTAGGAGGAGGGGACATTGTATATTGTCGCTGTGGTTTGTAGACGAGCTTGAACTATGCTGGCAATACCAGTCATAGAGCAATCGAGTCCACTTCATTGTCGAGTTAAGTTTCAGCATAGGCTGAATCTCGTGAGGACTTGCAAATCCTTCCTTTTCCAGATCGAGCATGGATCGGTAAAATGACGGGAACGCTAGCGCAGGATGTCGTATAAGAAATGTCGGTGTCCATGTCTGCAGATACTCATCTGGTAGGACAGTCAAATTGTTCGAAGAGAATGCTCCCATAGGACCGAACCGGTCTGGAATTTCGATACCGAACGGCAGTTTTGCTTGGCCATCGTGGCCTGATAGATATTTGTTGACTTCGGCCGGGTTGGCAAACCATTGGGCATGTTCCTTTGCAAACATAATTTTCCCCTCGGATTTGGCAATTTCGGATTTGCCTTCAAGATTGTTCAGGCTTTGCTGAAATGCTCGCCGAATTCGATCAGTTTCCTCCACATTCCAATCCTCAACTGGTTTATATGTTGATCCAGTAGCCCGCCCCGTCATAAAAGGGTCCCAGAAGAAGTAACCACCTTTTTGGTTCGAGACCACTGCTGTCTGTGACTCTAAGGAAAGCATCTTCACTAGAAGATTGGATGCAGTGCGAGGATAGGTGATCAGCAATATCCTTTTGCGTTGCTCTTCGATGGCGTCATTGGAGCTGATCCCACCCATTTTTTCAAGGATGTCTCAACGATCTTATACAGATGAAGCTATCGCAAAAAATAGACAATGAACAACTGAATCAAATGAACTGAAGTGGAAGAGCAAAGAGGTACGTTGTCTTATATTTACCACAGCCCAGCCATTAACAGAGTCAGCGATTTTAGGAACACTTTCGCGCGGGGTGGCGCGAGTTACATTAACCTAATTTCCAATGGACAGATAATCCAACATAAATGAGATTCACATCCAACTGATGTCATTGAAGCAATTTGCGGTGTAATATTACCATCGGATAACTTATTGTACATTTTATCACACAACAGGTGAACACCAACGACTGCGAGAACATTTCTGAACATACCCGAATACAGTGTTTTACATCATGATAACTTCTCTGGTGTACAACAGAAAGTCTACTACATCATAAATTTTCGAAGGAGACGGATCCGAGTTCAACTACAAGGAACCTAAATCTGCTGATGGGAAGTCTAGATTATTTTGAAACCAGACTCAATCGGTCGCATTTAAATAGAGTTTTATTGCAATCACCTCCCTCCCGGTTTATTGATCATCCAACTCTGAAATTTGGATTGCCAAATAGTACATCACGATATCCCGTCGGTATTGCCCAGGTATCGTGATGTACGTAGTTATCAATTCAACAAAAATCAAATCTTGACGTCATGCCAGCAGGATTTGACATCAGTTGCGAGCTCATATTCCAGGAAGCTACTAAAAAGAATTATAATAATAAATTCCCTTTAATTATTATTTTACATACGTGGAATGGGTAAGGGTAAGTAAATGCTTTTTACATAATGTAGTGGGGGAATTGCTGACTGTATGAAGCCACGTGAAGTAGCAGTGTATCAGGACTATGTGACATATAAGACTTCCCTGTTCGCAAGATAGCAATTCAGACACACTTCTCTTCTTCTGCCACCTCTACATGTTCTCCTCTCTTACATCTCCTACTACCCCTCGTGGCCAGGACCTGGTTCGCAGACAGGGAATGGTCGGGTTTCCCTTACGGGCTCCCCTCTTCAATAACTAACAGCTGACTGTTGCACGAACATTGTTTATTTGATAACGTACTTTATTTTTGAACATATTTACACGCGACGACCTGCACACCGATCATTCCAAAAATGCACAAGAAGCCGTATTGTGGGTACTTTCGTGCTTACTCTTTGGCCACGATACCTATCTCCACGTTCAACCGTGATAGGCTGAATTGTCTGTCAGTCATCATGAGTAGATTTTAGCATAATATTATAATGTACCAATGCTGGCCTATAAATTGTGGTATATAGGAGCCTTGGCAATAAACAGAATTTCTAAAAGAAATTTTATGCGATTATGTTGCATGATAGTAGCTGATATGAATTAACCCTAGGTTTGGTTTTGCGCAGTGGGCAGAAATGGTGTATATTCCTGGTGCAAGAAGTGTACCCTCAACTGACTGGAAACAGGAAGAACAAATAACTAACCATGATAAGAACATTGAACATGAACTTATGCTCTCAATTTTGTTTATATATTGAGGATGCAAGTGAAAGGACAGCAATTACCAAGGCCTCATACTTACATAGATCCGCTGCTCCAATGCATACTGTTAATATTTACTAACGCTAACATTGTACTAACTTTTAAGCCTTTTCATAGTTCCAATCCCCTAATGGCGTGGGGTTGATATATATTTAAAGAGACTGTCCAATTCTCAGATAGATAGACGAGGAGTTAAAGGTTAAATCCCTAGTACTGCTTCGAAGCGTTTGGACCCCTGTACATGAAATTGACTATGAAATAAAGAGACGCAGGAGGTCTGCATGAGATGTTCTTCATCGACTTCAGCCGTGTAAAGAGGCTCTTCAAACTAGAAACCAACTCATATATATCTTACCCACAAACTTAGGAGAATCTAAAAATACCGATGTCTCGATAAGTTGTATCCTAGATGTCCTGTATGACTCACTCGTTGAATATATCCATTTTACCCATAAGCTAGACGTTGACATGTTCAATTGATTTTATGTTGTGGGTGGTTAACTACGCAGTCGCAGAGAAACGACACACTTCCGACACCTTATCCAAAAAATACCTAATTTTAATATTGAATGCCTAATCTAATTTAAGCATATGCAATCTCAGAAGCATTATAGATTCTGTTAAATCCTTCTGATTAATCGAGATTGGCTGAGTATCCCAGGTCAATTATTTCCCCATTTTGTTCTCCATTAGTCAAGAGCAAACCCCCAATCCATATCATATTGATATTGAATACACGCGAGGGATAGTGTTCTCCAACGATACTATTAGAAACCTCCTCACGCCTCAAAACTGTTATCAGGCAGTTTCCACTCAATATTATACAATTGGAAGGCAAGTAACACGAATAACTTCTGGTTTTGAAATCAGTAGAAGCGAGAAAAGCCATTAAAGGAGAGTAAATCAGAATCTTAACTTACTAATCACTCAAGTAGACATAAGCAGAACCAATACCTCCACCGTGATCCCTTGAAGTGCGGACAGAGTTTGACTAAGAGATTCTATACACTGCCCCAGAGCTTGTTAAGATGAGTAATCCATACCTTTGGCTTCTAGTTAGAAACTTCTACGGTGAGTGGTATAAGAGAAACATAGGGCACCACTTAGGCTTATCAAAAGCATGAACCAGGCCATTCTGGGCCTAGTACCAATGCCTTCGTGAATCGTCAGTTCCTTCCATCTTGTGTGCATCCCTTATGCTTCGAATGGACTTATTTTATTCCACCTGGGGATTCCCGGCGGATCCTATCGCTCTGGTCAGACGGGTACCTCCAGTACCAGTATCTATACGACAGAAATTATGGCCACCTCCACCACCGCCATTTTGTAGAGTGCATCATTCCCTGTGTAAAAAGTTAAAACCTCGTCAAGGTTTGCCATGGCCTAACGAGCGTTCGTGGCTGCGACGCCTCCCTAGAGGCCAACACGACTTCCCCTATCTTGGCTCGTCAGGCACTGTCCAGTTCTCCCTCCCCCCATCCCCTTTTCCTTCCCTAGAACCTTCCAGTAAAATGGTAGAATGACGCGCTGCTAAATGCGTCACCAAACCTTCTCTATAGCTCACTCCGTGATTCTTTCAGTCGAACTAGGGTGCCCTGCGCAATGAGACTACGTCTGATCCTCCAAATTGATACCTTGTTGTTGAATATTGACCTTCCAATTTCGAATTGGGCGGCCGTCTGTGAGACCCCTCCAAGGCCTCTCGGCCTTCTCACAAAGCCGCAACTTTTTCATGAAATTGGGACATGATAGATGAGGCAATCGAAGTCCTTGATTTGTGACTAATATATCTGTTACTGGACCTAATTACAATGAATTTAACCTTAAGTTGGCATTTCCAGCCACTATAACGGACTTCCATCGGCGAGTTTGGGGCAGAGTCTTACTGGCTGGCTCAATCAACGGTCCCTAATCGAGACTCAGATTATTTGGGTTTAACTGTGGAAGAGATGCGGGTTTGCCGTCGACGCCTCGTTGCTCTCGCAATCTATTGTACATTTACGGGCAGATATAGTGTGCATTAACGATGCTATTAAAAAACACTCCCCGACGGCTGTCAGGCAAGTTCTCTCAGTAGCATACAATTGAAAAGCAAGAAACACAAATAAGTTCATTTTTGGTAACACGAAAAAGCGGCAAATCCACAAAATAAGGGTAACGGAGAATACTAATCACTAAACGTTGCATGGGCCATACCAATTCCTTTGCCTCGAACCTATGGAGTGTCGACAGACCTTGTATTAAAAAGTCCGTACACTGATCCATAGCCGCCTAGCAGCGTCTCTTCTCCCAGTCTCCGTCTTTGGCATAAGTTAGAAAAGGCTTTAGTGAGCGGCATAAGAGAAACATACGGCATTTCGAAGGCTTGTCGAAGTTATGGGCCCATCCCTTGTCGGTCTTATACCAATTTCTTCGACATTTGTCAGCTACTTCCATCTTGTGTGCTATAGCTTATGATTGAATTGACTTACTTGTACCAGCAGGATGCAGAGAACTTGTCACCCGAATGTGCCTCGGTAGTTCTGTCGCTCTGGTCACACGGGTACCTCCAGTACCAGTAATTGTGATCAATACGACAGGGATTTTTACCTCCACCACTTCCACCACCACCACCACCACCACCACTACCTCCACCACCTCCACCACTTCCTCCACCACTTCCTCCACCACCACTACCACCACCACTACCGCCTCCACCTCCGGCCCTCATCTCAAGAGCATCGAAATCAGGCTCCGCGGTCGGAGAAGCTGAAACCAGCTCAGTCGCCAGGGGGAGCAGGAAAGTCAAGATGTAGAGAGGAGACTTCATATTGTAGGTCAAAACCGAGGTTATTTCTTTTGAAACAGTGTGTGTTGATTAGGCGCTTAGCTTGTTTCTGGATTTCAAAAGGCAAAACAGTGAATTGTTAGGGGTTTAAATAGACGAACGTCGCACAATGGAGGAGAGAAGAATACAATCGCACCGTGGACCAGAGTTGGCTAAATGATTCTAGATTCAAAGCGGACCTCATGACTTTCAAGTATCGATTGTGTCGCTCACCAGAGTGGATATGGTGTTTCTCGATTCCATACCCTGATTCGGGCATAAGGACTGCTGGACTAAGGGGAGTCTTCAAACTCGCCTTGCCGCTCTCCACTCAGTCCACAAAGCTCTAGACATACGAAGTATTTTGGGTATCGTTTTCTATGCCATGGAAACTAAATCCACGGAAGCTATCTTTGCCTGAGTGCTTGGCATGGTAGTCGCCATCCAATGTGATTGTTTAGCTATCTGCCTCGTGTCTGTGAGATGTCCTTCAAGGTCACTTATATTCGCTGGTTTAGATTGAAACATTCACTAGCTATAAATTGCAAGTCAACGTATTACAATCGATATAAAACAACGATAAGCCAAGGCCCGAGATCATAGCTTTCCCACAGAAGACATCGTACTAGAGTAAGGAGTATGATCGTGCTAAGAGGTCAAGTTAGATTCTAGCCGCATTCTGTTTGGCTTGAGCTTGCTTCCGGCGTACAATATAGAGTGATCCATGGTTAGGTAGAAATCCGATCGTGATGTTTCCGCTTCCTTAAAATATGCTAGAAAGCTACAAAAGTCTCATATTCTTCGACGGATGTGGTCAAAGGGCATTTGTGGGGTGGTTTAGGTGTGAGCTGTTCTAAATTACTTTGTTTAACGCCAAGGCGGTGACTGGCAGGCTAGAAGCCGTCGTATCAGAGCTAGCATACCTTCTGGCCTCGAACCGTGGTTCGTATCCATGCAATCATGCCTGTTTTTTTTTAGATATATCTACCTTTATGCTATAGTGAATCCACTATTCGAGAGGACTAGACCACCGAAGATTCGCACCGTGAACTATCGATTTTTGTGATTGCCATAGAATGGTCTATCGGGATATCAGTAAAAGATTAACATTAGGCTTCCGTCACTTGGTTGGTAATTATTGATTTTGACTCGCAACTGTGACCGTAGATTTTCAAATAGTAGTTGTCGCTGATCATAATCGACGCCGAGCCCGCAGTAGACTGAAAGCTCAAACATACGGGCGGCTGATGATCCCATATGGGTGGCAGGTTAGAGTTGATCTAGCCTTCTGTGTGAGGACGTCACAAAACAGACAGATTAATCATCTAGACGTCGAGATCTGTTGTTCCCTCGCAGTCTCACTAGATGTATGCTAACTCTTCCGCGGAGACAGTGGGACGGAGATCAGAACTCTGGTTCAAACAATCCATGGTACGATAACGATACAAGGTTCCTCCCTTGGCGAAACACCTTAGTATGTCGAACAAACCGGGGACGTCCGGGTTGGACCAAGCTGTCGAAATGATCTCACAGCCCAAGGATCTCAGAGCCGGCGAACGATTTGTTTGAACCGCCGTTCGGATGCCCCAGTTTCTCGGTGGAAAGCTTGGCATACATCCCGTGTTAGACCTCGCCCAGGTCGTATCATACGACAAAATATTTTGTAGCTAGCTTTCGATTGAACACAATGAGAAAAGGGTGATACTTCTGCGCCGATGAGGCTATTTTTGGTAGAACAACGAACATATTTTCGTTGATGACGTAGTGGCCGGGTTCTATACGCTAGAGAGTAGACCTCGCCAACCGCGGGGTTTGGGCGGGTTTTGGGCGGGTTTACACCCTTCACTTCATGGTTACTTGCGTCAATAGAAACTTGCTCTGCACATTTTGATTCCATGACAGACGTCAAGAAGACCAATTCAATGGCAATACATAAGCTGAATACGAATTTTATCAAGCTGCTTCCCCAGCAGACTACTATACGGTAGGTTCAACCGCGGTTTGAAACACGATACATTTCCTGCGTCATGGTAATATTGCCTTAGTTCTAGACAGAATCTACGACAGTCTCTTCGAAACGGTAATATGGTAGAATTTCGATACCATGTACATGACTAAAGCTTTTGGAGGAAACATGACAAGACCTAGGTTGCCACGGACTTTTATTCATTATCATTTTAAAGGCCCATAACTTACCCTCTGTTCAATATGTATCAACTTGTTTATTAAACAATTTCAAGTATTTCCCTCAGGTTTGAACGATGCCAGTCTACCGCACCTGTTGTGCCGCTGCCATTCTATTACGCGTGTTGGAGATCGGAAAAATCAGTGCGCACTTCAGACCCATATGATGAAGGCTAATTTTATCAAATGGTAGATCACGACCCAATATGCAACCACTCAGTCTGATTCCTCCCATATTTAACGGGATGGGGAAGGAAATTGTCTAAAGCCTAGATAGCCTTTGACTAGGTTGCGAATATCGACTCTAGAGAGCCCAGCGTGTAATGAAAGCGATATGGTGATATACTTACGCATCCTATACGACATGGACTGTCAGGCCTAGGCAAACATCGGAAAAGCGATGGATGCAAGGGCAAAGCTAGGTAAGGAAGCCCAAAGGACCTATTCCAAAAAGCGGTAAGTTGGGACGAAAGAGAGAAAAAGAGAAGGGAAACTGAGGGTCAGTGACAGCTTTCTATCTAATCCTAGGCCGCTGATTCACCTCAACCCTCTCAGCGTGTGGCTTGGGATGAAATAATTGGAAGAAGCAGCTTGTGATCACTATCACTAGCCTACGACTACCATTTCAGGTCATCTAAAATCCTCATTTCCAAACCCTTCTACGCCTTGTGCAAGAAGCCCCTTCTATCCCAACCTTCCAATATGGTCAGACGATACAACGACTCTCTGGTTCGCAGGTTCTCCTTGTTCAACTGGTCTTTAGTCCTTAATGTAGAGGGTGATGTAGCAGTGAACAATGAGAGGTTCCTGATTTACAGTTTGCAAAGGGAATAGCCGGTGTAGGTAACAATTCAAAGCCGCCAGCGCTTCCCATACGTTCCACTGACTTCCTTGTCTGTAAACTGAGAGCTTCGCTGATCGTAAATATCTAGTGCGTCGGTATTTTCGAGGTCTTCCCTCGCTTCCCAAGTTACTTCTGCGTCCTCGTAACCTTCCTACTTAACCAAGTAAGTCAAGGTTTTCCACACCTCTGTGGGTGAGGATCTTGTCAATCTTTTACCCGACATTCCCGACAATACTAACAGGCGCAGATGCGCTCTACGTGCTTGGAGGCTCCCCTCAATTGTGCACCAGCACCGACACAGTGTGAGTTGGGTGCAACAACCGGAAACGAGGGGTTATGCGCAGTGTGTTCGCCTGCGTCCCAGAACTATAGTGGATTTTTGAAAGGTCCCAGCATCTTGTGGTCCATTTTCGTGCTAGGTCGTCCAGTTATGAAGTTATTCCTTCGTAGGTACACCCAATCTCGCAATCTTGAAGTGTATTTGGCCGCGCTTCTCATCATAATGCCGCTTCAGGTCCCCCTTGGCCAGGACATTCTTGTCTATCATTAATGCGCGCATCTCCTTTATCTTATTCACTCATGAGGGAGCATCCTTATGAGGCAGCATCCTTATGATGCTCCTATGGATATTCAAGAACTCTCTCGTAGGTGAGGCCGCCATCCCATCAGTGCTTCGTAGGGTGCGAGACCTGCCGTCGTATGCGTGTGGTTTCGTTGTATGTGAACTACGAGATTTGCAGCTAGCGTGCCAAATCATCTTTCTTAATTTACCTCAACTTCGCAGGAAATACTCAAGGGTCTGATTTTGTCGCTCTATCTGTCCATCTGTCTGTGGATGATACACTGTGGCGATGTCTCACTGCGAGTAGCGAGTCGAAAGAGGGCCAAAGCTCACTCGCAAATAGGCTGATCGGATCATTTCCTAGGTGTTCTGACATGCCGTTGACTTGCAACATGCGCTTATACAACACAAAGAACGAACAGAGCCAGACTTTCTGGACGAGAGCAGAACACAAGGTAACACTTGCGCAAGACAGAAATTGAGCCGAAAACTGAACTGCTCCAGGCTACATATAATCCACTTAAAGAACCAAACATCGCGACTTTAGCGAACGATGTATCTTATTAATTCCAAATGAATATAACGGTAACTAAACGGAAAGTACATTGCAAAATCTGGCATCCCATTCGAATTGCAAAATTGAAGTGTTGGATAGTGAAGATTTTGTAAAAGAGTAAAGATAGTTGACGAGGACTTCAATTTCAGCCTTAGATATGTCATGCTTGTTTCCCACTTGGAAGATGTCATGTTGGAACTGACACATTCACTACCGACGAATTCTTCATACTGGAGCCGTCGGATGCTACCGCTTCCGCAAATGCCCGATGATAGAATTTGGGGCTTGTGTAGGTAGTCTGGAATCCCTGCTTGCCTACACCAGCCAGCAGCACAAAGGGGTCGGAGGCAGAACTGGACCCGTAGAAGTTCCAATGGCTATTGTCTGTCGCTCCATTCCAGCTAACCCAGAATGTCGTTGCACCATTTGATGAGGGAGCTTGTGCGGAGAGAGCTGGAGGATCAGATGGTGTCGCGGTCCAATTGTACTTGAATGCGCGATAATTCATCGAATCATTGTCAATCAAGGTGGCAAAGTAGACTGGCGTACCATCTGCAGTATGCTCTGAAAAAGACCGATTGCTTCCCCATCCAATAAACGCATTTCCATTAGACAGTATCTGGGTGTTTCCTTGGCTGGTAGAGCGTAGGCCCTCTCCTGGAGCCTGGAACCTTGTGATGAGTGTCGAGGTGTTGGTTTGGTGATCGATCGCGACGATCATACCGGACGATATGAGTGAAGTGTTTCTGTAGTTGTTACTTCCATTATCGAAGAGCGAAAGCACTGTATGCGTGTTATTTTCCCCGTGGACGCGCGCATCATGTTGCGAAGAAAAGTTGTAGTCGGTCATGTGAAAAGTAGGGTTGACACCACCTAGTCGCCATATTACAGCCCCGTCTTCACCAGAAAGTTTGTAGATGCAGCTAGTATGTCTTGCGGAAACAAGGTAGTCGCCGTCAGAGAATTTGTCAACAGAATTGATGTGGAAATAATCCCAGGCGGTAGAATTGCTTAATCCATCGCCAACGACTGGATTGATCCCCAAAGGAACGTAGGTCTCCGAAAGAGGAACGTGACCAAGCGATCCCCACTCAAAAAGCACCTTTCCACTCTTAATGTCGACTTCCTGAAAAACGCCATCCATGACCCAGCCTGGGGTTTTCATACCGTATGCCGATAGATCATACAACCGTGGCTGGTAGATCGTAAACAACATACGTTCCCCGTCCAGGACTTCCAACTCATGCATGTCACTTATCTCGAGCCCCTGACCGCTCTGTACTTCCGTAGTAGGTTGATAGTTATTGTTAAGTATTAAATTTCGGCCCCGCGCATAGCCTTCGATCTGAGTTCCTTGGAAGAAGCACAGATGATCAGACCCTCCATAATTGCAGACATGGAGATCATGGAAAAGCTCGGTGGTCGACCCATCTGATCCACTCCAAATAAGGTCCTAGCGATTGTGAGACGGATTCAAAAGCGGGCAAGTGAATTACATACCCCATCGGTAGAATAAATATACGGTCCCGGTCTGTCCGTTTCGTACGGAGCCATGAATATATAACCTGGTGTGACTAAGCCATCATCATTGATGCTCACATTGAGTGAAGGAGCGAGGATGTCAGGCCTCTTTGGTAAGATTAATATTTATTCTTTCGGTTTAGGAACTATCGACTCAACAGATACTCACAGATTGGAAAGATATCCAGGATGCAGGTTCCGCGATTCCAAGATTCACATGGCCAAGAATCATTCCCAGAGCCTTCAGCCCAAGGGAAATACGGGACTTGCTGCTTTGGTCAAACATTGCCGACAGGAACCAAAAACTGTCGATATTTGAGAAGATAGATCGGTTCAGTCGAACAGACGCTTTTATATCGACCCTACAGAGCGTGTCACAATCCAGCTTGACGTCAAGACTCGATTCGGAGACCGTTGCCAACACGAGGTTGGCTATCCAGCATTGGGCTAGTACACATACAAAATATAATTTAAAGTATCGAAACTTAAGTAACCCTATTTGTCAATTGAACATTGCTGTCGCCGCCTACGGCGACAGGTAAACTTTGATTCCAAAGCTTACCGATGGTTTAACGGGATAAGGTTGTAAACCGTGAGGCTTATGGGCCGGATCTAGCCAGACAAAAAGCTTAATAGAGATTGCCGACGTCAGCTTTTAAAGCTTAACCAAGAGCTACTTAGGGAATGTTCTCCTAACAAAGTTGTTAGGGAATGCCGAACCAGAAGAATTTTGGGTGGGGGGCAGGCGGCGGGTACAGTTGTCGGTTTAGATTAGTTGTAAGTTGGTTCTTAGACCTATACGCGATATCTTAGCACCTTGGCAGTACCCCTATCACTTGGCTTCAGCTAACAGGAAAGTGAGGCTGAACAAAGTCAAGCCCTATACCATTCTAGTCATCTTGCCGGGCTGTGCCAACCTGACTCGCCTCTCAATCTCCTTCATTTCTTATAAATATCCTCTCCTTTCCTCCTTGTGTCTCTGTTATTTCTCATTCAATCAATTGTTTGTAACACAATAGCACACTATATTATTATTAACAGCACACTAACTATTTTTCGAATCGTCGCTATAGTTATCTTCATGTCCCCTCCCGTCGGGCGAGGAAATTGAGGCCTTTGAGAGTTTAGTTCCCTAGCAGACCTACCGTTTTACTAACCGAGCTCCCTTTTAAGGCTCTGGTTCATTCAATCCCAGAGGCAATAAGATTCTCGTCGACCAGCACTGAGATAGAAAAAATTTTCTAGGTAGAGGCCCCTTATCAATTACTATTTTGCGCGTGTGCTAACCATTACTATTAAGAGAAGAGATCCAGAACGTCATCACCAAGGTGGCCTCAAATAACAACCTAAATGACTAGGGCATTTGACCTCTTCATTGTGAAGAATTCGGGCTGGTGGGGCCCTATAGCTAGGAAGAATGTTATAGCTACCACCATAGAAGCCATAATTGGCGCAGTCCGCTATGACTCCGACAAGAACGGTGATAACTGTAAAACGGTTATAGCTGCCCTCGGCCTCTCGTAGTCCGAGTGATCTATCGCGGTCCCTTCAATAGTACTTCCTTATCATAGGGGCATAGGAAAGCCTCGGTAAGGGGACAGGGGCGGTCCTTTACAGGGCTGATCCTTTTTTATTCACCGGTGGAATAGCCTATACGGTGACTTATATCACAGCACTATTGAATGAGCCTTGTCCACTCTGCAATAGATCTCCCCTATCCCTATATCTCGCCTTACTTATATGCTGCCGGCGAAACTTCAGCAGAAACGGCTTCCGCGTCCGAAAGTAAAAATAAGAATAAGAATAAAGCTCTTGTGTCATCATATCATAATCATCATGGCCCCGAAACCGTCCATCACCCACCACCCCTTACTTAGGTAGATCTCTAAGCGCAAGCACAGTCCGAATATGCTCATACTTAAGATTCCCATCCTGCGCCCAAGCCAAAAGCCCGGCAGTCTTGATAACATTCTTAATCTGGCGACCGTTCAACGCCACCTCAGCCACCTGATCAAGCTGTTCATCAGTGAAAGTATCAGTCTTAGCCGACCGACCCAGGAACTGGGCCCAGATGTATCGGCGGGACTTTGAATCGAGGTCTCTGTAATGGAGAGAAATATGGATTCGAGATTCGAATGCTGGATCGATGTTTTGAGCGCGGTTGGTAGTTAGGAAGAGGATTCCCTGGAGGGGATATCAGGTTAGTATACTGAATATGTTCTCGTCTCCTTGTTGGTTTGCGTGACTGCAATGGAATCCGACTTACCTCGTAGTACTCAAGCATCCGCAAAAAGATCGAAACAAGCTCGTTACGAGCGAGATCAGTTGCAGCGCGCGTTTCCATGAAGACATCGGCCTCATCGAGCAGAAGGACTGCACCCCATTTTGGAACCATGCGCAGGATGTCTTTCAGGCTGTTCTCGACGCTGTCGGCATTCATTCCCAGGTCTCCAGCGCTCATGACATACAACGGCACTTTCATGACCTCGGCAACGCTCTCTGCAGTAAGAGTCTTACCCACACCAGGCGGACCAGACAACTGCATAATGATACCACGACCCTTACCCTGAACAACATCATCAAAGGCATCCAATTTCTTAGATTGGGCTTTGGCAACAGCCAAGATGACATCTTTGAGATTCTCCTGTTCCTGCGGTAGAACCAAAGACTTGAAGGCATCATCATCCCACTCGATATCCTTCGTCATCTCCAGATGCAGCATAAGCCACTCCTTATCCTTGAGAGAATACCCATGCAACCAGGGCGTCGCAAAGAGTCGCTGTTCATCACTCTCCAACTCCTTCCCGATTTCGATACTCGTCCGGACAGACGTGCTAGGATGGAAAATATTGTATCCCTCCGCATCGATGATAATCCGGCTCTTGACGAAGTACTTCGTCTCCTTTTCCTCGCTGTTCCGGTCATCCCAGGTCCGGCTCATGGCAGGCCCTTCGTACGCCTTGTAGTGGTACCCCTTATGCTCCTCCCATCGTTTACCACGCGCAATCAACATCGCGCGGATAGCATCCTGGTCTTTGTGGTGCTTCAGCGGGAATAAGCGCAGCGAGGTGATGGGCACCGTGCCCGTGAACGTATCGATAGCAAAGTCAGTGCTCTGGAATCCGAAGTCTGTGCCGTCGAATTCGACGTAGTTGACGCTAGCTTCCCATCCACATCGTGTGCGGTTCAGTGAAGAGAATTGGTATGCGCGCAGGGATCCGCCGCGTGAAGAGAGGACCACGTCTTCCGGTTCCATGATGCACCATACTAGGTCGAAGGTGATGACTCCGTTGGCGACTAGATCTTTCATGCGATCGATGACTTCTTTCAATTCCTCGCTCATGATCTTGTAGAAGAGATCCACGTGCGCTTTGGTCGTTGGGTCTTCTTCTTCTTCGCGGGCTTTGGTTATATCCTCCCAGCGGTGGACGATGGGCTTGAAGGGAGCTTCAAACTCGAGGCGTTCCAGGCTGGTCGTCACGCCTGGGTAGTTGCCCAGTGCTTTGCCAAGGAATTTCTTCAGAGGCTCGCTTTGGATCACGATTGAGTGGACTTGCAGGCTCTTGCGTCCGTCGTAGCATTTTGTCTTGCGGACTAGGAGCACGTATTGGGCTGATTCGGCGTCTTCGGCCGGCTCGGGGAGGTCTATGGGCATTTCTTTGCTCCATGATGTTTTGTCGTTCTCGTCGGGCTTGGTTTGGTATAGATTGCGGACGTCGCAGATGGTGCCGACGGGCTCATACTGGACGGTTGTTTCCTCGGTGCCATTTGCCTCTGTGCCGTTTGTCTCTGTTCCGTTTGCGGTCGCCATTTTCCAGTTTGTAATGCTGGGAAATGGAATGCAAATTATGGAGAAGACAGAAGGGAAATGGACGGATAGATATAGACGAAAGAAACTTGACGCAGGGTGAGAAAGAGAGGGAACAACAAAGATTGCCTTTATATTTACATCTTGACCAGGATCTTAAGGCAGACATGTATACGACTGTTGCCTATGCTGTCGGGGAACGAAAGCAGCAAAGATGCCCGGGTGAAGTGAGGCAACGACGAGGCTGCGATGACTCTATGCAGGTCGAAAAGTCAACAAGAGCCTCATATCCAATGTGTCCCAGTCTCCACGCATAATATGCATGAGAGCAGAGATGTTTCAAGTTGATTGGGCTTATTCGTGTTCAGATGGGCCACTTAGAGGACTTAAAAAGGATGTTGTGTTGGGGTCAGATCCACACATCATGCCATACGATTTCTGCCGAGGGGTATTACCTCGAGGGTCCCCCAGGGCCACCCTTTTTTTGTTTTTTTTGGGTAGGATATTTCATGAAACCGTCATTTTCCGCTGTTGCTATCTACACCAAAATATGTTGCATCTCAACGGTTGAGTTGTTGCCTTGAGTTGGCCTGTACGCCAATCCCAATCCCAATCCCAATCCCAATCGGAAGCCTTCGCCTCTCACTCAGTCTTGAAAGCGGTCAAACGGGCCCTGATCACCTCCTCCGAATCCTGAGTGTCCAGCTCGCTGAGAACACCCGAACCGACGTCGTAAATCAAACCGTGGAGCTCGAGTCCACGCTCCTGAATGGCGTTCAGGACAACACCCTTCTGCTTGACGATGTTCAGACCCTCGCGGACGTTCAGCTCGGCCAACTTCATGGTAGCCTCGTCGGGAGACAGGGACTGCAGAAGATCGAGGTTGCGCTCGCGCAGCTGACGGAGAGGCAACAGCCACGGGTCCAGAATTCCAAGATTCTTGTTGCCCATGGCGGCCGCGACACCACCGCAAGCGGTATGCCCACACACGACAACGTGCTTCACGCGCAGGTACTGCACAGCATATTCGATGGCGGCGGCCGAACTGAGATCACCGGGGTGGAGGACGTTGGCGATGTTACGGTGCACGAACACATCACCGGGCTTCAGGCCCAAGAAGGTGGTCTCTGGGCAGCGGGAGTCGGAGCATCCGATCCAGAGAATCTGTGGTGTTTGGCCGGTCGCGAGGGTTGGGAAGAGATCGGGGTACTCTCGTGCCGTCTGTGCTGCCCATTCCTTGTTGTTGCGCAGCGCGGTTGCGTACCGATCTGTGTGGTCCCCGCCAACTTGGTCAGTCTGGGTCTTGGCGTTGGGGGTGTTCGCGCTTGGTGTGTCTGCGCTGCTGCTTTTGTGATTGGCACAACGGAGGGGGGTGGAGGTCGAGAAGGGGACGGTGCGAGGCGCCGAGAAACTCGAGCCGTGGGATACTCGCGAGCGAGTCTTGAGCAGGCAACTCGATGAGTCACTTGCTATCCCCACTGCGCGTGCAATGAAACCGGTTTGCCCGGCGAGTCTCGCGAAAGTCATGGGGAAGAGAGAGAGAAGGTGGGCTGTGACGAGAGTTGCGAGAGTCCGCGGGGAGGAGGCACAGTGAGAGGAATGGGGAGGCAATAGATCCCAACAACCGTCGCTTCTCACCGAAGTTCAACAGATTGATCGGAGAGCCTTAAATTGACTGGGAGGCAGGAAAGAAGATGGGAAAAAATGGATGGGGATGGGAAGAAGTTTGCCAAGAAAGACGCAGAAAACAAGGACGGTTCGCGCTCACGTACCTTCTTCAGAAGCCATGATAGATGGAGAATGCGATTAGAAAAGAGAGAATAGGGAGAAGAGGGATACAGCAAAGTCTATATAAATACCGAAAGTACACGAGGGGCAACCGGTGTGGAGTGAGCAAAACGTTGAATCCCGAGGGGAGAGCGGGAAGATCGGCGAACCGGCAGTTTTTATCTATACACCTGGGCATCGCAAGCCATAAGTGTCTCTCATTGTTCTTTTAAATACAAATGCAGTTTTCCCATGAGAATCATAATGCTTCAAAACAGACATAAACAACGCATGATTTTGAATTTTATTTTCAAGCAGCACTGCCACGGCCGCCAATGCTCAGCAAGGTCTTGCGCTGTTCCTCGCTGAGCTGGGCAGTAGGCAGAGGACGAGCTCCGGCAATAGTGGGCGCAGGAAGGAAGCCAATTTGCACCAAATATGACGCATACAGGCCAACCAATTCCTCGGTTACACCAGCGCCGGCTGATGCATCAACGCCTGACCAGGCGGCATCCGCAAGTAGGGCAGCGGCCGCATTGGTGTCATCCAGCTCGGGGGCCTTGGTATTGGAAGGGAGGTCAGCAGTGACGAAGTGGTAGAGAGGCATACTATAAATGAAATTAGTGTCTTTCAATCATGATTCCACGAAAGGGTAACTTACAGGGCATGCTGGGAGTCCTTGTCATTGTGTTGGCCGTCGTTGACATACTGCTCGAGGGAGGTAGACCAAGGCACGTAGTCGACCTGGGGAACATTGTATCCGTAGAGCTCGAGCGCACCAAGGAATTGGTTGAAACGCAGACGCGGGTGTCCAGTAACATGGGCAACAGCGACAGACTCACGAGGCGGGTTGAAGGCACAGGCGATAACAATACGAGCCACGTGATCAACTGGGACCATGTTGACCGTGTTGTGGATGTTGGGACGGGCATTCAGCTGGATACAACCCTTGACCATTCGAATGAGGAAATCATCAGTGTTGGTAGTACCAGTCACCGAGTCACCCAGAACGTATCCGGAACGAATGATTGTACCCCTGAGGCCTCTGCGGCCAGCCTCACGGACGAGGTGTTCACCAGCCCACTTGCTCTGACCGTAACCTGTTCCAAGGCCGACACTGCTGCCTTCCATGTCGTCGTCTTCGCTGATACCATTGCCACCAGCAGCGATGATACGTTCGGATTCCTGGACGAAGTAGTCCTTGTCTAGGGCACTGGTGGAACTGACAAATGCGAGCTGCTTGGCCTTTCCACTGCCGCACAACTTCAGAGCATCGATGGTACCCATGACATTGGCGGGCCTGAGGGTGGCGTAGGGGTAGACCCAGTGAACAAGAGCTCCGTTATGGACCACGGCATCGACGCGGTTGGTGAGATCATCCCACACATCCTGGGAAAGACCGAACCGGGGATTTCCAAGGTCACCACACAGGGCCTGGAGTCGGGCAGTCCATGCCTCATCCCAGAAGCCGTATGCGCGGCAAGTCGAGCGAAGACGCTCGAGAGCCTGTTCCTCAGTCTTGGCACGAACGAGAGCAATGACCTTGGTGGAAGGCTCCTTACGGGTAAGAAGGTCACGGAGGATGTGGGCACCTAGGAAACCAGTAGCTCCAGTGAGGAACACTGTGGGCTCAGTGGCAAGCATGGGCTCGGTACGGGCAGGGAAAGTCTTGGGCAGCTCGTTCACGAGCTGGCGTGCGTCCTTGGAGTACTCATCATCAGGCTCGTTGGCGGCCTGTACGGCTCCGGCAAGAGACTTGTCATCGCTGGTAGCGAATGACTCAAGAGCCAGCAAGCGATCGATTTCACCGGCAAAGCCCTTGAGGGTTGGGCTGCGGAAGATGGCGTTCATGCTGATATCGATTCCACGCCACTTGCGACGAAGGTCGAAGAACATTTGCTGGGCAACAATACTGTGACCGCCAAGGTCGAAGAAGGAGTCATCGGCTCCGATCATGCGAGCAGTCACATTGGGGATGAGCTTGGCCCAGATCTGAGCCAGAGCCTGCTCGGTCTCAGAAAGCGCCTGCATGGCAGAGGAGCGGCGGCGGGGCGCAGCAGCGCTCAGCTCAGCGGTGTCGGGGAAGGGAAGTGCGGGCTTGTCAATCTTGCCGTTAGGGTTCAGAGGCATACGCTTGAGAGGAATGATGACGGTGGGCACAGCGTACGTGGGGAGCTTGCTGCGGAGGTGCTCACGAGCATCATCACGAAGAGGTCGGAAGCGGCGCAACAGGCCGACCATACCCTCAGCAGAGTCGTCATCTTGGAGACCCTTGCTCTCGAGCCATGAAGCCCACTTGCTCATATCAGGCACAAAGTAGCTGACCAGAGTAGGCTCCTCAAACTTATCTCTTCGCACCAGGGTAACGTTCTCACGGACCAGAGGGTGGCGAGAAAGATGAGTGTCAATCTCTCCAAGCTCAATACGGAAACCGCGAATCTTGACCTGGTCGTCAGCGCGACCAGAGCACTCAACGTCACCAGAGGGAGTGTAACGGCCCAGATCACCACTGCGGTACAGACGATCCCGGGGACCGACGTAGAACTCGCGCCATGGCTCGTTCTTAGACTCGACCTTGTCTTGTTCAGTCCACACCTCGGGCTTGACAAACCAGTTGGTAAGGAACTTCTTGGCATTCAGATCCGCGGAGCCAAGGTAGCCCTCGGCAAGACCCGCAGCACGAACGTAGATCTCACCTACTTCGCCAACAGCACAGATACGGCTAGGGTCAAAGCGGTTGACAACAAGCATCTGAACGTCCAACATTCCGCGACCAGCAGGAATCACGTCCTTCATGGTGTCTAAGTAACCTTCGTGGCTGGAGTAGCTGGGGATTTCAAAGTAACTGACGGCACGCTGGGTCTCAGTCGTTCCGTACATGTTAACAATGTTCACGTTGGGCGCTAGTCCCTGGAGCGAGCGGCAGTCACGCTTGATCAGAATGTCACCAACGAAGAATGCGTGATGAAGAGCTGGGAATTGAGCAGAGGCACCACCGACGAGGATCTGACCCATAGCAGGGGTAAGGTGGGTGATAGTAGCACCATACTTCTGCATCCACTCGGCGAGCTTCTCGTTCTGGATGTCCTCACGAGCGGGCACCAAGAGCTGAGCACCCAAGAACAGCGGGGTGAAGATATCTCTTTGGATGGGATCGTGAGCAATACCACTGAGCATCGTAAACTTCTCATCAGGGGTGAGCTTGAAAGTCTCGGACATCCAAGGGAAGTAGTAGGCCAGGGAAAAGTGACGGCCACGAACACCCTTGGGCCGGCCTTCTGAGCCGGAGGTGAAAGACAGAGTCGGGGTAGAGTCAGGGCCAACAACGACACCAACTGGCTTGGACTTTAGGGCGACTTCATTAGCGAAGACATCCTGGCCATTGACGGATCCACCGGCGAGGGTTCCATCATCGAGCAGGGCAAGAGCAGGAACCTCAGTGCGAAGTTCCAAGTTCTCGTTGATGAAAGTACGGACAATGTCCGATAGCTCGCCTGCATCAATGGTAGCCTTGGCAATGTTCACCAAAGCGCGAGGACGGGCAACGTCGAGGTAGATGTTCTGTCGCTCTGGTGGGTAGGCAGGGTCGATGACGGAGAATGTCGCACCGGCCTTCAAGATACCCATAACAGCAACCACCAGGTCAACACCGCGGTAAGCATAGACCATAACAACTTCGCCCCTTTCAATACCAGATTGCACCAGATGGTGACCAAGGATGTTAGAGGCCTCATTGATCTGGCGGTAGGTAAACTCGCGGTGAGGAGAGTTGCTCGACTGGGTTTCAACCACACACAGCTTCTCGGGGTGCTTTTCCGCATTGGCGGAGAAGATGTCGTGGATAGCACCACGGAACTTGGACCAGTTCAAGTTGGAGGTGGGGTCGGGCAAAAGCGCACGCTGGTCCTCGGTCATCAAGTCAATGCGTCCGATAGCCTCCTCTGGCTTGGCAGCAGCATTGCTGGCAATAACTGCCAACTGCTTGAGAATGAAAGCGATGCGTGCACTTGAGAAGAGACGCTGGTTGTAGTATGCACCCAGCTCGACCTCCGAAGCCGAACCATCAGATAGGTTGCCCGGTGCAACATTGACCACCAAATCCGTAGTCTCAAAGGTATTCGCCGGGTAATCCTGAGAAGCGGCAGGGGCATCGTATGCGGCAAATCGGAAAAGGACGGGAGTGCGTTCTGAGTTGGACTTCTCCTGCATGTAAGTGCGAAGGCTGCCCAGAGGCACGATTTGGGAACTACCTTCCTTGAATGCCTGTGGAGCTATTAGCAGTCAATCCAAGAACCCTTACAGTTATACACACCTTGTCTACTTTTGCGTAGAGCTGGACAAAGGTCTCCGAAGCATCAATGGGGATACGGATGACGAATGGACGACCATCCTCCTCCGAGCTCGTCCCCACAGCGATGTCTTCATCACCTGTCAAACGGGCCACCAGAATAACAAAGGCAGTCAGAAAAATGGTGAAACCGGATGATGATCCGGACAACTTCTGAAGCTGCAATTGAGTCTCCTTGGGGAGCCGGAGAGACTCAAAGGCCTCGATAGCTCTCTTACTATCGGGCTTCTGTGTATCGGGATAGTCACGAGTCAATGGCGAGACGGTCAAGTTGTTCAACCTTTGTGCCCATGTCTCCAGGCGGTCCTGCAATGAGGCCGTTCCCACAGCCATGATTGCAGTATGTCAAAACAGTCGGAGATTGAAAAAGACAAGATGAGTCAAATTACCCCCCCATATCCGAGGGGTGAAA